ATAATTCGTTGTGTTAGCTAATAAAATCTAAATGGAAATCTTATGCGTAATAACTCAATAGTTTTATAACCAAACTTATGTAAGTAAATAGTAAAAATAACACTATCTTGATATTTAAGAAGATCAGTTCCTCGTTTGTGTAATAATTTCACTTGTTCTGCAGATACTGGTATCATATTACGATGTCTCGAACAAGAGCGATATTGCTATGGTCACTAGCTACTGGCTCCGACTTACGCTGCGCCTGTATTTAAATTCAAACTGATGATGATGTTCTCCTGACCGATTCCGGCCACAGCGGCCAATCTCATTGAGACTAGCCAACTGCGCAGGAGATATTATAGTGCACAAGTGTACGCGCAGACACAAGTGCACTCTCTATTCCTGTCACTCTCATACTAGGGAGGACTACTCGACACGACCAGTGAGATTTAAGGCGCAGGACCGACGGCTTTACGTGCTCTCTGAGGCACGGGGGTGAAACACCGCCAACTTCCCAACTCCGGGCTGTTACTGAGACTTACTATACAGAAAGACTCAATAACTAAACGTGGCCCGATCCGGGACTCGAACCCAGGACCTCCGAGTGCGCAGCCGTACATGCTAGCCACTACACCACCGAGGCAGTTAAAATAAATAAAAACTAAATACTACGTGACTACTATAATTTTACTTTTTTTTTTCTTTTTTAACCCCGATAAATATTATTTCCTATGCAAACTTTGCTACTCTGTTTCTCCCTCACCAAAATACCTTTACGTACAGATGTCTGATCTGGAACTGAATCAAATAAAATCGATCATCGATATCGATATCAGATAGAATCGTGAAATAATAGTAAATTATAAAGATAAATTACAAAACGGATGTAAATTAAAACATAATAAATTATAGGTCATAATCTTTCATAAGAAATAGCTTATGCATAAATGTACTTTCTAATGTGTTTCCCTTATATGTAAGTTTAGTTTAGATAAATTGTCATATGATATTACCTTGCTAATTTGTACTTCTGGTTTATCATCTACTTTCATTGCTCAGAGAATATTTCCAACTTTAAATGTACAGATAAAATGCTACATTAAAAAAGCGTTTGTTTACAAAATTCAAATAATTTCTGCATATATATATATATATATATATATATATATATATATATATATATATATATATATATGTATATATATATATATAGTCTAATCTATTAATATATTTAAGGTATAGCTCGAATCTAAAAATGTTGATAACTTGATGAAAATATAAAAAAAAATATGGACCAAACATAGAAAGTATAAAATAGTTAACTTTCTACCAATCCCTACACGTTCCAAAAGATCTTGCAGTACTTCTATGCTCGACATTCCTAGGAGCAATACTAAATTCCAACAAAATTCTTTTTCTGTCCATGCCGCAGTACTATGGAACCAACTGCCCAAAACCATCCATGAGAGCCCATCTATTTATCTCTTTAAATGTAAATTAAAAAATTATTTATTATCACAAATGTATCAATCAGTACCTTTCTCTATTTTCATATTTTATATATTAACTATGTATATGTATATATGTATGTATAAGTAGTCCTTACATTAGGTATTATATATGTATAGTATTATATATTTTTATATGTAATATATGTATATATGTATGTATGTATAAGTGAATATTATTACCTTTATTTCTAGTATATATTTAGTAATATTTTTTTGCACTATATTGCCCGCTGACATCTTCTTCCACAACCAGGGGTTGACTGGAAGAGATCTCTTTTAGAGATAAGTCCACCTTTGTGAACTATGTTTACTTTGTTATTTTTTTTATGTAACATATTTTAAGTTCAATAAAGAATATAATAAAGTATATATAAATAATTTAGTTACGTTTCGTAATATCTACATATTACTTGGAATAGCATAGACAGAAACATGCAATATAATAAAATATAGAATTAGAACGAAAATTAGGGCTAGTTTGTTTGTATTTCGACGTACAAACTGGCTCATTGGAGCGATGAGGCAACCTGCGCCTGGCACTGCCAGTACTATAATAACATTACGCTCACAAATGACAGCGTATATTTTTATCCTGTAAAAGTAATTAACGCGCTTTGGCCTAATATGAATCGTAACGTCTATATTGTTCGATAAGCTTTGATTATCTGTACATATAATAAAATTGTAACCAAGCCGAATCTGTACATTATTTTTTTTTGGAAAATCTTATTGAAATAAACATTATTATCGGTACAGAGGCTGAATCTATAGTTTTTAGAATTTTTGTCTGTCTGTCTGTTAGCGCATCACAGAAAAACCACTGGAGGGATTTTGATGAAATTTGGTATGGTGATAGCTGGTTATCCGGGTCAACATATAGGATACTTTTTACCACGGGAAAATGTCTTATTTCTGAGAAAAATACAAAAACTGAAATGTAAGAGTATATGTACTAATATATAAAACCTAATAATTTGGTTTTTGGTCATCTGAGCGCGGGCGGAGCCGCGGGCAATGCTAGTATTATATAATTTTGACAGGAATCTATATATTATGTAAAACAAAGTCGGGTTTGTTACAACACTTATAACTCGAGACCGGCTGGACTGATTTTGATGATCTTTGATTTGTTAGATTTGTCTCCGCCCCGAATAGCAGAATAACAAAAAAAATGTACATTGCTATCGCTGGATATTTATATTTTATATCTATTTAAAACGTACCTAGGGACGAACCCCAGCGAAGCGAGGGTGAGCTGCTAGTATTATATAAAAAAATGTAGCGGTAATAAATAGACATAGGGTCTATATATTACCAGTACAATTTAAAAAAAACTTATCCGTCTATATAAAATGTGTATTATATGTTTAATATATTCTTTTTAAAGAAAATAATAAATATTATATTAACGCTACTTAAAATTGCAAATAACCTAGAACATTGAAATTATGGAAATCGTTCGTCTTTTTTAAAATTGCAAAAGTGTCGAAATCAAACTTAACAACAACATGCAAAAAGAACAAAAAGCATTCAATATCCAACCTTTTAATCGCTAGTATACATTTCTTAGAGATAAGATATTTTCCTGCCGTAAAAAATATCCTATATGCTGAACCGGATAACCAGCTATTATCATACCAAATTTTATTAAAATCTGTCCACCGGTTTTCTCGTAATGCTTTCCCAGACAGACAGACAGACAAAAAATTGTAAAAACTATAGATTCAGTCTCTGTATCAATAATGACGACTATCTCAATAAGATTTTCCAAAAAATATTTCATGTACAGATTCGACTCGGTTATAATTTTATTATATGTATAGATGACGTCGACTCTTTTATAATAAGCTTTTAAAAAACGCGGTCCACAAATATAATAATTGCAATCTGATTAAAACGTTCATGACGTAGGAAACCTTTCGCATTTTCAAGTATATTACCATATGCCGACATACCGGAGCAAGGTTAATATGGAGTTGCAAGCAGTGTTAAATATACACATTATAATGTAATCTTGAATGTTTGAAAGACCATCTTGCAACGTTTATCAGTTTTTAATCTTTCAATATCTCCGACTTTTTGTCATATATTTCACATCGAAAAGTGAAATGTTTGCAGTTAAATTAACACAATATATGAAATCCAACAAACATTGCATTTTTCCATTGAAATTAATTAAACTTTATTAAAATGGTAATAGTACTCTAATATAATAAAGTAGTATTTGTAAACTTGAATCTAGAAAGTACTAATGAATAATATTTCTGGAACTGCTGGACCGACTCTATTTTTTAGTAATAAAGGAAGCTACTTGAGTGTCATGGAATTATTTTTATTAACTTTTTATTCCTGTGTGTTTTCGATGAAATTAATAATATAATATATTACATTATATAGATGTAAATAATATAATAATAGATGATAATTAGTCCGCCAACCCGCTTTTGGCCAGCGTGGTGGACTATGGCCTAATCCCCCTCGTATTGAAGGGAGGCCTGTGCCCAGCAGTGGGACGGAAAAAACGGCTGTATACTATACAATACTTGATTGATGATAATTTACTAGTTTGAAAACTTCTAATATTAGTAAATAATTTTTATTTTTTTAATATCGTTAAATCAATAAGCTTTTATAAATTAGTCAATATTTGAAATGTCTCATAAAAAACGGATTCTATTCATATCTGCTTTCATAGAGTCGGCGAGTTCGTCTGAAACGTAATTCGACTGACTCGTTCATTGAACTACGAGTATCTACTCGCCTTAGAAGCATGTATGTATGAACAATAAGTTTCCCTTGCGGACATAACACGTGATTTGAGTGCTCTATTACCAATCATATTACTTACAAAAATACATATTTAATTTATGAATAAATCAATATAATAGAAATATAGGCCATTTTAGCTAACTTTTATGAAATTTCTTAAAAAATAAACGAATTATTAAAAAATATTATAATAGTTAAACGCACTCTTTTTTACTTTTATATAAGTATAACTTCAGATAAAATTTAATTACTAATGCTACAAAAGATAGTTAGGCAACTATCCATTTTGTTTAACAACCGTTATGCGTACAGTATAGTGCAATTATTTAATAATAAAAGTTAACAGTATCGCTGTTATGTAGTGAAATTATCATATAAATAAAAATGGACCATAAAAATGTTGCCATAAAAGGACTTAAAATTTTAGGGACGTAAAAATTATATTCAAAATATAAAATAACATTTCAATAAATACTTTATAGCAATACCAAAATTATACTGTCATTATAGTTTCCGACACGTGATTTTGTAAGAAAACGTGCAATTTCGTCGAAAAACTAATGCAAAGGCCGTGAGACATCGCGATTTAGTTCGTATAGTATCGTTTAATTTAACTTTGTATGACATGTTATGAACAAACTGTTTTAATTCAATTTTTAATTAAATTGTGTAAGAATTACATTTGAGTTTTACAATATGCAATAAAAAGGTAATTTGTAGAAGGATTTGCGTATAGTAATGGTAAGTTTAATTTTGAATGTTACATAAAGCTGTCGCCGCTTCCTTTTTATTATATTCGTAATTATAATATTGTTTTGGTTGAGTAAAACATAATTGATATATAAATATCTTTTAACATTAAAACATATCATACTTTGTTTTATGATTGCTCTACTTAGAATTGGTAATGAATAAAAACTTTACAATGGTGGAGTTATACAAATATTTTTTTTGTATTTCGTAAATTAGTAATAGTTTTCACGTTATCTATACATACATATAATAAAATTGTAACTAAGTTGAATCTGTACATTAAATATTGTTTTGAAAATCTTATTGAAATATACATTAATTAATTTTTGTTTGTCTGTCGGTCTGTAACCACCACTGGAGGGATATTGATGAAATTTGGTATAATATTTATCCGGTTATCCGGAACATATAGTATAGTTTTTACTGCGAGAAAATATCTCATCATTGAGAAATCTATACTAAACATTAAAACGTAATGTAAGTACCCTAGTTATTATATAAGTAATTCATTGGATAACTTTGTTTTGTTAAATTCGCTGGAGTCAACTAAATTCTTATTTATTTTTATTTAAAAAAGTCAGATGATTGGCGATGCATAGTTTCTAAATGAATGAAATTGATTTCAAGAAAAATCTTACCATTATAAGATTTTTTAACTCTTTCATTTAAATGTCGATTTTTATTTTTTGTTGTAGTTATTATTGCATTAAGTTATAATAAAAAAGACAAATTAAGAGCTCAAAGCAGCTCTTAAATAAAATAAAACTCTTGTTAATTTAAAAAAAATACAAAAACTTGAAGAAACAATACGACACCTTTTCTAAGAATATAAAATGTAAACATTTAAACTTACGTTTCAAAATATATCATATAACCGAATATACATATATGTATACGTTATAATAAATTAAAAAGTTATAATAAGTAAAAAAATTGTATGTGACAAAGTATCTGTAAGTCTAGTAAAGACATATATTTTTGATAATAAAATATACTGGGATAGTAAATATTTTTACTCCACATAATGAAACAGATAACATAATTTTGCTTGGAACTAATTAAATCAAAATGCGTTGTCAGTATATTTAGGTGTTAGTAGAGCATCAATAATTCAGTTACGGTATTTAAAATTCAATTCAAAAATTTTATGCACTGTTTTAACGCTTTCCTATGTTTTAGCTAACATTAACTTTAACGGTCGATATATATCAAAAATGTAGAGTCATTAATAAGCGTATTTGCATACTGGCATGACGTTTTAAAACGTAACATTTGTAATTAATAGGCAATTATTATACACTACAACGAAAGTTCACTTATTAATAACAACTCTAAAATATCCATCTTCAATACCACACGAGCGCAGTTATTCTCATTGGTGTCTAAATCGAGCGAGCCCGTAAGGGAATGAATGGATGCACTTGTCGCATGCGACCGCTTATCAACAATATGGTAATAACGTAATAGAACGGTGTAAGCTATAGCCGAAATTCTAAGTCACGTATTAGCGCTGTAGTATTCTAATACAAGTGATATCGACTTGGAAATGTGGTAGAGCGCTTTTGTATCGCTTCTTGGTTGAATCTCGTACGCTCGGTTTCGTTTGACCGTCGGCAGTCAGTACTCAGTCGCGCCGTACGCACCGAGGTCTCCGCATGTCCCGCGCTCTCGCGACGCAGCCGCCCTTATCAAAACATTCCCGCATTGGGATCGATCTGCACGTCTACGCTACCGCGTACCGTGATAACGTACGACCCCCGAATGACGTTGCGCCAGTGTCCCGTTTAGTGTTGTGACTTATGCCGTGTGATCAGTTATTGGATTATTGTTTACAATTTTTGTTTTGATTCATCACATTGCAAGCTTTCTAGTAAGTATTGTGTATTTACTATTTACTGTTCATTCATCAATTCTTTGTGTGTGTGTAAAAAAAGTTAACCGATTTTATTTTATTTTTGAAATATGAGCGTAGATAGAACATTTTAATAAAAATAGATTATATTTACTAATTTTAATTTGATTAATATATGAAAATGTTAAGAAGATATTATAAAATAATGTTAATTAATTTTTATATAAATTTAAAATATAAGTTAATTTCAAGCGAAATTCTGAGATAACTTAAATATAAATATACATTTACATATTTACAAATAACGGAAGATGCCTTATCGTATAATTATATTATTGAAATTACATGAATAATGCATGTTTTGCCAAATGTGTAAAAAGCTCCTTACATCGGGAGTTGTCATAAAAACCAGTAAGAAAGTCATGTAACTGCGCAATAGAATAAATATAGCCAGTACGACGTTTGCGTAGTATTTTATTGTAAATAATACCAATCAAGTATAGTCATATTTTTCGCACTGACATTGATACTAGCATTTCCTCGTCAATATAGAGGTTGTTTCCGTTATATTTCCAATTAAATTTAAAAAGTTTTCTGACGATTTTATTCTATTAAGCTCAACCATTTAGGTACCTATATAGGAAACTAGTGAGCAACGTTTCCAAAAGTGTTAGACGAGTAGAGACAAAAGACATATCCGTTACAGCCAAAGGCAGAGCATCAAAAAGACGTATATTTTTACACACAAACGCAAACATTAAAAGAGTTACTGAAGTGGAATGTGCAGCTGTGTTTGAAACAAGCTTATTTCAGTAAAAGCTGTTTGCTCTCCATATTCGTTTCCTAGCCTTATACCTACAAAGAGTAATAGAATTGCAAGAATTTAAGAGGGCTCGATAAAAGAGGCCTGAAGACCAAAATTTATAAAATAAATGTATTTATAGGTACATACACAGACATAAGGTGCTTTTTTATATTATTAATTTATAAACACTGAAATAAAAGGAATTATTTATTTACATAAGTTCTAATATCTCAAACACTAATAAAATAGTAAATATTAATCATATTTACTTAAGTTTAAAAGTTTATTATAAGCTCATATTCTAAGTCATAAAGAAAATAACTATACTCCAAGCAAAATAGCCTCAATATGCTTGTGAAAATCGTCTCATACATCGTTACTAATGCACTACTAATATGAAATTATAATTATTATTATCAGAATTATCGGGATATACCTTTATCGAAGAACTCCTAACGACTTTGGCTGACTAGACTTTATAATAAACTATGGCCGTGATTATCCTACCGAGTGTCTCAAGTGTCCACACGACGAGGCTTTTTATATGTAACTACTGACGGAAGCCTAATGATATAAAATAATGATAAACCTAATGATTCCTCCAGTTCCGTTATATGACATCTGGATGTTACAGTAAATAAGTTTTTATCGACATGATTTCCGATAGCTCTACATTACCTATAAACATGTAAAACGTTTCTTGTGAAACGTAAAGCACATTATAAAAGAGAAAATGATAAATAACAGCATTAAATTAAAGCTATTAAACTAAACGTAATATCATGAATAAGTGCAAATTTGTGCTAATCTACAAAAAATATTCTCCACGCAAAACGGAGCACATCAAGAGTGTCCGCGATAGCCACCATGCGCGGACGCATGTGCGCTTATACGACCTGGATGCCCGACCAGCACGAAATAATCCGGTCAATACAACGCGGTCATTATTGTAGCTGGTCTGGCTAACATTCTTGCCACTTAATTTAATTCCATTAGCCGCTGAAATGAACTGATACCACATTTAATATTAATGAAATATTCTCTTATAATCTTAAAATTGCCGACATAAACATTGAAAGCTTCTAGCGAGAAAAACTTCATCTGATCACAGATGCGTCGACCTTACGATTATATTATAGAAATACTCAATCGAACAACGCGATAACAATTCTCGCCTATTAAATGGGTTGCACATTCGTGTTTAGTAGACATATTTGCATTCGAAACCTTACTTACTAATATCTTATCCTGTTGATCGGCGTTTGTAATTAATTTTAATTCGTTAAGTGAATACCAAAACTTCATCAGATTATTAGTTAAAATATGTAAATTACGTTTTTTTTCAGTTCATTACATAAGGTGATGCTCAATAATGTTTAAAGTATACTTATACTAAATTTTATATTGAAACTCAATTTGCGAATTAAATATTCAGTTAAATATAACAAAATGATAAGAACATGTGGGTTCTTATATTTTTGCAGTTTAGATATACTTTAATGAAAGGTATTATTATTATTATGGTAAAATACTTTTTACTTCATAAACATAACCTTACATTTAGTTATCAGGGCAATAATTTAAGCTACATTATGATTTTTAAAATAGAAATGAAAGAATTTATGTCATATTTTAAATAATATAATTGGTATCTGATTTGAAATGCTTATTAAATGGGCCTATTTATCAGTTTGTTAATTCAACTACGATACTTTGTTGCATATCTCTGGTGTCTACCATGTTGATATAGCATTTAAAAATGAATAATATTAAGAATGCAAATTTGAAAATTGTCATTTTTTGAAATCATCGAAGACTGCCTACTGCTCCAGCGGTCGTAGATTTGATTTCTGAATCCATCTATAATTGTATTGATTGCATCTTTTTCATATTAATAGGGACGGCAATATATGTTACCAGTAAAACCTAAGGGAAATGTGATTTAAAATTTATTATAATTAAAAAAAATGCCTTTGAGTTATTTATCAATCAATAAATTTTGCTAAAGACCCTAAACAATGTATGATTATACATTGAAATTAAAAAAAAAAGTAATAAAACCCATGACTAAAAATAAAACTATACTACATTTCTTTTTTCTACTTCCGTTCGTTTCTGGTGCAACTCGTGCTTATCCTAATTGCATGGTAAATAAAATGGCATGTGGAACTAAAACAACAACATCTTCACATTTCACAATTTAGCTTAGTGGGAGGTTGTTACCTTTACATATTTTATTTCTATCTCCATATCAATTTGCAGTTAAATAGTTACCCATTTTAATATTCATAAGTCACTCGATATATTATGTTAAAATCGTATAATGTCGTATTCATTATGCTATCTAAAAATTTATTTTTAATTGCTTTGTATAATGAAGCACCGTGAACGAGATATTTTAAATTATCTTAAAAATGTTTTCAAAAAGAAACAAATTTTAAACATCAGACTGGTTTGGCGTAACTCCGGAAGCGGACTGGTTCTAAACTTAAGATACTTAAGAGTTGATTAAAGTTTCGATTTAACTTATGATCTTGAATTGAATGTCGCTGACCGAGGATTGCTTTTTGTCTCTATTACGTAGATCGAGTAACAGCTTTCACTTAACGCTTGTTGTTATTACCGAAGAATCACGCAACTTTTAGGTAATATAGTACTTACTGCTGCTACGTTTCTGGACATGTTACGGCGGACGCTATTTTAATGGAAACAATTAACACTCTATGCTAATTAGCGTAATAAATGACTTGACGAACGATCTACTCCTTAATACCAATCTAATCTTAGATTGGTTGAACTATAAAATAAGATAAATATTGCATTTGATACACTACTTTAACCGTAAATTTAGTTAGTTTAATAACATCATTAAATAAATAACTTTAATTATACGATGACGATTTAACGAAATACAAATTACCAATTAAAAATAATTACCTCCATAGTTTTTAAGCACAAACCGAATAACACCGAAACAATTAATTAACAGGATAATTTTAAATAAAACTATATTTTCTAATTATGAAAATATTTAAAAAATAATAGTAACAATATGAATCCATTTATGAATAATACTTCAAATATAAATTCTGCTTTAACTTATTCGTCATATACCTACGATAGTTATTCTATTCAAAACTATCTATGATATTATTTTATTCTAAAAACATAAAATGTGATGATCTAATATCCACGACACTTAAAAAGGGTTTAAATAAAAAAAATCAGTAGATTCCGTGACCATGAAGCGTAACAAACGACTCAAGATAATTGCTATAATCGCTGGATTCTTCTCCACACGTGAATCTAATCATTGACGCGAGTTCCGGATGAATATCATACGACCATATCGTAATACGATCCATCGGCATTGTAAAAGTAAATGGCATTTTCATTTTGCTGTCACTATCTCACCTACATGCTATAAAATTCATTAGAAAAGTAACACATGTCTTATTGTCCATTCTATAGAGAATTTATATATTACGATCTAAAGTAAAAAATATTATGTGGTTAAGAGACGATTTCGTGGCAGGAAATAGTCCGAGATATCGCCGTTCTTGGCCGTATTTGTTTTATTACTAGCAATTAAAGCTTGACGCGTTTGATTTACCTTCGTTGCACTGGGAGGAGTCACTTAACTTCCGATACTGCTGCGTATAATGATATCTAATCAGTGTGCAGGTACGTTGACCTGGGTTTTAAAGGTCTGATTGTACCAAAGCTAGCTTAATGAACGGAATAGTAAAATTATTTTAATTTTATCATATATACGTATTATTACCGACTTTCATTACTTCTTGTTACGGTCATCCTTCGACGGACATAGCGTGATGATATGCGTGTATTGCTTTTCATGAAGATGTCATTACACCAACAAAAGTAGTGATGTTATGAAGCAAACGTCTTACTACTTGTGCCTACTTCACTGAGGATTGGTAATTTAATTCTTATCCAAAGCGTGGTGATAGAAACCAGGAATAACCAAGTGTTGAAATCTTGTGACAGAAAAACGAAGAGCAGATGTTTATTAAAATAGATATATATTTCTCCTTGCTTTTGTATTTGATTCAAGATTTTAAAGGTATATCCATGCGTAGGTGAAGGCACTTGCAAAGAGCATTTCTCGTCAATGAATGTTCGCCCACAGTGCGCGTGCGCCGGCCGCCCGCCCACACTCATATAAATTGTACGCTTAACAGTACTCAGGACAAATTGCCATTGTAATAAGTATGATAGTCATTCTATTATAATAAGACCGCTTTCTTCTTACCTGCAGTGATAGCACTACGTGAGTGCAGTGGACGATCATGCAATACCGATATAGATATCAAAGTTAATTTTATTATTTATAGTTATAACTTTTTCACTTCCCCAGGGCAATGCTTGCATTATTCTACTTGAATGGATAAGATAATATGTTTAAACTATATATTGTCTATATAAAGAAATCTTTATCCATTCACGTATTCTTAAATTGGTCATAAACTTGTCCATTGAGGTTTATTTGTATCATTAAATAAAATATTAATGGAAAGAAAAAAACAAAAGGAGCGTTTTATGTGACCGTTTCGGGGCAAGGTTAAATTAATATTACTAAAATTTACCTGATCCTCGAAAATACTATTATTTTAGTATAAAGGAACAAAAAATTAAAGGTGTTCTGTTATCAAGAAACCTGACTAATAAGTTTCACAATATAATGAGGTAAGAAATATTTTCCATTTGAAAACAAAGTACTCAAATAAAAAAAGGTTAAAATTAATCTTTTATAATTCGCATCGCATTCTTCTCTAAAGGCCGTCTGAGCCATTTTTCTTCTAAGTGAACGGGCCAGTGTAATCACGGTTCATTTCCAGCGTGCCTGTCATACTAAAGCGAGCAATCTCTCGCAAGATCTCCTGATAATCTGCCTTATCCCAGGACATTCGCATCGTCGATTTAAATATCGGAATAAAAATATCCCGGTAGACGTACGATTATATCACTAACTATAGTTTTATTTTAGAAAATATCTATAGATTTACACTATCGTTAAATAATGACATATCAAAATAACCTCAGTGATTACTTAATGATTTTCATTAATAAACAAATTTAGCTAACTATACAAGACAATTTTCTATTTGAGCAAATGTAGATATCGAAACTTATGAAATAAATAAATATGTTGGGACATTAACACACAGCACCATCTAGTCCCATGGTAAGCTACGAGGCTTGTGTTATGGAAACCAGATAATTGATACACTACACATATATAACTTTAAATACATACATATTATAAATATAAACACCCATGACTAGAGTACACACATTCGTGCTCATCACACAAATGAATGCCCCCAGCGGGACTCGAACCCGCGACCACTGACACAGCAAGAAGAAATCGCTAATTAGCGATAAGACCGCCTTTTGTGCACACTTTTGTTTCTGTTTCTTTTTTTGATAATGTGTTTACTTGTATTTACTTTATGATTGTGGTGTACAATAAAGTATAAATAAATAAATAAAAATAAATATGGTCACTACAAACTGAGCCAAACGTGTCGTCAAGTGAAGTGAAAGTGGACATATAAAGCTGGCTGACGAATATAAATCTTATAACAAAACAATAATCTAATCATAATAATAATATTAATGAGACTATTTTAGAGTTGCTAAAGAGGGTTCTGACTTAATAATTAAGTAATTATTTTAAGTATTATTATAACAACTCTCAAAACATCATAAGTTTAATTTTGCTTAACTCATAATCAATTACATTTTAATGAGTAGGTTTATAATAATAATAACTTTTTAACTAAAAATATACACTGACTGAATCTTCAAGCTAATAAAGGACTTTAAGTATAACCAATTATTAAAAAAATATGTCGCAGGACACTAAGTGTGGAAAAATTGATAGACTTGTGTAACCCTTTTACACGAGAAATGAGCTAAATTAAACTAATGGCCAAAGTTAGAAGTGTGTAAAAATGTTTGTACCTACCCGTATACTTTTCTCTAATTACGCACTGGCTTATGGCTAGACTGATGTTAATCAATCAATTAGTTAACTTTTATCATGAAATCGTATCATTATGATATTATATTATAAAGCCATTATGAGATTTACAATACTACTAAGAAATGGATGAAAGTCAACAAATATCCATGAAATAAAAAAAAATTTTTTACTTAGCTTGTTAATTCTATTATTATCATTAAGTAATGTACTTATTATCTAAAATATCATTTTGCTCTACATGCAAAAGTAGTCTATGCAACATGCAATGTAGTGCATATTGTGCACAGTTGGTACCATATATATATATATATATATATATATATATATATATATATATATATATATATATATATATATATATATATATATATATATAATAATTAAGTGAAGTACAGACTATAACGAACGTTTTTGTTTTATATTTGTAATTAAAATAAACTTACGAGTACAACAAAAACTGATTAAAAATAAAATACTATAAACAGGTAAAAGATAATAAATTTGTTGTACGATAATCTTATATGGAAAAGTATTTCTGAAAATATTTCCGATTTTTTCTGAAATTTCTTCTCAGGATTAGTTGAATATTATATTACCGAGGTCCGACATTCGTTGGTTGCCATTAGAAACTCTTTTGCCGACGTATTGTCTTCTATAGATGGCGATAAATCCTCTACGTGACGGAATTTTTATATTTCCGATCCCTTCACGCTAACAGTTTTATGATTTATAAATAATCGCTTACATTATTCTAAAGTTATGCTTTTTTCGTAACCATTCATTATATTGCAATAATAATAAGCCTCACAATTATTAAATAAAACTATGTTTTCGGATTATTACGATTATTAGACATGTAACACCTCAGTCTCTCCCGTGACCATGGATGATGTAAAGCATTCGAAACGTCGGGAACCAAAAATCAAAATAAATCCGCAAAATAGTCCGAAAAGATAGTTTTATTTAAAATGTCAAATATTCGCGTAAATCTAAGAAAGTATTAAGCCTCACATATTACATCGAAAGCTTAATTTCTTTAAAATTCATATTAAAAATACATATATTACGAGTATTCAATTGAAGGGTTCGTGAAAGTAATCTTTTCATTAACGTAGAGCAACTAATGTGATAAATAAACAATACGTCATTGAAAGTTGTTTTTATTTCATTTTTCAGTCAAGCGTCGCCTGCACACGCCGCCGCTGTCCGTCTGCTCCATGAGCATTCCTGGTATGAGGTGAGTCATGCTGCTGTATTTATAGGCTAGTACTTACAATGTCTACACCATATTGAGATTATGTGTGTCTGTATATCACGCGTTTCCATATTAAAAAGAGGCAACAGACCTATATTTCTCAATATTTAAAGTTCATCAAAGTAATAAAAAGAAAGGCCTTCTGACAATCTTTATGCAATGCAAAACGATCGAAATCTATATAGTAAATATATTTACTTTTGTGTTTTATTATGAAAATGTTGAGTGCGTCGTTACAAAGTTTTCGAATGTAATCGGAATAACCACTAAAAGAGCTTTTTGCTAATATTAGCTGAAGTGCGTGAGCTTACTATTAGCAAAGAATACCCGTGCCTACATGTTATTAGTGTGCAGCGCACACCTGCCTCGCAGCTTGATGTCAATGCCCGTCAAACGCCGCACTAACTACTTACACCTAGCCAAACATATTTCGAACAAACATTTATACACAAACACTGTCTAATTTCATAATACCTCACTTAACAATACTACATAACTCTCCCGATAGAGCAGTTTCCTATATCCATTCGTGTAGACATGCTTTCTAAGAAAATCATTATTTTCTCTATTTTATTTGTACCGTTAGACATGTAAACGTGATAATTTAACGTTACCTCTATTGTGATATTATTTAATCATCCCAAAAATATACAAATATACAAAGGCTACCAGTTATATTCGAGAATTTTATCATAAGTGGAAAGAAGTAAAAAAAATTGAGGAACTTTTCATGCACAATAATTCAAACAGTAGAGTTACAAATATAATAATTGAGGTTAACTGAACACCTCAGCTCAGCCAACCATAACCGTATTTCTTTATAATTTGACCTAAAACGAAGTCCACTATACATTTTAGCAGCTGTCTAGTAAGTAGGTGCGTATTGCCTACTTAGAAGCTTCTAACACACGTTGCGCTGGCGCCATTAAGATGAACATAATTACCGAGTACGTAAACAAATCGACTCTTGGAATGATGGCGTGCACGGTATTTCCATTCGCACAAAGGAATCTTAAGTGTACAGTAATCTAGGAATCTTAAGCCGGTAGGATTCGCTGGGTCTGTCAGAGCGTGCGTGTTCGTTGCGAATGCTTTAACTTATGCAATTACCAGGGAACGGACCGTCGTCGTTGACGCATTTAGAATATAGTTCAGCAATGTTAACTTTTCATCATCTCTATAATTTTATTGTAACTGTTTTACACACTTGTCTTGTCAAGAATCTAGAGATATACTAACTTATGCATTTGTACTCATTTCAATAGATACACAATTTTATATTTATACTAGCATTGCCCGCGGCTCCGCCCGTGTTCAGATGACCAAAAACCAAATTCTTAGGTTTTAAATATTAGTATACTCTTACATTGCAGTTTTTGTATTTTTTCTCAGAAATGAGATAATAATGTCTATTTCAATTAGATTTTCCAAAAAATATTGAATGTACAGATTCGACTTAGTTACAATTTTATTATATGTATAGATAATCCTCATGATTTCTAAGCCAGATCATTTTTGTCAGTATCAATAGACATCAAATATAAAACACACTGATAATTGCGAAACTAATTTAGGTAATATATCATACACCATTACTACTTTACTGATTAAGAATCTAACTCTCCAATTAATAATTATTAATTGCTTGGCCTGTAACCAATTAATTTTATTAATTAACAATATAATATAGGTGATATTACGTTAAAATGCGTGTTGGAAGTGCTATAAACGTCTTTAATTTCTACTTTTTTTTGCTTTTAAAGTGATTAATACGAACTCTGAATAGATGTTACGATTAGTAAAAAAAACTCAAGTCTTTAATCTATGTCGATACAGAATATAAAAAAATCATTTAACCAGAATTAATAGAAGGTACCTAATATTTAAAAATGACGTAATTAGCTTTATAATACCTACTACAATACTTGAGATAATTAAACAAAAAAACACTGGCGCTTAGAAGCCGCCTGCGTTTCCGGTCAACTCGTTCAACCACTATTGATACCCACGGTGACTCATATAACCTATGATGAACACGCTTAAATGAATAGTTACGACATAACTATTAACTATCTCATCTTAGTTAATTATGGCAGTTCAGTGTGTCCGTCAAACAGAAGCACCTAATGATAGATTCGTCTGAATGCATCCTACGGCGTTACCGTTGCCCGAGAGCGCACAGTTATTTTCATTTCCCTAGTATATGAAAATCTCTTATAATAATATATATTACGCTTACAGTTAGGTATTAGATGATAATAAACGTATAAGTAACAAGTGCTGAGTTACATTTGCATAAGAAAACATTGCATGTAAACAATAATCGCGGATAAAATGCAAAGCCTAACATGGGCAAAGCGAGGAAGATTTGCGTGCTCTACATTGCATAATATAATGAATCTGACCAAACACAATGTTATACGTGTTACGAATTCTCATTCAATTATGTATTTATAAATGAAGCGTGAATATATTATCTAAAAATAGCTGCAAGTTAAATCATCAAAATGCTAAATCAGCTTTAAATTTAAACTTAACATCGCTTCTCGTCTAATTTTTAGTTCCCAAGGTATCTACTGATACACTAATATATTAATATCTACAGATTATAGTAATAAATTTTATTCTAATTGTCCTGCTTTAGCGTGATGGAGTAACAAACATATATAAATGAAAAATTTACATTTATAATAGTAGTCCAATTTCCAATATTGTGTACGTACTTTAAAAATATAATGTCATTTCTAATATAATTTATTTATGTTTACAGAGCAGGATGTGTAGTGCTAGCGCAATGGTTGCGTGATCGGTCACCATGCGCCTCTTCCGCGGTGCGAAGCGCAGGGAAGTGACCGGGCCGCAAGCCGCTCCGCTGGGGGATCTCGCCGCGAACACCCCGCACAGCTACACGCTTGTCACCGCACTCCCCGCCATGGTCATGGAGGATGATGTCAATGATATGAAAAAAGGTAGCAACCGATTAAAACATTCTAACAGAAATGTTTAACCTAAAATTTATTTAAAAGTTATAGAATATCTTCTATATTTACATATATAGAATTACTTGTCTAAACTGACTTATCAACATTCAAACCAAATAGATGTATCTAAAGGGATGAATTTTCAGCTAAAGGCATGGTCACTACTTCATATAAAAAAGGCAGTTTCATATAATTTACAGCTTATATATAAAATTAAATTATTTGTTTCTACAGTGTCCTCATGCTAATATATCTTTCTTTCAGTGTTTGCAACATGGGGTCGACGAATGGGGAAAAAATTAGATATGTTGAAAAAAAATGAGACCAAGGAATCTCCCGAAGAACCAATAAAAAACGAGAACGTAAATGATGAAAATTCTATAATTAGTACGGGCCAGTATAAGAAAAATGGTAAACAAAATTGGAAAATGGGAAGGAGCAGTTCTGATTCGGCATCTATTAAAAAAGATAATGACTCCGATTCTATTAGAAGTGGCTCAAGGGATAGGTCACCTAGTCCCTTTAAATCTTTCTTCCATAGGATGGGTTCTACTGGAATGTTAAATAGTTCTAAAACCCAGTCTCTTAATACACCAAAAACACAGGACAATTATTCTATATCAAATGGACCTTCTCTTTACCGTAGTTGTTCAACATCGCACTTATCTACATATATTAAAGCAGATGATCCTTCCGATGATATAGACTTACAAAATACTAATTCTGGAAATAAAACCTCTCCATCTAAACAAAAACATAATCTTATAGCAGATGAAAATTTAGGTAATTCATCAACGAAAGCCATTAGTTGTGATAATATCCCTAATAAATTAGACGGATCACAAAATACTGGATCGTGTAAAAAACCAAATTTTCCGTATGCGTTTTTGCGTTCGAAATTGTCAGTTTTACCTGAAGAAAACAGCATGGCCTCACAACATAGATCTATATCCGTTAGACAAAGTTTTTCAGAAAGAATAGATCGCAAATCTCCAAAATTAAGAAGAGATAGAATATATTTACCTAATTCAAGATCAGAAGAAAGATATCAAAGTAGTGATAATATATCTATCCATGGGGAAAATATTCTTATGAATGGAGGTCTAAGAAATAATTATGATTTTGCCAGGAGTTCAATGAGAAGTATTAATGATAGCGAATTAAACCCATACCAATCTCGAAATATTGAAGATGTTCCTAGAAGGTCATCTATGATATCTCAGAAAGCTCCTTTCGATTATGATCCTATGCTCACACCAAGAAATAGAAACAGTTTACCCGTATATGAATATCGAGCAGCTTTAGGTTCCTCACAGGATTTAAAGACTGACCTTGCATCTTCTAACCAAAGTATACATCAAGAAGTCCTTCAAGCTCACCGATTGAGTAATTATGTAAGCTCAAATGAATCCGGCTATGACAGTGATGGTAGGCCGACAGATGAACACAGTAACCATTCACCTCCGGGATATTTATGTAATACAAAAAGTATATCAAATAATATGAATGGTGAATTGAGTCACAGTACGTTTTCACGCCAGTTGAGTCTAAATCAAAAGATAAATGGAAATAAAGTTCAAATTCCAACTAGAAGAAGTTCTACTCCTTGTGCGTTATTTCCTTTAGAGAAAAATACATCCTATGAATATGAAAATGAAAATAAATACAAACAAAATGAAGTAAATCAACTTATAACGATAGATTACAATGATGCTAAGCCACCGCCACTGCCAAAGAAAACAATAAATAAAAAACTGCCCTACATTTACAAAACCATAACTTTAGATGAACGTGTACAAACAAGAAAAATCAAATTATTACAATCACAATTGGTTTCTATTGACCATTCTTCTACGCCTAATCTCAGCGAAAATGTTCTTAACATGTCTGAAGATTTGGTCGATATACAGCAAATTCAAGAAACGGATATTCTTGGCAGGGGGCCCTGTACAAAACGCTTCAGAAAAATAAGATTGTTAAAGTCAAGATTAGACGAAAGCTTGGGAGTATATCTAGCGCAGCATAGAGTAGACTACGAAAGCGGTGGATCTAACTACGAAATTCGTTATATAGTTGTAAAACTTGATTTTGATGGCATAGCACATAGAGATGGGAGGCTTCGATTAGGCGATGAAATAGTTAATGTGAATGGTAAAGTTTTAAGAGGGCTATCTTCTTTGAGAGAGGTCCAACATATTGTAAATTCCTGTTCTACAGAAGCAACCATTGAAGAAGGTGCACTATTTCAAAGATATCAGGTAGACCTTGTCATGGCACATGACGAAATATCTCCAATTATATTAAGTCGAATTATAAATAATCAGCCTAGTGAACAGAGTCCAATGCATTCTATGTCAAACATCCCACCTGACATAATACCTCAAACAATACACAAACCTTCGTCATCCAGTCAAATTGTAATTGAAACGCATTTTCCAAGTGAGGATCAATCATACAACCCACATTTAAATTTTACAAGTGAGCATTATAATGAAAAATTGGAATCAAATAAAAAATGTGAAATTGGAGTTCAGGTAAACAATAGTCTATTGTTATCAAATCAGAAAAGTGACGACGAAAAGTTATTAGAACGTAACTGCTACACGCAATCTCATCCGTCTCTGCAAAACATCACAAACATAGAAATTTCAATGAGATCATCTCCAACATTAAGACACGCAAATAATAACAATTATAGACCGATATCACTTCACAGCTCTCGCCCTCAACCGATAGTTGGTTTATCCGCCTGTAACGACAACGCTTCGAATGAAATTAAAGAAAATCCTTCTCATTATATAAAAAATGCACAAAGATTATATCAAAATAGATCTTTTGAAAGCATACCAGAACAATTGAGATGCAATAACAGTCGCAGTAGATTTTTTAATAGGGTGGGGTCACAAAGATGTTCGCCTAATTACGGAACACATGTATCACGTCATCAAGAATATAGTAATGGCCCAGAAAATATACATGTTTCTTATAACACATTGCACAGAGCTGAATTTTGGAAAGGATCTGGTCACAAGAGTCTCGGATTCAGTATTGTCGGAGGAACTGATTCTCCGAAAGGCCAAATGGGAATCTTTGTTAAGACAGTATTTCCAAATGGTCAAGCAGCTGATAAGGGAACTATCTATGAAGGTACTACAAATGAAAATTAAATGATACTATAGTATATTATCTAAAAATCGCAAATTAATCCATGATATCAAATTTCAGGTGACGAGATTTTGTCTGTTAACAACGTACCGACGCGTGGACTGAGCCACGCAGGCGCGATATCGTTGTTCAAACAAGTTAAAGAAGGAAAAATAGAACTGACGCTTTCAAGAAGAAGGTAGAGAATAAATTTAATCATATTATTCATATTATAGATGACACTAAATTTTAATTGGAAAAATAATAGTAATCAGTTATTTGTTTCAGAGCTCCTAGGTCAAGATCTGTGGAACCTCTCGGCAATTTTCGCGGTGACACCAAAAGAGATTAATGCTAGATGCTCCCCAAAGACAGTTAAACATGTTCATATTAAGTGCAATAACATTTAACATTTTACTTTACTATTTGGCCAAAGGCGAAAACATTTATTACTATTTAGAATTACTTCTTAGATATTTAAAGGTACGTGGTACTATAACGTTATGTGAAGGCGAGTCTTCTCTTCTTAAAGCTTCTTATTCATGTTGATAAATAAAATGGCTGGAATATTTATGTTACACATTTAATTTATCAGCTTATCAAATTATATTGTATATAATGCGCCACGCTTCCTACTTTCTTACATTTAAAACATACTTTTATTGTAGTCATGTGTCGATATTTTATGTGAAATATTGATAAGTTAAAATAAGACTGTATGAAGTATCTACCTGTAAGTTCTTATGTTAGATATGATATTACTTATATGATAATTATAATATCCCGTTAGGAATGCTAGATCTCGTTATATTCCCGCTGTAATTGTACGTATTCACTAGGTGCTAAATATGTTCACTCTAATTTATAGCTTCTATAATATAATAACAGAACTCATAACTTTAAATCTAACATTAAATAGACTGATAATTCGATTTTCTATTACAATTCCTTGTACCTATATTCACAACCAAAGGTTAGTCGTAACGTGGGTATTATTTAAATCGATTTACTACGCAATCTCTATTATTGTAATACAAGTCGCCGATCTGTAAATGACAGCGAATGTACTCCGTCCATTTAAAAGTATTTAAAAGGTCAATTATTGTTTTTTTTGTATTAAAAAATTGGCTGCCACAAACGAGAGAACAAAGCAAGTGAGACTCGATGAGAAACGAACAGAACCGAAACCATCCAAAACGATCGAAATTAAACGTTTATAATAATGATATCCAAAATCAGTATTGATAAAATGATAATTATAGTATTTGTAAATAAATTGTTAAGGTATCTCCCGATGCTTCCACGTCTTTAGTTGAAAATAAAACATTTATCAGTACCAAATCTTTTTTATTATATTTAATTCTAAAATAAAAACTACGTATAAATATTAATAATAATATAAAAATACTTTCTACTGGCAATAGCAGGATGCTGGAGGGAAGTACTTTATTTATAACTGTCATTATAAAAACTTCTACACAGTCGTTACAACAATTTTCTTGTCAATATTAATTATTTAATGTCGCATAAAATAGCAACTCCTCTGAGGATCCAGTGATCGGGATTTTTAAGTGTAGGCAACCATAGTGGTGTAATAAAAGTTAAATCTGTGCGACGTGGTTTCTTATACACAGGACACTGGAAGATTAGTTTTAAATTATTTATTTACTACTGCTAAGATATGCTTACAATGAATGGCTAAACTCCCTAATCACTATTCACTGTTTCCACATTATGTAAGTGAATATTTTAGGTTCTTTCAGACATGCAGGTTTCGTCACGATGTTTTCCTTCACCGTAAGGCAAGTTTATTGATGGCATAGTGGTAATCATCTTGGAAATGATTCGCATATGAAAATATCAGAGGTGCGAGAGAGCCGAGATTTGAACTCGCTTCAGTGTTTCCAAAACGAACGTATCATAACTGGACCACCACTGCCTTGTTTTTTTAATATTAAGTCATAATAAAGGTAGGATAAAGTGTAACTTACTTAGTTGAAGAACATAATATATGTTTAACTTCTTTGATCACCCACGATGTACATTTGTACTAATATTCTTATAATATATGTGAAATTAACTCAACTTTTCATGGTTGAGCCACTGAACAGATTTCGGCGAAATTGAACAAATACATAGATTGATGGGAACGAACATAGGCTACCTTTTATCCCCATTACTTATTCATGCTCTTAAAAAAAGTCTTGGCGGCCGTTTAGAATTGGGGACTTGGCCCCTAGCGGAGTGGGTGGTATTTCTGGATAAGGGACGTGATAGGGAGTCGAAATGTTAAATAAAAATTGTCCGCGAACGTATGAGTAAAAAGTTATTGAGACTTAAAGTTACAACATTTCCATACATTATTTTGACATTACTACCATTTAGACACTTGGAGTCAAAACGTCACTTTCAATTGTCAAAATGATCTCCAGATGATTGTCTTTATTTGTACTTTGCGTGAAATTCGAATTTTCTAGTTTTCTAGTCATTTATGGCACTCGCCGGCCGCTACCGCGGCACGCTCGCTTCGCTCGCTCGGCTCGTGCGTTGTGGCAACTGTTCTAACCTAACCTAACCAAGATATGAGGAATAATAAATAAATAATCTTAAATGTTCTAACCTAACCTAACCCAGATATGAGGAATAATAAATAAATAAATAATCTTAAATGTTCTAACCTAACCTAACCCAGATATGAGGAATAATAAATAAATAATCTTAAATGTTCTAACCTAACCTAACCAAGATATGACGAATAATAAATAAATAACCTTTGTCTTAAACTAACCACGATGTCGCAAAATAAAAACCAAAAGTAAATAATACATTTAGATTTTAAAAATAGTCTACTTACGTTTATAAATTGTTTACACTAACACTATGAACACTTAAAACTATAAAAATAATATTAAAACAAAAACAAGAAACGAAAGTATATAAAAATTAACAAAAACTAATAACTAATGGAAAATACACAGAGTACAGAGTCACAAATTATGAAACTTCGCGGTATTTTAAGAACACCCGCCAATAATACTGAAAAATATTCACAGATAAAAAAATGTTTTTTTTTTACTAAATGTACAATTGTAAAACAATATATTTTACATAAATCAGATAAAAAATCATAAATGTATTTATGAAATGAAAATAATATTTTTCTTTTTATTTATTTATTTATTAATATTAATATTTTACCAACAGAAAAAGCAAAAATAATCAAATATAATCTGTTGTCATTTAAGCGGTAATATAAAACAAAGTGTCAGTTTTGCTTTTGTCAAAATGTAAGATCATATTGTTTGTGTTGTGAAATTATTAAAATATTAAATACAATAAAGCATTAATTGTTGTGAAAATGTGTAATGTACATAAAAAAGGATGCGTACTATTCGTTAAAGGTATGTTTATCTGTTGTAATCACTTATTTAGGTAAAGAAATGTATGGAAATGTGTTAGATATGTTATAACTTTAAGTCTCAATAACTTTTCACTCGTACGTTTCCTCCAAATATTTTTAATATATTTTGACTCTCTGTCACCTCCCCTATCTAAAAATACCACCCACTCCGAATGGTGGTAAAGAAATATATGAAAATGTATGGAAATGTTGTAACTTTAAGTCTCAATAACTTTTTACTCATACGTTCGCGGACAATTTTTATTTAACATTTCGACTCCCTATCACGTCCCTTATCCAGAAATACCACCCACTCCGCTAGGGGCCAAGTCCCCAATTCTGAATTTGTGCCAAAGTCTTACATTTCTTTTATATACTTCATCCAATTAATATTGATGAATCGACTCTATATTAGAGACGAAATGGATCATCTTTGCATTATATATTTGTCTCACAAATATTTTTCATTTGCAGTTTATTGAAGGAAAATCTTAGATATATCTGGTATCCGGCCGGACGGCAAAATAAAATCGGATAGGCCTGATATCGGCTGGGTACGAGATATCCGTTTCTTCCCTCTCTGTATCTTATTAAAGTATGTCAGAAACTCATACCCACCTGATAAAGCTTAGGATCTTTAGGTGCAGTAGAATTGATAGCGTAGATATGAACTACGGGTAAGGCGGTGTATAAGACTTTCAGTGTGGACTCGCACAGACGCTGGTTGCGCCGGTCCCAGCCAGCGCCGTCGACGAACAAACCGTGCACAAATACACCCTCCTATATAAACGTCATGTTTTAATTGCATTTTTGTACAAATCCATTAAAAACAATTAATTTAAATTATTAAGACTTTATTCATTTGAAATATCTTTACAGATACTCGTTCCCATAAAATATAAGATAATAGTTTAAAATTCTTATGATTTCCAGCTTCAATGGTACTGAATTAAGCTGTGGTTACAAAAATAACAATCACATCATGCGCGAGTTACACACGATCGGACAAAAGTAATAAATTTTGAAGGCAGGCACTAAACATGGTATTTTAAAATTGAAAAGTAAAACTGATAAAATCTTGATAGTCTTTCTAGAGCTGTTTAAATTTGGCTTCATTTATAATTCTTTATTATGAGATCTAATATAAAAGTAATATAAAAACTAAATAATGACATCTTCAACGGGTATTCTTTTATCACTCCGCATGTAAAGCTACAAAAAAGCTCATTAAGTGTTTCATTAGAAAATGTTCAATTTAAATAACTATATAATTAAACATACAGCTGGAGGTGCTTTAATTTCTTCGTATGTGGATTTAGTCACGTCATTATGCAACGAGACCATATCCAGGGCCCATCCCTTGTGAGCTCTCGTCACTTCTTGTCGCATGGCCGTTAGAAACCCTTAAAACATGTTCACATCTTAAAATCATTGATATTGATAATTTTTTTGTAAAATATTCAAGTGCAAATTTATTAGCATTAATATATATATATATATATATATATATATATATATATAAATATATATATATATATATATATATATATATATATATATATATATATATATATATATATTTATACTATAATAAATTATTTTGACTCCAACTTCAATTGGAATTGGTACTATTATAAAAGCGAAAATGCGTATACAACCACCTATACGTATGACGTGTGTATTTATATATTTTTTTATTTTTTACGCCGAAATAGCTGGACGGATTTGAATAAAATTTTGTGAACCGATAGATTATAATCTAGAGTCCTGAAGTAACTTAAAAGCTACTTACTGTTAGGCACATAGAGAGGCGCGTGAGTCGCTAGTAATGACATATTTTGTAAAAACGACAATTAATTTTAACCACGATGAAACTTATTCCGAATCTGTACTTAATAAAATACATATAAGCATTGATAATAATGCATACCTAATCTTATTAAGATTTTTTTAACTATAAGATAATATCTTTTTTTTAAATCTTGTAGAGTAATTACAAATAATCATCACTCTGTATTTACCTTGAGGATTAAAAAAGCCGGTCATCCAAAAGGAGTGGGGGCGCGCTTGGAAGCACCACGTGGAGAACTGGAGGTTGCGCTCGAGGAACTCTGTGAACCAGAAGCCGAGCGTGGACGACGACCACGACGCCTTCTGCCAGATGCTGGGCGCCTTCGCGTCGTAGATGTTGTCGAGGGAGTCTCGGAGTGCCTGTTTCACTTTTAATACTATAGTTTATTTTGTAATTTTTGTAACTGATTTTTTTATTACTCTCGACGGAACGGAGACGGTATATGCGTTTGGGGTGAAATGATATTTGTTTGTTTGTTTGTTTGTTTATTTGTTTGTTTTTGCAAATACATGTTACCATTTTTCTTCAAAACTACTAGTAAAATTATAAAAATGATAGTAGTTGTAGGTTTTCGTATGCTTAATGATAGTTTAATAAAAATGTTAAGATTCTTCTAAATGAATTATTTTATCGCTATGAACAAAATAACTAGTGAACTCACTCGAAACAATAAATAACGCGCTTTCAAAGGAATTCAATAAATACCTAATACAATCTGTTAAACTTTATGTATAGAATTGTAAAACAAAAGTATTATGGTCGTTCTTAGAAATTTAATTATTTCAACCTGTGAAATGTAATATAATTTTTTTTTAATGTAAACTCGTATTTTATACGAAGAAGAGTGCAATTAAAATACCTCATTCATAATAATTGTTCCGTCTATCGCAAGCAGTAAATCTTTAAGAGTACTTCTCACTAGAGATATTACTTTCTGCATTCTATCAATTTCCTGCCTCAAGAATATCACCATGGAATTCAATATGCCGTAGTATCGTAATCTTGAACAAGGAACAGTATTATTACATATTTTCTTAGAATATAAAACTTTAAAAAAAAACGACTTCCAGGCACTAAAATGTAAAAAATAACTAAACGGAGGTTTTCATTTAGAATAGATACCTAATCAGATATTTTCGAAGTCGGTGCCAGCCGATATGCAAAGCAAATCTAATACATTTCGATACGTAAAATATACTTACCTATTAGATATGCATTCATATCTTAAAATATTGTCGGTTGGCACCGACTTCGAAAATATCTGATTAGGTATCTATTCTAAATGAAAACCTCCGTTTAGTTATTTTTTACATTTTAGTGCCTGGAACTCGGTTTTTTTTTAAGGTTTTATTTTTCCATTTTTAGTGTAGGCGTAATAAACAGGTAATTTGTAAGAAGAAAGTTTTTAATAACATATTCGATTAAACAATTTATTTAAAAAATATATTTATTGTTGATTTTTTAAAAAAACCGCTCGACCGATTTCGATAAAATTAATATGGAACCACCTGGAAAGTATACCCTTTGAAACACAAAAACAAATTTCCAAATCGGTTCAGGCATCTTGGAGTAATCGGTGCACATACATAAAAAAAAGAAAATAAAAGATTCCGACGAATTGAGAACCTCCTCCTTTTTGAAAGTCGGTTAAAAATTTGCCTTGATAGATCCTTATTTCACTTTCATATTAATGTAACTAAACTAATTATTTATTTACATTATGTACTCGAATCCTTATTAAAATATTAATAATTTAACTAAAAACTTTAAGAAAAGTTAAGGAATAAATATAGGAACATATATTCCTAAAGTACGAAGCAAGTTATTTATAATACTTCATAGCACTCTACTGTTATCTTTATAGTTAATATTACAATATAAATAATTAATTTTAATTGAGTAAGCACCTTTCTTTTACTTCATGCGGATCGAAATTTGGCGGTACTTTCTCCAGCATCTCTTTGCTTTGTCTATACACGGATGCCTCGCGAGTCTCGCCGCCGCTTGAACTAGACTCTTTCGGTTGGATCGATAGTATTGTGTCCAGTAACTCTTGGGTTATATTTCTTTGATAACTAAAATATATTATTATTTAAAACATTATATTAGAGCACATGGCATGTTTAATCAAATTCTTTTTATTTAATTTATAGCGTTTGTTCATTGCGTTTCGCGTCCACGTTTAGCTCAGTTTGTAGTGACCCTACTTGCTATGCCAGTGGTCGCAGGTTCGAGTCCCGCTGGGGTCATTCATTTGTGTGATGATCACAAATGTCTGTACTCCAGTCATGGGTGTATATATTTATGATATGTATGTATTTTAAGCTATATATGTGTAGTGTATCAACTATCTGGTATTCTTAGCACAAGCCTCGTAGCTTACCATGGAGCTCATCTAGCTCCATGCTATGTGTTAGTGTCCCAACATATATATAAATACATATTGCTTTCTGAATATATTGATTTATTTTTTGCAGCCAATAAACGCTAATAAATCTAATGTTATTTTACGGTGTATTTTACGTATGTATTTAGCCCTTTTTAGCGTCCCACTGCTGGGCACCGGCCTCCCTCCCTTCAATCCCTTCTACGCTGGTCAAGTGCGGTTTGCGGACATCACAAGTCTTTCTAAAACTTGCTAGATTCTCATAGACATGTGGGTTTCCTCACAATGTTTTCCTTCACCATAAGATAAGTGGTAATCATCGAAAATGATTCGCACGTGAAAATTCATCAGGGGTGCGAGACCCGGGATTTGAATCGCTTCATTGGCAATTTCTCAAGCGAGCGCGTTACCACTGGGCTACAATTGCCTTTTTATTTTACGGTACCACAAATAAAAATATTCTAAAAGTTATCATACCGATTGAAATGAAACGCATATTTATTTATTTTATTTCGTACAAAATACTCTACTAGATGCTTAAAGCATTCTAAAAAAATATCCAATATATTGCGAAGATTTTGTATTTAATAAGTACTACATATTCTCTTTATTGCACTCACAACACATCATATAGAGTCATTTACATGGAAATTAGTGAAATTACATAAACAAAAGTAGACTTAGACTTACTTATAAGGAATGTCTACCAATCACGAGTCAACTCATGGCCGTGATAATAGCAGCAGGTGAATTTGGTGCAAGAAAACATATAAATAATTATAATATATTCTTCCATACATAAACTCTAATAGATAAAATATATGTATGTGTATATAAATTTAATAATCTATACTAATATTATAAAGATACATTGTTTGTTTGAACGCGCTAATCTCTGGAACTACTAATCCGATTTGAAAAATTCTTTTTGCATTATATAGCTCGCATATTGAGGTAGGCTGTATATCATCATGCTGCTATTCAAGGGAGCGGAACAGTAATCATAAATGTCAACAAATCGGGCAGACTTCCATACATTGTTGTAAAACTGATATTTATATCGGAAGTTTAAGCGCGGGCGAATCCGCAGGTACTGCTAGTTGAATTATAATGAAAATGAAACTAACGTAATATCAGCATTTGTGTGTAGACCGTAAGCTTGTGGCGGGTCAGTAGTTTTCATTTTCTCAATTTCTTCAATATACTCGGGAATATTTTTGAATTTCATTATACTATAGTTTTTATAAAATTGGAAGTCATCAGAGAACAATTGCTCCGTAAACCACACTCTACAGAACGTTTCGAGGAGGCGGTTGTCATAATCATCCGTCACTCTCCCTCCATATTGTACGGCAGACACCATGTACCTATGCAAAGTAATCAAAAAAGTAAGGAAAATAAATATGGTCGTAGTATAACTTAATTTATATATTTCATAAAATAGATACTAGTGCATTGCAAAAAGTTGCTATTGGATTATTAAAGACAGAATATCGATAGGGCAGGTCATATACCTATTCCTTTATTTATGGGTATTACATGTTATAAATATTTTATTTAAATAGTTTTTTATTTGAAAGTATAAAAAATGGGAAAAGGAATCGTTTATTTTTATTCGAATAACAACACATTTTGTCAATATTTATTCATGTGGTCACACACTTTGTCAATATTTATTCATGTGGTCGAAGTGTCAGTATGTTCTCTAACTATTCGCAAGTAAAATAATATATAATAGCATACTAATAAAAATATAAATACAAAATATAAAGAATATATTTACTTACCGTACTGTAGTCCAGCTAACCTGCTGACCAGGTTCTAGTACATCCAGATGATTTTGGACAAACATACACGAAGCGAGCCAATCTGCCGAGTTGAACTCATAGGGAATGTTCCACCCCAAGGGCCCGAACTTACGTCTCTCTTGCACCACGGTGTGAAGGAACGAGATCGTGTATATGAGAGGCAAATAGAATGGACTATCGCTGTAGTCTAGGAAATCTTGACTCATCGAATCGTAAGTTCTCATTAAACCAGCTTTTATACCTTAGTTGTTCCAAAATATATTAATTTAATAATATTGTAAAGTCTTTAAAGTTCTTTTACGTAATATAATGAGTTTTATTTGAGTTTGTTATAAACAAACAATTATTTAATTTTATTTATGACCTTCTCTAAAGTCGGAAGTCATTGCGCTTCAACTCAAAACATAAGAACACAGCACTTCACTACGTGTGTAGTGAAGGTTAATAGAGTCAATTTAAATTTTCGATTACTTCATCCAGTCGTCAATTTAATCTCTACGATTTAATATTATGTCCTAACCTTTGATACATATTTGACATAATACCTTTAATCACAGTCAATTTTAAAAGTTAAAATAACACAGAAGGATTTCAGTTTTTTTTTTATATAAGAATTAAAAATGTAAACATACCCGATGGAGGCTCGCAAGTATATTTAATGGACATTTGTAAAAGGGTAATTGGAAATTTATCGTGAACTTCCGTAGTAATCCACAATCTAAAATAAGAAAATGGATAAGACAATTGAATAGAGGAAAATAGTTAAAGAAATAGGACAAATTATTGTAAATTAAATAACCTGAAAGTTTCGTGAACCTTTTCCGGCTCCTTCTCTAATTCACCAAATTGCTCCATAATTTCTACCATGTATTCCAAGCCTAAATGGCAGTTTTGAAGTAAAACCCATAAGCCCTGTTGGACGATATTAATTATTATCTCGCATGTTCCAACAGTTTTCCTATGTCACTTTTACTCGAATCTCCCTCACTATTCACCAGTGAAAGTCCCATTAAAATATGTTCGTGCCAGAAATAAACGGGTACAAATGACTTACAAAAACATTTTATTCGTTTTTTGGCCGTTTAAGTTAACTGGTAACTAATCTTAGCTTAACTGTGATGCTTCCCTAGGTGCCTAACAGTAGGTAGTACTTCAGGTCACAGTCTATTTGTATAGTAAATTTTGTCTAAATTTGTTCAGCTGCTTCAGCATGGTGGCGTAATAGACACATACACACATACACACACACTCATGCATATATATTTAAAAATTTCAAATTTTAATAGTATTTTGATTATATTGAAATCAGACATACATTTCACTTTTATTTATAAGTACATATAGTTTAATTACCTCTTTCAATGCCCGGTCAATCAATTTTCTCGCATGTACTTCCTGACCCTGTCCCATAGATATTGAAGAACAAAGGCATTCAAGCCTCTTGGCAGTTTGTTCGATCGATGGCGTTGGATCCGAGCCCATAGAGAGAAAACCAATTAGGGGCACTAATGGGCGTGATTCGATCACCATTTGCTATAAATGAATAGACATTAAAGCTATGATGAATGCATGCATGTATATAAATAAATATGTTGGGACATTAACACACAGCACCATCTAGTTCCATGGTAAGCTACGAGGCTTGTGTTATGGATACCAGATAGTTGATACACTACACATATATAACTTTAAATTCATACATATTATAAATATAAACATCCATGACTGGAGTACAAACATTCGTGTTCATCACGCAAATGAATGCCCCTAGCGGGACTCGAACCCGCAACCGCTGGCACATCAAGTAGGGTCACTACAAACTGAGCCAAACGTGTCGTCAAATATAAACTATATGATATCATTTAAACTTTAACGTTTTCAATTTTACCTCATAATTCACAATGACAGCTTCAGAAAACTTTGTTCCCATTGAACTTATCACATATTTCCTGTAAATTCAGGAATCATAAATTTCGATCTATAACTAAACTAAATAAAAATTATCAGGGATTCAAATCTTATTACTTCTTACTCAAGAAATAATAAAAATTTATGTTTTTTTTTTGTAAAATATACCTAAAAAAATATTTTTTATCATAGTTTAATTTTTTTCGAACATTAAACTTGATGTATTCCTCTTAATCGTAAATTGAGACACAAGTCCATTCACGCCTTATGTATAACATAAAAACAACTAAATAATAAAAAAATAATATACGATCGAATTGAGAACCTACTCCTTTTTGGAAGTCGGTTGATAATCTATTATCTAACTAAAAGAAATATGAACTCTTACAAGCTCTGTGCAAGCGCTCGATCAGGGCACCAGGAGCGGACCATCAACAGCTTCCTGAACACATCGAGTGTATGATATCCATCCGGTAACGGGTCGTCCTCGGGAGCCTCTTTATCAAACCTTCAAACGAAATTATAGACCATATACCTTGTAACGCATTATCACCCTTAACTCTCACCGGTCGTGTCGAGTGGTCGTCCCACCGGAGTATGAGAGTGATAGGAATAGAGAGTGCACTTGTGTCTGCGCGTACACTTGTACACTTGAGCACTATAATATCTCCTGCGCAGTTGGCTAATCTCATTGAGATTGGCCGCCGTGGCCGGAATCGGCTAGGAGAACATCATCAACGCATTATCAACTTTATAAACTACTCGTAGGTTTACTATCATAAAGCTGTAAAAAAAGTTGAGTTAAAATTCGGGAAAAAGTTCTTAAAGTTCCTCAAGACTGGACTATAAAATAAATTATAAATTGTTTTATATCTATGCCAAAGCTTTAGCGCGTATGCTTGTTGTATAAGTATAATGTTTATATTATTAATCATATACATATATGTTCTTTTAAAAATACCCTTTTTTTGAAGTCAGTTAATAATGTTGCATTTGAATCGCAATCGTAAAGAGTAGCTAGCTTTAAAATAATACTCTATCAACCAACCAATTCTTCCAGCCTTTTTCATTATTCGTAACTTGGTCAAGTATATTCGTAAATTGCCGCAGACCAGACAATTGTACTAAGTTTAACCAGGACATATCAGTTACCCATTTAAACGGTTTCGGAGGACACGCATTCAAATCAAGTGCAGCGCCACCTAAATTATAGCCATTGTTAAATTTTGTTTTAGAAATACGTATACTTTAAATTCAAATCAACAGATAAACATTTACCCTTTATAAATGTCTGAAACTCATCATACGATATATATTCTCTTTGCAGATCAATCTTGAGAGTTAATAGCAATGTGAAAAGATATTTATGCTTCTCATAAAATCCTCTGCTAATATATTTCCACACGTCATAAGTCTAGATAAAAATAATAATACACGTGATACAACAAATATACGAAAAGATAAGACAAATTTGTATATTCTATCGTATTCCTAGAATACAATAATTTACATTTTACAAAGTATGACTAACATAATTCGTTGGCTTACTATTATACTTACTACAAGGTTCTATGTTAATTTTAATGAAGTTTAGTAATTTTTACATATAACTTCGTTATTTTGTTATCGTAAAAAAAACAACATAGAACTATGTAAAATTGAATGTTTTGTAGTTATAGTGCCGCTATCTAGTGGTTTGTTTTTGCAAAACTGTAGCTAATGACACATAGAACCTTGTAGCATTAATAACTAAATAAGTACTAAAATTGTAACATAGAACTTTGTAATAGTGAGCCAACGATATGTATAGTGCTTCAAACGTTACTTTTGACACACAATTCTATGGAAATGTGATAACATTTAAGACACTCAACGTAAAGCAGACAAATAAAAATGTTGACATTTCCGATTTTAGTAATATTTGGTTAAGCTATAGGTATATAGTACATATTATGTTCTGGACCTAGACATCATTTTTTTATAGCATAAAAACTGGTTATGTAGTTAGAGGATTTTTCGTAACCTTCAGATATGCGCTACTTCGAAGCTCTTTATCTAATGTTAAAAAGTTATATTAAAAGAAATAATATAGTGATATTTGTAATTCACTTAATGGGTATTTTAATTAAAACTAAAATGTTTTTTTGTTTATTTATTTTTTTTTAATTTGAATTCCACAATGTTTTAATATTTTTTTTTATTTCTTTACTAAAATATCTAATAGTGTATAGATTTTGTGTCTTGTATTATTTAAATCGGAAACGTCAACACGTTTTACGGGTCCACTTCACGTGGTGCTAGGTGCCAATATTTAATTAAAAACATATAGGTTTTTCCTTAATATCTTAAAGTTAAAAAAAAACCTTTCTGCAATCTTTAATGCAATATTGAATCAAATGTACACTTACCAAGTATTCAATAATAAAGGCAATTCGCTTAAACGTGATGGGACTTTGCGGCGATCGTTCCATTGATATATCGAACCTCTCCAGGAACTGTGCCAGAGATGTCTGATACATGTTGCATACAAGCGACATGTTGCAGATTAAAAAGTATAGCACAGAGCCGCGAGTCGCCACCGGTCTGAACTCTTCACGTGCTATGTTTATCTTTTGTTCTGTTTCCTTTGCCCCGTCTAGTTTTTCTTTGACCTAATATAATAAAAATTAATTTCCATCAAAAATAATTCAAATATTTACATAATATTTCTAGAACTTCCTAAGTGGTGTTTTGTTAAAATTAAAATATGATCTTTATGAATAATAAAGGTATAAAAAATAATTCTGATTATATATTTCGCGGATTTATTTTAATTTTTGGTTTCCGACGTTTCAAATGCTTCATATCAAACAAGGTCAATAAGGTAAGGCCTAAAAATGTAAAAATAACATATACATTTATATTTATCAAGCAAGTTCACTGAAGATAAAAAATCCGTGGGTAAATTGAACGTAAATATGTAATAAAATTACAATTTTACTTCGGAGGTTTGTATGCATATGTTATTGTATTTATCTCAGAGCATACCTCAGTAGCAGTAGCTTTTGTGATATTCAGCACTTGAATCAAAGACACGTCTTCAACTAGCGACCCTTGTATAGTAGTCAATTTGTGCAACAAATTCTCTTCTAATTCCTGCATTTTACGTCTATTTGCCGTAACGTCCATTATCAACTGGGTTCGTTCAGCTTCCATCTCAGCCTTCTCCGTTAATATCACACGTCCTAGTAATTGGTCTTCCAGACCTATTGTATATAATTAAATCGAAATCAGTGGAAAATATTTATTAATTACTAGCAACTTAACCCCCTTCGCTCGGCTTCGCAGATCTAAGCTTAAGAACTTAAAGTTTAGAATTTAGAAGTGCATAAAAGATAAACGTGCAAAAAAAATTTACACCAGAAACCTACGGAGGGTTATACAAAATAATCCATCAGAACTTCATCACAATTGGATCAATATTTAGGAAATCATGGACAAACATACTAGATTTTTCATCATTCGAGTGCCTTACCTGCCTATGTTCTTCTTCCAAATCATAGTCCATCTTGGTACCATCCAAATCTGTTCAACCGTTTCAGCGTAAAGGAGTAAAAAATATACACACACAATCGCAATTATAATAGTCCGATATTATCTGATAGGTATATCTTTAAATTGTATTGTATTCAGCCCTTTTTGACGTCCCAGTGCTGGGCACGGGCCTCCCTTGAGTACGAGGGGACTCAGGCCAGAGTCCACCACGCTGGCCAAGTGCGGCTTGGTGGACTTTACATGTCTTTCGAAAACTTGCTAGGTTCTTTCAGACATGCAGGTTTCCTCACGATATTTTCCTTCACCGTAAGGCAAGTAGTAATCATGTCAAAAATGATCCGCACATGAAGATATCAGAGGTGCGAGACCCGGGATTTGAACCCGCTTCCCTGATTACACAAGCGAGCGCGTTACCACTGGGCTACCACTGCCTCGTACCTATATATCTTTAAATATATTTAGATCGATGATAATGTATGTGGGTACCTTGCATCGTGACTGTAAAGTCTATGATGGAAGTACGCGCCGATATTTCCGGTGTATAGGCTGGGTTGGGTAGTTTAGTTGTTATATAAATTTTATGACCTGCCATCACGTCAATTTCTTTATCACCCAATTTTACCTGTAATTACTTTATTTTCAATTTATTTCATTATTGTAATATTTCGAATATGTAAAATGTAATATACTCTTAATATAGTGAAATGATAATATATTAATAAATTGTTAAAAGCATGTGTAATTATAAAACGGTTTACTTTGAAAGATGAACCAATTTTAATATAATTTCTCTCCAGAATATTATCTAGAGCTGGATCAAGTTCTTCAGCGACATCTTCGATTAACATCGGTCTTCCCAATGACACACAATCTTCTACATGGTTTCTGTATAAAAATATAACATATACAATAAAGAATTTCTTAATGAAATTATAAAAACGCTTTGTAAAATGTTTTTGATACTTATTAGATTATGATACAGTTAGTATCTTTTCGTTAGTTTTAAAAATACCATAAAATATTTTTTTATAATTAATAATTATTTACTCGTATTTACTGAAAAACATACATCTGAATACAGTTTGAGCTGTCTCTAGCTAATATTTAAAATTGAGGTTACTTCAAATAAAATGAATGAATTAATATTAGAGAATAATATAGCCTTAGGGTTGACGTCAGGCAGGCGGCCGGTCGTAAAACTTTTGCCAAATCCTATCAGCAGTACAGAAGATGTACTGCGCCGACCCCGAGTGTTTGGGAAATGGGCAGAAGAAGAGAATTACCATACCATTCAGAGAATATTTCATACCTACATTATTTTAAGTAGTAATTAAATTAAAAAGAATTATTTTTATCCTACTTATATTATAAATGCGAAAGTTTGTGAGGATGTATGGATATCTGGATGTGTATGGATATTTGTTTCACTTTCACACAAAAACTACTGAATAGATTTTAATGAAACCTTAGAATAATATAGCGCATACATCAGAATAATACATAGCCTACTTCTTATCCCGGAAAAATGTACCGTTCCCGTGGGATAGATTAGTTTGTGTTTTTCCAAAGGTAAACCCGAAGGAAGTGAGGGTGAGCCGCTAGTACTTAATATAAATGAAAACAATATTTATCATATTATATTAACTAGTATCGTAATGAATAAACACTTTAAAATTAAAATGATACATTATATAAGAAAGTAAAACTTTAAACCTGAAATATTTATGATTAAGTGTCGTAACGATTAAATCATTAAATTTCTCCATATTTTTGATCCAATTTTTCCCCTGTGTTTGAGGATCAATGAGTAAGGGGAAACGAGCCGCTTTCGTCACAATAATACCGTTTTGCACTGATAATTCGTCGGTTGGTAAGCCACATAAATTCCAGTCACCAATCTAAATTATCGATGGATCACCAGTAAATTATTAATTATAATTTATGTAGTTAAATATTACTTCTTTATACTATATATCAATAATATTTTATATCATTTTTATACTACTTCAGGTTACTATGTATTTTAATCATAATCACAAAATATCTCTTACCGTAGCAGCATCTGTCAGTTGGTCGGTAATGCTCAAATTCATAGATACTGGTATTTTTCTCCTTAATAATTCATGAAGCCAGCTTTGAATCAAGAGGATTCTGAACTCTTGATTGAATGGTCCAGTGTATGATAAAAATCTAAAATTGCAATAGGGTGATGACGTATTATTAACAACTTGAATATAAATGTGTATGTATAGTGTATATTTGAGTGTGTACATTTAATAACCTATTATTATGGCCAGATCATTTAGCTGAATTCGATGAAATTTGCTAAGGACAAAAACAAAAGGACAAATATCAATTTTTAGCTCAAAAAACTTAAAATAACTTTTTTAATAACATATTATGCCATCCCTAATATTAAATAAATAAATAATATCTTTTATTAAACCCTACACTAAATAAATTATCAGGTAATAACCAACATACCCAGTAAGTAGCACAATATCGCCAATAAGTCTCTCTATTTCGGATTTGAACAAAGCAGACTGTTCGGTCCATCGTACCCTCTCCCCGCTCAGCCCATTGATGAGTGCGGTGGCGGCGTCCATCTTCTGCTGGCACTTGGCCGCGTCGTCGAGTACCGCTTGCTTTAATGTCATTGCTTCTTCGAACTGACGCTGCACTTCGCCTAATTCACGCTACAGACAATATGTCCATGTAATAAAAATTCTTGGTTGGCATCTTAAGAAAGGCTGGAACGATTTGGCTGGTTTTGTTTTTAAAATGTTCGCTATAGTTGGTTTCCCTGATCATACTAATAATGTTCGGTAAAAACGGTGAATGCTTTTATCTATAGGATTTTTGAACGATTTCATAGATCACAAATAAATTGAAATCCGAACGTTGCCTGTCAACTAATACTAAAAAAATCCCAATCTACTTTATGATTCGCAAAATGTTTTAAACTTTTGTACGAAGTGTTGCTAATTATATAATAGTATTGGAAATTATTAATTTCAATAATTGGGCTCACATCAACCTATTTTCATCGTAGAACAAATATGATCCAGAAAATACACTTTCGCATCATAATATAAGATACTACCTCTTTCGCCTCTAACAAAGCTTCAGCATGTTCCAACTCCCTCTTAGCAGCCTGATACTTGCCCTGCATCACTGCTAAGTTTGCTTTCAAAGGCAGTACGTCCTTATTTACAGAATAGAATTGGGCCATTGCGATAGTCCATGATATTAAACCGGCAACATTGCCGCAAGCTATTTTAGCCGCTTCAAATGTATATTGACTGAAAATTTACATTCGTTTACCAATCTGAGATTCTTCTTAATTAATAAAATTAATAAGTAAAGTATACCTGAATCCAAAATAAGGTTGTAGTAAATCAATCATTTCCGCGTTGATTTCGTCTTTAGGATAAAACTTTAAATTATTTAAAAATCTAGTGTCTGCCATCACCTGATAACATTTGAAATTATTAATAAATTACAATTCGTTTTCACTTTTTCTTCTTATCAAGTTTTTTTTTTAATATACTAACTTTTAAAGACTCAGCCCAAGAAGCAGTCAAGAATTGTTTTTCAGGATCAGGTCTGATAGGGTCAATACGTTTCCTGAAGAGAAGTATGACAGCGTCCATGATCAAGGTAATAAGATATGGCGGTTTTCCCAATTTTCTTACCGTCGCTATGTCAGCTGCATTGATAGTCTACAGTCATAGAAATATAGTTGAATAATAAACATTATATATACACAGAATACAAAAGTACGCAGAAACAATTTACTATATCTTCACAAAATTATAACATTATGTTTTACTCTGAATTAAAGCTATATTTTTTACCATTTCCACAAAATCCATTCAGTAGTTTTTGTGTGAAAGAATAACACACATACATCCATCCATATATCCATACATCCAAACATCCATACATTCTACGCTTTTATAATATTACTAGAGACTCACCCCGCTTCGCTCGGGTTCGTCCCTAGCTTGCTTCCCAATACAAACTTTCATCCCCATTTCCACCGCCTTAAGGGATGATCTCCGGGATAAAGTGTATTCTATGTCCTTCTCAGGGTCTCAAACTATCTTCTTAATAAACATCTAAATCGGTTCACTAGATCCAAAAATTGACCCTACACTAATTCACAAACTCACATAGTTACAAACTTTACCTCTTTTAATATTAGCATAGATTAGTATTAACTAGCGACTCCCATTCGCTTCGCTCGGGTTCGTCCATAGGTAATTAACCTAATTTTTCTCTAAAATAAAAGTAGCCTATGTTACTCCCTATACCATCAGCTATCTTCCAGTGAAAGTCGCATCAAAATCAGTCCAGCCGTTTCAGAGATTATTCGGAACAAACAAACAGACAGAAAAAAAAGTGTTTTTCTTTCCAGTATCTTATATAATTTCATAAGCATTTAGTAAAACGCTGTTATTTTGACATTACAAACAGACATTTTAATTTTATTTATCTGTATAGATAGGGTTAGTAGTATAAGACCTGCAAAGCAGCCTCAGCAGCGTCCAGCGCGGGGCGCGCCGCGGCCAGCTTGTCCTCGGCGACGGCCGTCTCCGCCGCGATGACACCCACGAGCCGCACCGCCCGCTCCTTCACCACCAGCACCTCTGCCTTCACCACTTGCGCGGCCGCTGCTGAATCCGCTACTGCTGCTAACACCTGATTGGATGGAGGGTTTTCATTTTATATTTTTCTCTTTCTCGTCTCTTCGACATTATTAAACAAATAATATGTGACGAATATATAAAATAATGGATGCTGTGCTCCTGACCGTGTCGGATCATAGCGGCCAATTTCATTGACTCTAACCAACTGATGGAAGACTGACGAGGAGAATATGCGCGCAAGTACATGTGCACTCTCTATTCCCGTCACTCTCACACTTCAGAGGGACAATTCGACCCTCGCGATGAAAGATCAAAGAAAGAGAGAGAAAATTTCTTAACAAAAAAACAATAACTAAACCTGGTAAAAAAATATCTAGTCGGGCCTCGAACCCGTCGTAAAAGCTAGCCACTAGACCAACGAAACAATCAGAATGTGTATATAAATAAGTAATTATAATTTAAATAACAATAATTATTACTTCTTCCGCTTTAGCCGTAGCCTCCTTTATCTCCTGTTCTTTAACTTCAAGCTCTTTTTTAAGAATGTCTACGCTTTCAGCTGCCTCAACAAGCTTATCTAATCCAGTTGTCATTCTAAATATTTTAAAGGATATTATTGGCACAATGAGAAATATAATATATCATTACAGAAAGTTGTCACAAATTTTTCATTTTAAATAATAGTAAATATTTTACAACGAAAAGTAACCAAAAATTAATTTTATACAGTAAAACTCTAACCTTCTTGCTAGTTCTGCAATGTGCATATGTTTCTCCTTATACAAAACCTTATATCCTTCTAAGAAAGACAAATAAGACTTGGGCGTGACGTGCGCCTGGCGCCGGAACCTCTCGTAGTACGCGGCGCAGGTGTCCGCCACGTTGTCTTGCACCGTGCCCATTATTTCTATCAACTGCTGTTTTATTTCGTTTGAACACACCACCTATGATTACATAAATCGGACTTTACTTAAAACGTTATCAAATTAATATATTATAACATTAAAAATCTCATTCATATGATTAAATGTTTTAAAATAGTTTTATTCATTTAAATTTTTATTTTTAGTAAATTATACTTATTTCTTACTAGCGACACACGGTAGGTACGTTTTAACGGTTAGCATGGAATAGATAGTTGATCCTACGGGAACCATACATTTTCGGGATAAAAAATAACCTATGTGCTATTCCAGATTATAATCTATATCTGTGCCAGATTTCATTCAAATTCGTTTAACCGTTCGGGCGTGATTGAGTAACAAACACCTATCTATCCAAACATTCGCATTTATAATATTTATAGGATTGTTCGAAGTATTGAAAGTAGCAAGGATTTAATGTTAATGATGAAAAACTGAATGAATCATTTTTATTAACCCCCGACGCAAAAACGACGAGGTGTCATAAGTTTGACGTGTCTGTGTGTAGCATCAAAGCTCCCGAACGAATGAACCGATTTTGATTTTGTTTTTTTTTTGTTTGAAACGTCAATTAGTCGGGAGTGTTCTGAGTTATGTTTAATGAAAATCGGTTCAAGTTGGTCGGGGATTTTTTAAATTTTTAATTATCTTGAAAATAATTGTATGAGCTTAACAAAAATTATTTGAAATATTTTAAAAGCATAAAAGTGTAAATATAGGATAAATTTCTTTTAAATACAAAAACAGTATCTACTAACGTTAAAATCCCAAAGGAAATGATGGGCTACTTCTATTAATGCTTCTCTCGGCCATTTTTGGAACCAGTCCATCGTAGATCCAGATATTAGTCCGGGGAATTTTAGCGCTCTGCTGCGGAATTTCTCACCGACCTGTTTACGTTAATTTATGTAGACGTCCATAAAATTACAAAAGTTAATTCACACTTTTTCATTACATAAGTATTAAAATGTGGCTTTTTGTGAGTAAATATATAATTGAATAATAAAATATTTGAAAAGTTACATAGTTTCTAACTTTAGTACAGAATAGTGCATTTTCGCAATTACAATTTTATTATATGGATTCTCGTAAAATTTTCATCAGAAAGCATTGCCCTAAACCATAAAATTTGCGATACATTACTATGGCACTTAATTTAAATATTTAATACCGGAGAGAAGCAAAGGACGACGTGTAAGTTGGCTCTCGAGCGCATAATGAAATATTCATACAACACATCTGGTACTGGTATCCTCTTTGGTGCATATTTCTTCATTATCGGTGTTAACTCGTTTAATATTTCATCTGTAGTTGAGACAATATAGCTATGAAATTCCATACATTGTAATATTTATAGTTCGCTATTTTATAGTTCACTTATTACTTTTCAAATTATATTTTTAAATGTTTGCTAATAAATGATTACTATAAATATTTTAACTGTAATAGAAAAAAGTTCTGTAGAATATTAATACTCCTATGTGTATATATTATTTAAAATATTACCCATTTCATCTTTAGGGAATAGATTAGCGATTTCCCCTGAACTTAAAATATTGTTCAGAAATTCGAGGAACTGCTCATCTTTTATATCATTATCAGTAAATATGAACGATACGCCATGTCCCTGGAGTCCGGCTATTCGGTATAGTATCTTTATATCATCCATAAAATTATTTACGTTGTACGCTCTAGAAAAATAAGGAATGAATCATTTTCCTAGCATTTCAGTAATTATATATTATATCTAATTTATAATTAATATGTTTCTTTGAAAACTTTGTAAACAATCTCTTTTGTTTGCAAAATTTTTGTTTACCTTTTTTTAATATGAATTATTTATTATTATTAGTCATTTGCTGTAACTGCATGCTATAAATAACTTTATTTTAGATAAAACTGACCAAAAAAGCTATATACTAACCTTGTCAATGTGATTTGATAAAAAGAAAAGTTCGCTATAAAAGTAGCTAGTTTCGTTAAGCTTTGTTTGCCAGAGCCGCCCACGCCCACTAGAAGTGCGTTGCCACTGAAATCAATATTGCCTAATTGATGATGATGATGTTCTCCTAGCCGATTCTGGCCTCGGCGGCCAATCTCATTGAGACTAGCCAACTGCACAGGAGATATTATAGTGCACAAGTGTACGCGCAGACACAACGTGCACTCTCTATTCCTGTCACTCTCATACTCTGGTAGGACGACCACTTGACACGACCAGTAAGAGTTAAGGCGCAGGACCGACAGCTTTGCATGCTCTCCAAGGCACGGGGGTGAAACACCGCCAACTTCCCAACTCCGGGCTGTTACTGAGACTTACTATACAGAAAGACTCAATAACTAAACTTAGCCCGACCCGGGACTCGAACCCAGGACCTCCGAGTGTGCAGCCATACATGCTAGCCACTACACCACCGAGCCTAATAATACTACTATAAACATTATAAAAATGAAAAACCGACTATTAACTAAAAAGAAAAGAACAAGTTAGCGAAAATAGTATTATGCAGTCGGGGACATAATGTGTATTTTATCCTTGCTGCGAGTCTACTCACACTCATACGTGTAGTAAGACTCGCAGCAATGATGTGTGTATACATATGTACATACATATGTATGTCTCCGACTGCGTAATATTATTTTCGCTTTATAGATGTATATTTTTTCTTTTGTTCTATTCTTAGTCCGCTATTTACGCAGTCGGGTACTTTTTTTTTTAATTACAGCGTTTTAGTTTTAGCCAAGTATACATTTGGAGATCTACTTATTTAACAATTTGTTGTCCTAAATTATTATTAAACATATAAGTTGTATACATTTTTGTAATTGTCTTTTAAAAACCTTGACTTTGTTTTGAAGAAAAAAGATTTTTTTAAGACATAAATTAGAACTGAAATTCGCCATTTACATTTTAAATTATATCCATATAGCCTGTAACACATTTGAACCAAGAACGAATCAAGAACATCTAATGTATCATGGAGTTATCGTAAGTTAATAGAAAAAACTTTTTAACAAAAAAATAAAACCGACTTCAAACAAAAGCACTAAAAAGTAAAAAATAACTGATTGGTAGTTTTCATTTACTATACATACCTTATCAAATATTTTCGAAGTCGGTGTGCTTTGGCTAAGTAATTAAAGCCTACCTATTAAATACATACCTAATCAAATATTTTCGAAATCGGTGCCAGTCCATACAAAGCAAAGTTTTTATTTTCCCCTTTTTAGTGTAGATAGTAGTAGCAAAGTAAGAATTCTAACGTGTTAGGCTTGTCAAATCAAACAAAATAAGCCCAAACTCAAAGTATCTACTATTAGCCGTTGAAGAGTTCCACCTATCCACCTTCTGGCCTTACCATCAGATCAGGTCAACAATACCGAACCACTGTACTATCAACGGAAATAGAAACACTTGCAAAGTTTCAAGTCAATATGACAATTAGAAGTAGGTTAAATTTATCATTAGCTATTTTTCCACCCTTAGGGGAGGTATTTTTTTTTTTAAATCAAATGGGACCAATCTGGAAGTATACACTTTCAAACAACACAAAAATTGTCCAAATCGATTAATAAATGACGGAGTTCTGAGGTAACAAACATAAAAAAAATACAGTCGAATTGAGAACCTCCCCCTTTTTGAAGTCTGTTGAAAATACCATGTTATAGCCAGTATATTCTACTTGCTAGATTATATTCAAACTATAACCGACGGTAGCTACAAGTGCGAGAGTCGTAGGTTAGATTACCGCTTGTGCCTTTGAATAAAAAAAAAACTCGTTACAAACAAATGCAAAAGTACTTTCTACTCCGTAAAAGTACTTTAGAATCCCGACTTGTTGAGCAGAAATATAGACAAAATAAATTAAAACCATAAATAATAATACATAGAAAAGTACAATTAAAAATCTTACCGCGCGGTATTTATAATGCGAGATATTATGAATAAATGGACCATTGCGTCGTGAAAGAATACAAGATCTAAATGAGCGCCTCGTATTTGCTCATTAAACTGTTCCTGGAACTGACCCAGTTTCATTAAAACGAACTCCCATCTGAAATACATTTACAAGCGTTAATTTTGTTCTCAAAGATCTTTTTCATAGGCATTACAGATAAGTTAATTTCAACAACTTAGTGATATTTAATGATGATGCTTAGTTTAGTGTTAAGAGAATGACAAATAAATTAAATATTTTAATGAAATCTCTCTGTTGGTCTGTCTGTTCTCTATTTTTACCGTTAAAAATATAATATAATGTATACATGTATACTACATCAGTTTCGTTATATATCATTTAATGGATATTTATGCCATTTATCAAAATAATAATTTAAATTACGTTTGTATTTTTTAAAGAAATCATCACATAGATTATAATTAAGAAATAAATAACTAACGAAGGCAATTCCTCATATATCTTAGGCGCATCGGTGCTGAAATCCTCCTCCTCGTCGCCCGTGGGCTCGACGGGCTCTCGGAGGAAGTTGACAAAGAATGTTTCATCTTCAGGAAATTCGTGGACCACGTCCGGTAACTCCGCGGCCGCCGTCTTCCAAAAATTGGCTACAAACCAATCCTTATCTTCGAATGTTGTAAACCTGTTAAAATCATACTTTATTATTAAATTATGTGTAAAATTTAAATTTATATAATTAATATTTTTTTAATGTTATAGGTACTTCTTTTGGCACTTTTGGGAACAATTATGAGAGTAAAATTTTTAGGATGCGCCGACAGCCAAAAAGCGACATGATGAAGTTAGTTGAAAACAACATGACGAAGTTAGGTACATTCCTTTTACAAACAGAGAGTTGTGACACCTTAGCCTTTTTTGTTCTGTTACGCCAAAGAAGTATAACTTCTTACGTGCGTACATAAGTACACACACACGTTTTTTTTTATTTAAGTGAACTTCATTTAATAGTAAATAAATAATATGTAGTTACATATATAAAGAAAATTTTATTCGTATATATACAAAGTCAATTTTACAATTTTTATAATAATTTCAGGGTCATAACTAACTTTAATCTACTATATAAATTCTTTACCTTACTTAAATTATTATTTGTATAAATATAATATACCTATCTGAAATAACTCGTAAGCATTCGTGGAACCAGAGTTTGAGAGCAGTTTTAATAGACTGTAACTCTTCTTTCTTTATAGTGAGTATTCCCTCCCAAATTCTTGATAAATCTCTAAGATTGAACACGTAATGAAACTTTGCCGGCGTTGGTAACATTTTTACCTATATAGAAGAAAGTTTTTTATGTAATATTTTTATAATAATATTTAAGTGGTAAATATTCTAATTCATTCAATTTTTACTGAATGTCATGAGCCTACAAAATTCAGTTCTGAAAGAAAATACTCAGTGCTCAGAAGAATTGACGGAAGCAATGTTTTAGAAATACTTATATTTTATTAATAGTTTATTGATAGCGACTTACTACATTTCTGATCACAATATGTGCAAGCTCCCAATTCACGTTGAATAAAAACAAAATGTATAACGCGTTTATCAATAAACGAGCAAGAAATTTTAAAATATACTAACATTTTCATCAAGTTAGAACAAAATAAAAAATATAATAATTGCATTGAAGCTGTAATTTCAAAGCATTCCTACTTTAACTTGCCTTTGTCTGTTGCCACAAAATTCGCGTGACTGGAACGAGCCGCGGCATAAAGTCCACTATTTTCTTATCAAATCGAGTCTTGCAGAAATACCCAGCGCTTATAGTTTCTAATTCATATAAAACATAAATTATTATAAAATGAATACTTCAGAGACCTTAATTTTAAAATCTTTTGTTAAAAAATATTTAAAATAAAAAATAATTACCAAATATTTTATCCATGGAGACATTACTGGGTAAAGTACAATTAAAAATGTTGAATTGACGTTTCAATCTAGGCGGAATATCGTTTCGTCCACCACCTGCAAAATATTTCCGCATGAAATAAACTATTTTACTACGAATTAAGACGAATTTTTATTGAATCAAAAAAATAAAAAATAACCATAAACACTTTCTCTTTATAAAATAAAAAAATATTTTTGCTTGAAAATTACGTGTGCTTTTTTGATTATCTATTATAATTCTTTTTGATGCTAAGCCTGCAATATGTGTTCATGAATTTATATACAAACTAAGCACTGCCCGCGGCTCCGCCCGCGTTCAGATGACCAAAAACCAAATTCTTAGGTTTTACATATTAGTATACTCTTACATTGAAGTTTTTGTATTTTTTTCTCAGAAATGAGACATTTTCCCGCGGCAAAAAGTATCCTATATTTTGACCCGAATAACCAGCTATCACCAAACAAATTTCATCAAAATCCCTCCAGTGACTTTTCTGTGATGCGTTAACAGACAGACAGACAGATAAAAATTCTAAAAACTATAGATTCGGCCTCTGTATCGATAATAATGTTTATTTCAATAAGATTTTCCAAAAAATATTTAATGTACAGATTCTGCTTAGTTACAATTTTATTATATGTATAAATATATCAAAACAATAAAAGCCAAACTAAAGCTTATAACAATAACCAACCAGGGTGTATCATGGCTCCGAACATCTGTATATCTGCAATTATAAAGAAATCTCCCGGTTTGTCGAGAGAATAAAAGCCCCCGCACTCCATCATTTGCCGAACTATTTCGTTCGTAACCTAAAAAATAAATGTACACTCCATTTTCAATGGGATTCAAAGCAAAGAAAAATAACGTGTACAAAATACATACGATGAATAACTCCAATGTATGTGCATTCATTTAGAAGCTTTCTATTTGAGAGTATAATTTTTAGTTTTTAACTTTTTAGTAACATATAAGAGCAAAATTAAAGTATTAAACGACGAGTGAACATTGTAAAAGAGACCTAAAGATAATTGAATATTATACATGTATTATAAGCATTAAAAGAGTACCTGATCTCCCCACTCATTTACAACAGGCATGTTAATATCATCCACGAACACCGTCATGGCTCTACCGCCCGGTGGTCCATAAGTCATTCCTACACGTTTCTCAACATACGACTCTATTATTCTCTGTGAAATATAATAAAAAAGTTATCACTATTTTTGATATATGTATGTACTACCTACTGAACAATGGAACAAACAGACAGACAGACAAAAATTAAAAAAATGTTTTTCTAAATAAGTACCATATACTTTTATATGCATTTAATAATAAGCTAGGGCCAAAGTCAAGCCACAGAGCGAGAGGCATTAGAATCTACGTACTTTCTGTTTTAAGACTAAAAATAGGATTTTGTAAACAGAAAATTATTTTCAACAAATACTAATATATTAATAAACATGTAATATAATTATTTAGACCAATTAATATAATATTATTAAAAATTAGCAGATAATTTTGTAATATAATATGCATAAAACAGTATTTACTTGGAACATATTTGGTGTCGTAGCTGAAGAGAAGTTGATCATCTTAAACAACTTGACTTCATTATCATATTTGGCCATATAACTCTTCAGCATGACAGTCTTAGCAGTTCCTTGTTCCCCGATTAGTAAAACGGCTTTATTTTGTTTGGCGATGGTATCGATTAGGAACGATATACACACGTTGTCTACGTTAGGAACAAGTATAGATGCATATTCTGGTACGCTATCGGGAGGATAAATGAAGCCTTCGACACTTTCAGACCTGAATTGATATAGAATATTTTTTTTTTACTTTCATTTTCTATTTATATTATTAACATAAAATAGTAAACCAAATTCATTTTTGTTACATATTGCAAGATGATATCTTAAGTGTACTATAAAAATATTAAATACGGTACGGTGCATGTTACAAGCGCATAAACCGATCAATAATTCGTATATTTTTACCGTTGCTATAATAAATGACCATGATAACTTCATCATTAAACTAGAAAATAATATTAGATGAGCAATACTTGTACTTATACAATATACTATAAATTTATTTCGTGTATATCGGAAACAGCTCTAACGATATGACTCAAATGATGTATTTAGGTTTTGTTTTTTAAGTTTATTTATATACATACGTAGTTGTCTTTTTTGAAAAAAAGCAAATTTATATATTTCGCGATAAACGCCGAGCGAAGCTCGCCCCGATGCTAACTATAAATATTTATATTAACATATAACATTTTAATATGTACAATAACAAGTACCCATCACATCTATAGGTGTCACTCAGTACTCACCAGTGCTGCCAGAGGCCGGCCTCGTTGACCATGTACTCGAAGGGCATGAGCCACTCGCGCGCGCGCGCGCCGCCGCCGGGCCACTCCACGCGCGCCGGCAGCCGGGTCATGTACTCCGCCATGCGCTGGCGCGCGTCCAGCTCCAGCGCGGCGCCCAGCGACCACATCATCGCGAACACGAACAGTCTCTCTAGGTGACGGTCTGTGTGTAACTCTGTGTACGAAATAAGCGTATTTATCAGTGACGAAGACTCCATACAAGACGTCTTACCTTAAAATTATTTTGCTATAATTTTTCATAGGTACATTTAATTTTTTAAATATTATATGAAGATATTAAGCCTGAAAAGATTGTTCAATAATGTTCTTAGTTGATCATGTCATGAGTATAAGGCAGTATAGTATTTGATTGTACAAAGGATAATCGGAAATACTTACTTCCGCCCGGTATTTCAATTCGCAACAATCCCATCAGCACATCGATACATTGTCTGAAATATAATTGTATTTTTTTTCATATTTTTACTTGAATATTCATAAGTATAAAATACTCAATTAAAAAATAATAAAATATAAGAATATGTGATACCGTATGTAAATAGCTTCTAAAAGCTTCATTTTGGCGGGAAGCTTTTGTTGTACGAAAGAATGTACGTCGTCGTATACTTTATTGAACGCTGTTCTAAAAACATCAGCTTCTTTTTGCGGTCTCGTTTTAAGCCATCCCTTAAACATTTTTTTAATAATAACGCTGTTCCGAAATTATATTAAAAAACATAGAAGGATGGAAAATTATCAACTAATTAATTAATTAATCATCGATCATAAAAGTACTAGATACATAATCAGCGACAAAAAATGACCTCACCGAATGAGCGCTAATTTTAACATTTCAGCGCGCTTTTATTTATTTTTTTGTGAAAACAAATTTAAGCATTGCGGTTAAGGTTCAATTTACATTATTGTATATTTAGCTCAACTAGAAAAATTACCTAAACACAATTGGTGACAGTTTTAAAAGTACTTTTTAATGGGATTGTGTATCTAGTACCTACTTTTTTGATCGTTGTAATCAATCAACAAAATCTAACTTTGAAAACATTAGTATAGCACAATAAATATAATTTTACCTCCAATATAGGCTGCCATTTGAGAACAGATGATGATAGAAACACCATGCCCATACGACTAACGGTCGCGGGCGAGGCATTATCCACATTATCGGGCTCGAACACGAGCTTGCTGTTCTGAGCCATGGAGATACGATCGCCGTTTGCTAGTGTTAACGTTTTATTATCATCTAACACTGAGTTTAGATTTTCTATCCAGACCGCGTCTACTGGACCATCTGTTGATGATGTAAGTTGTGTAAATTATATTTGTTGTATGTAATTTATATTTATATATCTAAGAAGTATACTTACTATGCATTGATGATAGAATTAAAGACTGAATTTAAATTAGTATAATAGAATTGTAAATAATTTTTGATTTTAAAATAACATAATCTATTATTACTTTCTATACAAAATTAATCTTACATATCTATCTAAAGTAATAAAATTATAGAAAGAAAAAAATATGTACCTAAAACAATCCATGTGGTATCCGATTTTTTAACCTTCAAAGCTCTTCGCCACAATGTAGAGAATATTCCATCAGTCCAGTCATTAGTGGCTACATCTAAGCGACCGAACATTTGAGGTGCTGTTATTGCCTAAACATCAAAAAAAATTACATCAAAAGGATATTGAGAAAATTGATTCATTATCTTACAAACTTTTTACAATATAGGTCTTTTAAACATCCGCAATTTTCAAAAATTAGTCCATATCATGAAAATTTATTTATACATACATACACAAGTTTATCGCTTGCATTTTATAATTACGACCATTCTTTTAATATACAAAAAATAAGTAATTAGAGCTTAACTAAAAAAAAATTAAAACCTTGGGATTCATCCTCATCTCCTTATGAGGTTTCCCAAGTTCGGTGAGCGCGGCCATCAGCGTGTGTATGCAGGTGGTCTTGCCGGCGCCGGCGGGGCCCATCGTCATGAGGCCGTGCCGCACCAGCGACGTCTCGTACAACTGTATGATCTTCAGATTCCACTCCGGATGATTGATTAAACCCGTCCGTTCTGTTACTATTCCTATGGCTCGTTGCATATCCCTTTCAAATATTTTATCATTTTCTATATTTACGCGAATGTTTGACGTTTTATATAAAACTACCTTTTTAAATTATTTCGCAGATTTATTTTGAGGTAATCAAAATAGATCCGCGAAATAATCCGAAAATGTAGTTTAAGATTAAAATGTTTTATCATTTTTAATTGTATTAATTTTTATTAATTTAAGTATTCCATCTAACTGGCTATTAATAAATTTTGAAGTTGATATCATATTTGGCTTTTCAACGTTACTAAAAGTCATGCAAAAATAAAGAAATGCTAATAGTTATATTTCTATTTTTATCCGTTAATCTGTGAAAGGCTTGGATAGTACAAAATGGATGAGAGTGACATAAGCTAGCTGAAGCTGCAAACGAAAAGTTGAGATGAAAATATTTTAAGTATTTTTTATATAACACATTACTTACTTGTGCGACGTTTGACTGAGTTTGATTCCGGGGAACAAATCCTCAATCAAAGATATAAATAACGGCTCATCTTCATCCACCAGTTTCGACACATTCATTTCCCTTTTGTGAACATTATAATAAGTTATTATGGAAAAATTCACTAAAATAAAGTTAGAAGTAGGATTTAAAATCATACTTTAACACTCTCATCATGATATTCTCTTCGGTGCTCTCAGGATTCGCTCGCTTTTGAGAACCCATTGTTCTTAAAACGGACAGGATATTTCGAAGCCCGAAATCATAATGCACTTGTTTGGATAATTGTTCCTCACAAAGTTTATATAGAGTAAAGAATTTTCGGGCTAAAATAATAAAATTACATATATTTATCAGTTATACTTGATGCTACTGTACCCAGTAGCATCTTTACAAATTAAAACAAAATGTATTGAGTAGGTATTTTAAAGGAATTTTAAAAGAAATAATATTACACAATATATAGTTAGTGTTTAAATTATCTAAATATCTAACAATATTCAATATAATTTAATGTTATTATTCAAAATATATTACCAAGCAATATGTTATCTTTGAATCCGCAGCTGGCCAACTTAACTCTTATAATAATCTGTCTATCAGGGACCATCATGGCTACAGAACGGAATTGAATTTTTAAGTTCTCCGGCAACTCTTGCCTGCCGGCGTAGCCTGGGTTCATTGTGATTATAAAAGCGAACTCAGGGTTTAAGCTTACTGTGTCGCCATCGCTAAAAAATACTTTATATCAAGACTTTCAAAGTTAAAAATTAGACATTTGGGTATATTTTAGAGTTATTGTTGCCACATAATTTGTGATATTTTCACATATATTCAATAATGAGAAACAAAATCTTTATTTCAAATAACAATGTAGTATTTCTGAACAACATGCAGTTTGAGTTTAAACCAAAAAAATAATAATTTTATAGGATTTATTCGCAGATTTAGTTTGATTATTGTTCTGGAGAATGAAAAATCGAAACAAATTAGCAAAAAACTGTAAAAAAAAAGAGTAGTTCATTTTAAAATATGAAATATTCACGGAAACCTAAGATAACTTAATAACGTAATTAAGTAGATAAATTCTATGTATTACGTGGTACCTGAAAATAAAGAATTCCTTCTTCTCTCGGCGCGCAGTAAGGCAGATGTGTATCTGCTGCGCCGCCACCGACAGCACCGGCAGCTCGATGCGGTTGAACTCGTCGAAGCACCCCCACGTGCCGGACTGCGCCAAGCCCTTGTATATACGACCTAGTCCTGTGGGCATGATACTTTATATTAGAATAACTTATATTTTAAATAATTACTGATACTAAAGCAGTATCTGACTAAACTTTCGGAAGATTATTATGTGACAGTATACCGAGACTGCTTCATGTAAATTCCCACAAACTAAGTTAATTTTCGCTGTACAGAAAATTTCCACAACCGTTATCTCATATAAATATCCAGTCGAAACAAACAGATAATAAACATCCATAAATAAAATTCCAAGCATTCAATTAACAATAACATTTCTAGCCAGACATCACCATACTACTACACCACTTTTAAAACAAACTAGTGAAATACCCTCGCTTTGTTCATGTGCGTTTCTGTTACATATTACTTCAGTTCATAATCTATTTGTATACTAAACATCCAAATCCGTTCAGCCGTGAGGGATTAACACACATACACACATACAAATATAATTAATCCAATAAGATCACCTCTAAAGTCCATCTGATCAGAACAATTGAAGACAATGACGAGTTTCCCGAGCGTGCGGCCCATGTCCTTGGTGGTCTCGGTCTTGCCGGTGCCGGCGGGGCCGGCGGGCGCGCCTCCCATGCTCATGCCGATGGCCTGCGACAGCGTGATGTAGCAGCGGTCCGTGAGCGGCGTGATCACCAGCCGCTCAGTTATACCTAGGTATTCGTTCTGCCAAAATTGTTAATACTAGTAGTTTTGAAAATAAATATATTAGGATTAATATCCTGTGTGTTATTAATATGCTGTGTGTTAATACACACAGCACCATCTAGTTCCATGGTAAGGTACGAGACTTGTGTTATGGATACCAGATAGTTGATACACTACACATATATAACTTTAAATACATATATATTATAAATATAAACACCTATAACTGGAGAACAAACATTCGTGCTCATCACACAAATGAATGCCCCCAGCGGGACTCGAACCCGCAACCGCTGGCTTAGCAAGTAGGGTCACTACAAACTGAGCCAAACGTGTTGTCAAAATGCTTGCTGAATGGTTTTTTTTAACAAAATTTACACCAATTTTAAGTATGAGAATATGTAGATTACATACATATTGTTATCTAATTTAATGTTAAAACCATTGTTACTTATTTATTAATATTATGCAGATAGCTTGTATAGAATAATTGCTTCCTAATTATAAAAATTATTGCTTTAATAAAAATAATCTTTCGGAACTGAAGGTAGTCTCATGACGTTCAATAAAAAACTATAATAATTTAATGCCGAATAATTTTTTTTTAATTCAAAATTTTAAACAAAACCACATTGCCCGCGGCTCCGCCTGCGTTCAGATGACCAAAAACAAATTCTTAGGTTTTACAGATTAGTAGTTATTGCATTTTTTCTCAGAAATGAGATATTTTCCCGCAGTAAAAAATATTTTGTATGTTTCTTTTTTCTGTGATGCGGTAACAGACAGACAAAAATTTTAAAAACTATAGATTCTAAAGAATAAAATTTCCAAAAAAATATTGAATGTACAGATTCGGCTTAGTTACAATTTTATTACATGTATAGATTAATTACCTGATATATAAAATCTACATCAGTAATAGATACAATGCAATCATCGCTATCTTCAAAATAATAGAAACGAGCTTGTTTTTGCCATTCAAAGTCCCCTGGACTTTTAATCCTCATTCTTACTAAATCATCAAATATATCCCTAAAACGTTAATCAATAATAATATTATTAAACGTCTATACAAAAATAATCCTACTAATACTCTAAATGCGAAAGTTTGTGAGGATATATGGATGTCTGGATATCTTGGCTGTTTGTTACTCTTTCACGCAACTACTGAATGGATTTTAATGAAACTTTAAAATAATATAGCTCATACATCATAATAACACATAGGCTACTTTTTATCCCGGAAAAATGTACGGTTCCTGTGGGATAAATTTGTTTATTACAACAGATTTTTCTGCCACGCACAACCACTCTGTGGAACCAGCTATCGCCGGCGGTCTTTCCGAACCTCTACGACCTGGCCACCTTCAAGAAGAGAGCGTATTCATTCCTTAAAGGCCGGCAACGCATCTACAAGCCCTGCGGTGTTGCAGATGTCCATGGGCGGCGGTGATTACTTTCCATCAGGTGAGCCTCCTGCCCTTTGCCCCCTTAGTCCCATAAAAAAACAGAATATGCAATGAATTTTACTACTTATGTCGTCATCCCCTTCTCAATTGTTTCTTTTACCTATTGATGATATTTTTTATTTACAATTGTATGGTTTTAAATTAATTTACCGTTGATGGACATGAATAGTAATCATCGTTTCTACCCTAGTTCTATCTAGCGGCACCAAATCTTTAACTGTTTGATCAATCAGTCCATTTAGTAAATCCAGATTCTTTTGATTTGTAAGTCTCATAATGAACTTATCGACTCTTGCTTTCTTTAGAGCATATTCGGCATCACTCGTCCATAATATTTGCATGCCCAGAAGACTTGCCTGAAGACATTTGAGGTGTGAATATTTGTTAAGAACAATATTGATTAATTTGTATACCCGGGACTCGAACCCAAGACCTTGCATGCTAGCCACTAGACCACCGAGGCAGTTTTCAAAAATACAAAGATATGTTCCATTTTTATCACAAGTATTTAAAAAATCTGAGTATAAAGAAAAATTTACCTGACCAGGGAAATTCCAAAATCCGACCAAGAATTCAAACTCTGGATCACCGGCCATTGTTTGTGATATATTAGCGATTATATTACGTACCGTGTCTTTCATAGTGTCTAGCAATGAATTAAGCCATATCTACAAAGAAAGAAAGTCGTATGTATACAATGCAACCACATTTTATATATTTTTAAATTAATTCTTAATTTTATGTCAATTTTGTTATGTAGCAATTTATAGTAAAATAATTACCTCAACACCACCTATGCAATTAACGGGATGGTCTAAAGGAATTGTTTCACCGTTGTCGGAGTTCATATTTACTATACGATCTTTGTCATCGAAATCAACAGTGTATATTGCATCGAATATACTTGGTAGATGAGGCTAAAAAATAATTCAGTTTAATTTATAATAATTAATTACATTTCTATAACAGTAATACAAATTTAATTATTATCAGTAAATATAATTGCTAGATTTTATAACCATTAAACTGAAAAGCCACTAACTAGACATCCATTCTCTAAATTTTTTTTCTAGGTAATGATACTAAAATATTGTAACCTAATATTATTATAATTTGCCTAAAAGGCTAATCAGTTTTATATATTTTCTAAATAGAAAAAGTATCATTCCATCGCAACAATCGTTCTTACCGTAAATACTCAATTACCTGTATTGAATGAGGATTGGACGCTTGACCCAATATCTCCAAGAGCACTGGATCTGATACAAAGAAGAATCTTGGAAATATTAATCGCTTGGTCTCCAAATATCCAGTCAAGGATTTCTGGCAGGCTTCTAACTGTTCTATGAGGTGGGGCAGGAGTTGCTTCAATGTATCATCAGACACGCATGTCTCAACACAGTTCACTATATCTCTGGCTCGGTACATTATCTTTACATAAGTCTTGTCAATAGTCTGTAATTATCTTTGCCATTAGAAACTACGAGAATTCAATAGAACCTATAGAAAAAATTTAATAGAATGTATTTTATGTGCACAGTGCACTCTCTATTTCTGTCACTCTCATACTCCAGTGAGACGTCAGTTTGACACTACCCGTGAGATGCTCTCGAGGCCCGGGGTAAAACATAGTCAACAAAGACTCTGATAACTAAACTAGGCCCGCCACGGGAGTCGAACCCAGGACTTCTGGATTTACAAACGTACATGCTAGCCACTAGACCACAGAGGCAGTTAATCGTTGTCCTCATCATTTATATATAACACGGTTTAGAATAATAAGTTAGAAATTTTAAAATATTTTATGCATTGAAAGTAATTACTGCACTCACAATTATATTCCCGCAACTTCGTTCAATTTAAAAGAATCATTTTTTAAACGAAGAAACTGGATTTTCAAAAAAATCTATTTTGATGTTTGACTTGATAAGAGAATCCCAATCACTATATATATACTTAGGACGTCATTTTTTAGTTATACATATGTATAATATATGTATAACTTAAAATAACGTTCTAAGTAAAACTTAACAAATTTTCATTTAGAACCTTTAGAAATAACTTTGCACTATACTATATTAAATTGAATAAATACCGCAAATCTTTTTGCCTCAGCCGGTAACTGTTTTGCAATATCACCGCCAACAAACACAGCTTCCAAGTACATCCATAAATTCTGCACTTGGAGCCACTTCTCTAATATATCTGTGGTGCCCACCAACTTATTGATCCAGAGTAATATATCTCTTTTGAACGGCGCATTATACCTGAATATTGTTTAAGTTTAAATACCAATAATACTTCGTAAATACTTGTTTGACACACAGGTGGAGCCCGTTTAATTTTGTCTTTATAAGATCTGTTATAGATAGTAGGTACTAGATGAAATTAGGATTATTTAATTAAGTTAATCGATCTCAGGTCGACCTTTGTGGCTTTGTTTTTTTTATTTTAGATTTTTTATTCTATAAATTCTAACATTATCCATTGATTTCCACAGATGGCCCGGTCCTGGACTGCAGCCCAAAAAACCTATATATAAAACCGCCCTTGTTTACACAATTATTTTACATTTAGAATAATCATTAGATACTTTAATACAGACAATTTGAAGGAAAGGTAGTTTCTATTATTACTAGCATTCTGATTATTTTATAATAAAACAAATATCTCTACTAACAATAAACAAGTCAATCACCTATTAGACGCTAACGAGTTAAGAATCATTAGAGAGTCTTCCAACATCGTTATAATATCGAGTGTCTCCTGCGGTTTAATCAGTAACTCCCCGCGATTCTTAAATGGAGCGAAAGTCAGATCTACAACCGCCCAATCCGCTATTACTTGTTTTAATTTCGCTTCAATATCTTTCTCTTTTACCGCACTGATACATATATCCTAATAAAATAATATAACAATTTAAATAAAACTATCTTTTCGGATTTTATCGAGAATTTATTTTGACTTTTGGTTCCCGACGTTTCTAATGCTTTACAGCAATCATAGTCACGGGAGAGACTACTATTATTATAATATATATATATATATATATATATATATATATATATATATATATATATATATATATATATATATATATATATATATAATTATTGTAATATTATTAATTATACAAAAAAAATGTTATATACATTTTTTTAGTATAATTAATAATATTTAATATGAACTTCGATAATGGTTGGGCAATTAGTTAATGAACACGAAATTTGTTATAATAGAAAAAAAAATCAACTCTGTTAATATATGATTGCTCGTGTTTTATAGCAATTTGTTTAGGTCAAAGTTAATATTTATCACTTACTTCGACATCTTCTTTATACTTAAGTAACGGAGCTTCCATTACGTTAGCTAAAGTAAATGTTTCCGACTCAACATCCAACACGCAATCTGTAAGATTGATTTAACACAAATATTATACAGATTTTTGTCCATGACTCCGCTTTTATGTTATAATGATAAAAAATGCCACCCTTTCTAAAATTATCTACTGACTAAAAAAACTATATCTAGATTATGAGTAGGCATCACTAGATACTTGTAATCTAGATGTAGTTTTAATATCCTATAACCTGGGACTTTTTTTCATATAACATGTGCCAACGTTTCTTACAACCAATATATATAATACCAACCAATATATAATATAATAGGCAAAGCACCCGTAAAATTAGTTCAGCCATTTAACAGATTAGAGAGTATAAATGGACAAACCAACATTTTAGTAGTTGTTTTCCCTTAGCTTTGTAACTTGCAAATAACCATATGAGTATAATAATTACCTATAAACTGTTTATTCAGGGTCATTTTTAATTTACTGAAAACCTTTTGGGAATACACTATTTAGAACATAACAACAACATCTGTAAGAAAAAAAATTATATCTTAAATTTAACAAAAATAAAAATATTGTTATTGCACCTTCTCAACGGTAATAGTCCAGCATTAGCAAAAGAAAGTGCGTGTCTGGTGGAGGGGGAGGGGTGGAGGGGTGTAGGAAGCCGCGCTTAACTCATTCAAACTTGACCAGATGCTAGAACTGTAAAGTTTAGAAGGTGCAAAAAAAATATTTTTATTTTTGTATGAAAATAAAAATTTAAGAAATATTATTTTTTCTTGTTACAGATGTTATGGTTATAATGTAAATAGTATATTTCCAAAAGGTTTTCAGTAAATTGAAAATGACCCTGTATATCTCACTTAAAAAAAACGTCTAAATTCACAAACTCAAAATATATAATATTTATATTTTCGTGCACGAACCACATATGCAATGCATTATAAATGTAGATTTTTTTCTAAGTAAAATAATATTTCTATGTAAGTATTACAACAGAACAGAAGTTTATATGAAGTCAAAAATCGAAGACCTGACGTTTTACGATTGAATCATTTTCTAGTATAAATAATGTATAAGTCTTACTCATAAGTTTCTCCAGCCTCTTCCAGTGACGATCTTTCATGGACTTATCTGCCATTAATTCAAGTAAAGGACAAGTTTGATTAAAATCATCAATCTTATTCTTCAAATCAATGAAAGCTGGCCAATCTTTCATTCCACGCGGTAATTTACGACATCTGTAATTTATATAGTTTTAAAGGCTTAAGAATACTAGGTTCCTCCAGAAGTTGCACGTGAATTAATGTTTACAGAATCTTAACGAAAACCTCGATAGTACATATATTAGAATTTAGCAATTTGATGCGATAAATATATATTATAATTTTTAAGCATTGCTTGCTAAGAAAGAATTCTGTAATTTCATGTAGTTTATAATAATCAATTTATGAGAAAAGCGAAACCTAACGATTAGAGAATAAAATTCATTTACACCAACAATTTTACCAAAATATATGTATACTAAACATTGCCAATAATAACAAGATAATTAAAAACCTATGTTTATACTATGACTAATATGTAGAGATAAAAAAAAACTGAGTATGTGACTATTAACTAATATATATTATATACTATATGTATACTTTTCATACATTGCATATAATTTAGACTTAATGTTTAATATTATATTTGTAACTTTTACAATTTCAAACTTACTTTCAAAGCAGCTAGCTTAATGATTTATTTATTACTATACTTGGTTCAAACATTTGTACCTCAGATCAAACTCTGCCAACTGCGCGACGATTTGTTCAATATCTATAGCTACCCACGGCGTTTCAAAGTAACCGTCTATTGAGTTCATTACGGCTAGATACAAACTGTACCTGTGATTATTGGATGGAAAGTATAAGATACTATTTAATTCTTTTATACCTTTCGATTAATGTAAAATCAAATATTGTACACAAAATTGTTTAGAGTTATATTATTTTTCTTATCAAGTCATTATCTATATCTAGGATTCTAGAGGCAAACTAGAGGTAAAGGTAAGTGGTAACCATAAATCTTGAAAAATAAAAAACTAAAAAAATGAAGCTTGATCTAAATTAAAACCATTAAAAGTTACTTACAATTTGCTAAGTAAATTAAATTCTTTCCTCTTTTGGTGAAGTATAGGGTAATCTTTCACTTCCATACCAAACAGCTTCTCACCGTTAGAATACATTTCGAACCTCCGCCACAGCTCATCAAATCTCGATTGGAACATTATTACTCTAAAAGATAGTATGAAAAATCATATTACTCTCCACTTTAAATACAATTGCGAAAAAACGTATCTTTGGACTGATTTCTACTATGACTTATGACTTAAGACACTTCTTACCGCCTATGTGTCTACGTGTGGAGACGCGGGTTTTTTTAAAAGCATAGAAAGCCTTAGATATTATTTAAAGTAAATGGATTTAAATGTATTATGCAAAAAGTACTTCATGTAAATTTTACCGGAAATCTCTTCCTAATTATGCCGGAAATAATTATAGTATATGAGCATTTCCTTAATTTATGTATTGGCTTACCATATTACTCTTAGCTCGATTATAATGACCTTATAAATTACAACTTATATCATTTACTTTCATGTTTCTACCAAAATGGTTTTTATTACTTTACTCTCAAAATATATGCTACTAGCGACTCACTAACATAACGTTTAGTATAGATTTCTCAGAGAAAAGATATTTTCCCGCAGTAAAAAGTAACCTATATGTTGACATAATCAACTATCATCATACCAAATTTCATCAAAATCTGTCCAGTGGTTTCCTCGTGATACGTTCCCAGACAGACTAAAATTCCAAAACCTATAGATTCGGCCTCTGTATCCATAATAATGACTATTACAATAAGATTTTCCAAAAAAACATTAATGTACAGTTTCGACTCAGAATTTTATTATATGCATAGATAGATTTCAAAATCGTACCTATCACTAGCCTCTCTCGCAGTGAGCCCCGGAGTCATGGGACCAAAAGCTTCATAATCAGCATCAAATTTCAACACATCTGTATTGAAAACTGACACGCCTTCGCTCAACTCCTTTTGCAAAGGACCTTGCATATCTACTATCCGTTGTTGGACTTGTTGAGCCTGGTTTTGTTATGATTTGTCAATGGTAAAAATTAAATATGTTCAGCAAAATAATCCTATTACTAGCTTTGCTGTGTGGTACTTAAAAACGTTAAATAAATTTTATTTTTAACAATTTTAATTTAATAATAAATATGTTGGGACATTAACACACAGCACCATCTATTTCCATGGTTAGCTACGAGATCTGTGTTATGGATACCAGATAGTTGATACACTACACATACCTATATAACTTTAAATACATACATATTATAAATATAAACACCCATGACTGGAGTACAAGCATTCCTGCTCATTACACAAATGAACGCCCCCAACGGGATTCGAACCCGCGACTGCTGGCACAATAAGTAGGGTCATTACAAACTGAGCCAAACGCGTCGTCATAATATGTGTCGTTATTAGATAACAATGCTTTAATTTTTCAAAATATTTGCCTATTAAGCTATTAGCTATTATAGATCATTATACGGTGCTTTTGGATATTTTATTAAGGACTAAGAAACAATATCTTCATAGTCTTTTTTTTTCTTCTCAATTTTAAATTACGTATAAGTAATATAAATACTGGCAAAGATTTGTTGAACATATGTATTTAAATACTAACAGTTAGCAACATATTCTGAAAAGCATATCGTAAGCCATACACCATATCCGCATCTTCTTTAGGTATGTCTATATTAAAATGAGCAAAAGTGGCATAACTTTCTTCGATGAGATCCAATTCTACATCCATTCTAAAATTATGAGAAAAAAATTATGCAATTATAAATAACAGGTGTTACAATTTAAAGGCGAGTATTTTTTTCATTAATTTTATATATAAAAACTCAACACTATAATACCCAATAAATTCCTCGCGAATCATTTCCAAGCAAAGCATTGCGACTCTGACATCGTCTAAATCTTTAATTTTCTTGCTCATCGTCTTCATTCTATCCTTAATAAATTGCATCAATTTTAACACTCTTTCCTTATATGCTTGACTTAGTAATTTGCCCAAGATTCTCTTCCATTCAACAGACTCAATATGTAAAGCTAATTTAATTTTTTCTAAAAGATTAAAAATTGTTTTTACTTTATTGTTTTTTATTCTAGCAAATGGAATAAAAATTGTAAGCTTCTATTTTCATTTAAATGAAAAAGATAAAAAATACACTTTTATTACTATACTAACTACTACTAACTGGTAAGCATGGACGAATTAGAGACTGGACCTGACATAAAATACAAATGTATGAAAACTAGTTCAACCAAGTGACGCATAACGCACACAAAGATTTTATTACATTATTATAAACACTGATACACAATACAATATTTCTAGTGCTTAACGTAATCGATAAAATACATATATCGATGAACCAATGAATGACATTTTAGACATTGGTTAGCATAGTCATCATATTTTACATCTTATAATTTATTCTTCTTCTTTTAATTTTAATAAATTAAAATAAATGAATTAAAGAGGCAATAATAATGTGTCAAATAATAATTATTTTTTAATTTGATTTATATAAATACGATGGCATTGATGGCAACATTCTGTTGGCCTATAATAATGTTAATGAACAAATGAATATCGGGTATATATTCCATTAATATATAATAAATATTATTTTGTAAAGATTAAAAAAATATTAAGTTAAATTAATTAAATAAAGTGATTTGGTTGATTCTGTTATTGAACTATTTTAATTGGCAATTGATTATCTCGGGTAGTTATAAAAATGTGACACTGTCCTAATATTGCTCAGTTCTTAATAAGCATTTGTGAAATTAGGAAAAAGAAAAAGTGATTGCAAATTAAAGTGAGTGTTGGGTCGTGAAAGTAAAATAATTAGTGCAAGTGGTAAAGTGTTTTATTACAAATCGCCAACCCAGAAGTTTAGTGCTAAAACATTATTGTTTGATTTTGTGTAATTTATGTGTTGAAATAAAATGATCTTTATTATTATTACAATGGAATAATATTCCAAAGTATATAAATGTGGAATAAAATAAAAAATTAAGTACACATACTAATTATAATTTTTGCATTTATATTTTTATTTGATTTAGAAAATATTTTTATAAATTTATTGTCATCAGATTGTAGGATACTGTGGTAAAAGTATTTTATGTTATTGTACTGTACAAACACAACACAATTCGTTTAGTAATTTCGTCAAATATCGATATATTTTTCGACATTGTCAAGCACTAGTCGATGTCAAATGGACTCACTCGACAGTTTAGTCATTTGTTCTGAATGGTATAATCCAGGGATTTTATGATGGTTGTCAGATGTCAACAATACATAGAAATATCGACTATATTTAACATAGTTGGATAATATGACATTTTATTTAACATTTAATTAAATTGTGTGATAAATAACAATAAATGTAATAAAATAATGTATTTACAAGTGAAAAGAAATACTGCTGCTTCCGCCGTTATAGTTTTTACATCATTTAACAGAACATTTAGTCATTTTTGGGAGATGTTTTGTTGACAAATAAGTGCTTGAGACTGACGCAAAAAACAAACGACCAAGCCTAAAATCTCCTGGTTACTGAGAAGACCGATAAAGGTACGTCCGCTTATATGTCTAGTCCAGTGGTTAATTCGTTCATGCTGGTAAGTTATAAATCTAAAAACGAAATTGATCTAGAATACTTTAAGTAGCTTAGATATCATATTTAATATACCCATGTCAATTTGAATGGATCCTATAATATGTCTCTCGGGTAGATTCAAAACTTCCTCAGTTTGATTTTCATATTGCTTGAACATATCTCGTATTATGACATTCATTGGATTAGTATCGACGAAGTCTTGGACCTTGCGTACTCTATTTTCATCCCATAAATGAGAAAATCTCGTATAACCCTGGGTAAGTAAATAAAACATTTTCATAACGTCTAATAGAAACTATTTGTGAACATAAATTTAATTTTGGCGATGTCAAACAACCTCAACTTATATATAAATTTTTACTCACATGGGTGTATGTAACATAAAGACGAGTAAGTTATAAAAGCACAGATAACGATTTTTAATATGACGACCAATGAATTTTACGATTCAATATTGGAATCGGACAACGGTATCAAGATCAATAAACTTTACTAAAAGATTTAAGTCTTGGAATATATTGAAAATTGGCTTTTTAATACTACTTAGTATTGCAGAAATAAATGGGCTCATTATTTGAAGCTTATTCTTCAAAAACTTTTAAGTTGACAGCTGTATATAAAGTTTATTGCAAATTAAATTTAGCAAGTTCAAAGTAAGGATAAGCAACTATGTGGTTACAAAAAATGCTTTTCGTGGTTGACTTCGATTGTATAATCCTCAAGTTAATCGTTCGGGCATTTTTGAAACTCTTAAAATCCATAATTAAGGATTACAACATGACGTGTAGACCGACTTTAAAAAGGGGGGAAGTTCTCAATTCGGGTGACATTTATGGTGGATGTTTCGAGCGTTATCTGCCTTTAGTGAATCGATTTAAATGTATGTAAAAAGTTTACAAATATATCTAAGACGTACATTTAATAATTTCTGAATGTCTGGTTTGAACATATACATCATTCCCTGCAAGGCCATGACCGCGCGAACAATGTCCTTATGTTCTGAGACCATTCGGAAATAATTTCTAATTCCTACTATGTTTGAACCGGATCTAGATCCCGCTGAAATTAAAATATTTCTGATAACATCTATACATATAATAAAATTGTAACTTAGCCAAATCTGTACATTAAATATTTTTTTAGAAAATCTTATTGAAATAAACATTATTATCGATACAGAGGCCAAATCTATAGTTTTTAGAATTTTTGTTTGTCTGTCTGTCGTTACCGCATCACAGAAAAACCACTGGACGGATTTTGATGAAATTTTGTATGGTTGTAGCTAGTTATCCAGGTCAACATATAGGATACTTTTTACGGAAAAATATCTCATTTCTAAGAAAAAATACAAAAACTGCATTGTAAGAGTATATTAATATGTAAAACCTAAGAATTTGCTTTTTTGTCGCCGCGGGCAATGCTAGTAGCTTATAAATTGATTTAATAACATTATTTTATTCTAAGATCAAGAAAGAAATATTTTCATGTTCATGCTATCTGTAACAAACTCAATATCGATAATAAATAAGCTTACCACTAACACTCCTAGCAACAGTAAGGGAGTTCCCTTTTAGCTTTTCTTTTTTGATGAGCTCTTGTTGACCCCACATGAACACGTTACGATGTATGTCCATTATACAATTTAACACTACCTACAATTACAATTATAATTCATTTTGTCTTTCTTTACTTAAACAAGTTAATTAATTTGTACATTTTCGAGAAAAGATAAACACATTTGGTACCTGAGAAAATGCAGATTGAATCTCTTCTAAAGTCGGTTTTATTAAAATTTTTGGTATCTCTAAATACATCATAGTTAACATCAACGGTTTCAATTTCTTTTGTTCCTCTGGGTCAGTAGTCATTGTTAGGAAACTGTAAAATAAGTTTGAAATTATACAAAATATAAAACGACATCACCTTGCTTACAAGTAAATAGCTCTAATCATATGCTGAGTCTAATTTATCCCATCCCATCCTATAAATATTAGAAATGCAAAAGTTTGGATGTATGGATGTTTGTTACTTCATCACCCCAGAACGGCCGAACGAATCTGGATGAAATTTGACACAGTAATAGATTATAGTCTGGAATAGCTCATAGGTTACTTTTTATCCCAGAAAAATGTACGGTTCCCGAGAGATATCCATACTAACTGTTGAAAAGTAAAAATATAAATTAGTAAATATTTACATTTTAAATAGATTACGTCTTCAGGAAATTTATTCACGTTATAATATAAGACAAAATTCATAGGCTTTTTCTGTTGTAGCTTAAATAATATAATTGATTCAATAACATTTTACCTGGACACGGACGCTCTTTTCCGCAATAGATCCAAGCTTTGTCTAGTACATTTGATAAGAGACTCTAAGCACTTTGTTGCAAAGTAAGCAAACAGTTCGTTACATTCATTTATTGCATGCATAGGTTCGAATCTATCAGGGTTCTCAATTTCCATGAAAGCTGAGTTAAAACAAAAAATATACGACTTTACTTTTATAATACAAAATAGAAAAAGCTCGATCTGGTGTTTACTACACCAGATTGAGCTTTTTTCTATTTTTTAATTACGAATTAAATATCTATTCCTTATACCTGCGTCTTCAGGAAAAACTCTTGTTGCTGACGTCACTTGTTTCAGAGCTTTATCGATGTCGAGCCTATATATAATAAAAAATTGTAATATAGAAAGAAATTTTGTAAGAAAAATCTTCTAAATATAAGTGTAATATAATATAAGAAAACTGTACTACCAATTATCTTTAAGATCTCGTATTTGCTGAGACGGGACGCTGTCCAGAAATTTATTTATTAATTCTATCACAGCAACTTCAGCATTCCATGATTTTTGCTGTAAATCGTTTGCTAAAACATTTTATTTTACAATAGCAAAGAATAAAGATATGCTTTTATAATATTAAGTGTAATATAACATAATTACCTATTTCGTCACGTCTTACAAAATTTTCTTCATAGAAATTGTTCGGATCGACAGCTTTCTTTGGCAAGTACACTAATAAAGTTTTGGTTATTGATTGTAATATGGCATCTATACGAGCTTCTTTCATATCCACGACCTGATTGAAAAACACTTTTAATTTACATTACCTTTGGATTATTATTTATAAAAAGAGAAAGTCTAAATAATATAAAATTAATAAACAAAATTGACGAAAAATAAGAACCTCCTTAACAAATAAATCCACTTCATCCAATATCCTTTCGATGTTATCACAATAAGAAGGTATTTCTAAAGAAGTCCACGTAATGATAGAGAGCCCGGGTTGAAACGCATTGTCCAATTTTATTAGTTGGGCGCGTAATAATGGTAGATATAATTTGGGCATACTCCTGTTAAAATATTCTAATATAGGCATATAGAAGAGAAAAAAGGGATTTTTTTAATACATATTATAGATATTTTCATATCTTTTTATTACTCCTACTGCCAAGAGCTCTTTATCAAAATTTAACTTTGTTAACCTATTTTATAAAACGCATCTTTATTATAGACATTATAAAATCACCTCCTAATCTGATTGTTGCGATCCACCAGGAATTTAATGCGTTCATAATCTGCAAATATTTTGTCTTTGCAAAAAGCCACTACTTGGGCCGTATCAGGTACATCTAAAATATAATAAGAATTCAGTTATATTTTAATATGAATATTGTAAATTTTACGATATAATTTTAGTGCCATATGGACAAACAAATTAGCATATTATAATGATAATTCTAACAAGAGCTTAAGTCTTTTTATATAAAAACTGGTAAAATTTTAGCGGGGTCCTGCACAGAAACCCTTTCTTTTTCGCTTAGTGAATAAGAAAAATATGGGTCCCTTTTGAACCTTAACTTACGACCTCTAACATAATATTATGCTTGCTCGTTAAACAGACACATGAAATTATTACATTCTTCTTCTTCTTCTTCTCCCAGCCCATTTCCCAATCACTTGGGGTCGGCGCAGTACATCTTCTGTACTGCTGAAAGGCTTTGGTAAAAGTTTTACGACCGGCCGCCTGCCTGACGTCAACCCTCCTTGGGAAATGAAATTATAACATTATTATCTAATAATAATACTTTGTATACTCCACTTACATAAGCCCAGCTGCCACATATATTCCACTTCTCTAATACATTCAGGGATGTAAATGTTGAAATTAACAATGAACATATTTGTAGTAGGATGCCGAATTAAAAGCGGTGCTACTAAGCCCAATCTCACCTTAGAAAATATTTAATTATATTTAATAATTATTAGGACAAGAGAAAGATAAGGCGTAATGCATACAAGTGTAAATAAATATCACCAATTTCCAAACTACTACGACTGTTACTCAGTATCTATTCGTACAACCGCAAATGTATATGTATATACCTCTTTGTATGGTTTCTATTATAGCTTATAAATCCCATTCTATATGGTAAAATTTTCAACATTTTATAATAAATTAAATATATATATATATATATATATATATATATATATATATATGTATATATATATATATATATATATACTTTAAGAAAAACAAATAGATTAAATAAGCAATAGTGTCAAGATTACAATTGTACTAATGGTTGTACATATATGGTAATTAGAATAATTAAACCTTTATTTAGTTTTATTTAACTTGGCAAATTCTGTCGTAGTGATAGCAATGTATATAATATAAACATACCTGACCCACATTTTCCGTCCAGGCTTTATGGTAAATAAATTCGAATTCCGTAAAAACTATATACATTACGTTGTAGAGCTTTATACATCTCTGCGTATTCTAAAATATTAATTTTTGTTGTTATTTATTATTAAAGTCATTAATTTCTGAATTTTTAAATATTTTAAACCTATTTATACTTTATATTTCCCAGATAGATGACTAAATATGTATATAACAGAAATAGCTATTGGAGTTACGTTTTGTACAAAAGTTAAACTGAACTATCGATCTAAATCTTTCGGTAATAATGGCTGCCGTAATCTGATTAACATGTTAATAAATTTCAAAAATTATTATTAAGTAAATAAATATATAGTTTTATACTTGCCATATGAGTGATGACTTCATGGTGTTTCATAAACTCTTTCATGGGATGTTTTATATTTTTATCATAGAAACGTATCCACATCACTCTGCCAGATACCGGCGGCATATTCCTTGGGAGGTCAGGATTTTCGCGTTCTTCATTATATCTATGTAGACATAAGTTTGTTTATAGATTAGAATTTAATAAATAAGTTTGATCAATTTCACAAAAGGTCTAACATTCCATTACATTTACGACCCTAATAAATACACTAATAATCTGACGAATTTATTATGTAAACAATAAATAAATATATTGGGACATACACAGCACAATCTAGTTCCATGGTAAGCTACGAGGCTTATGTTATGGATACCAGATATTTGATACACTACACATATATAACTTTAAATGCGTACATATAATAAATATAAACACCCATGACTGGAGTACAAACATTCGTGCTCATCACACAAATGAATGCCCGCAGCGGGACTCGAACCCGCGACCGCTGATACAGCAAGTATGGTCACTACCAACTGAGCCTTTATAAATATTTTATGTATGATAAAGCACTTTTTCACCTGGAATTAAAAATTTACCACTCTGATATCCGAATATAATACAAATAAGTATAAAGAATAAAGTTTACTAATGAAAGAACATCGTTACCTTCAAAAACTAATCAATAATATCATTTTACCTATCACGTATAGATTCAATCTCGCCAGTGTATTTGCTGATTAAATCGTAATATTGGTCTTCAAGATACAAGCACTCAAGGTCGAGCTTTTTGAATCTCTCAAGTAAATGTAGAGCTATCTCCGTAGTCGGGCATTTGTTTACACTCTGAAAATTTCATATAAATCTTTCAATATAAAAAGACAAGAATTTTCAAATTAAATATTAGTACAGTATTTTTTTTTCAGTTTAGTTTTAAAATATATAAATATGTACACTAATTCCCGATTTCACCAACGTCACCTAAGTTTAAGGGATCCCCTAAGCATGTTTAGGGGGCTGTTAGGGGACAGTTACTGTTTTACCGACAGTTAGGGGTCACCTAAATATTAAAAGGCCCCCTAAATTTACGTGCTCGAAATGTGGGCTTAAAGACGATCGTAAAACGAAATTTAATTTAGGGACTAGTTTAGGGGACTTTAAAGCTAGAGATCCCATACGTAGGTGGTAGCTTATGGGTTTTTGGTGAAATCGGGCATAAGTAGTTTAAATAAAAATGTTACCGAGATCATAAAATTTTCCAGCAACAATTCCTGTGTAGCAACAGCGTCTTTATACGCTTTGTAATCTTTATCGAAATCTGGTCGCCTTTAAGAAGTAACTTCGTTAAGTAAATATAATAGTATTGAAATTTCATATAGGACTCTACATACATTCTAAAATCTAAATAATATTTGCGCACGAATGATATTAAAAAATACTAATAGTAGAAGTAGTACAGAGTAGGAACTAAAATTTAATTATACTCGTATATTATACCTACGTGAATTGAAAACCCATTATAGAGCATATTGCGAAGGAGCATGAGACTCCATGGACACTATACAAATATATTATTTGACATACTTAGTTAAAATTACTCTGTTTCTAAAAGCTACAGTGTGATGTTAAAAAACCTATTATTTTATATTAACACCTCCATCCAGGTAAATTTCTAAGAAATGAATTAAAATTCTAACAAATCTATTGTTAACTGACACGCCGGTGTGTCCGCGGTCGTGGAGGGATTAATATAGAAATTTGAAGAAGAGTTTGTTCATTTGTTTGCGTAAGCTAATCTTTGACACTACCAGTCCGATTTAAAAAAAAATTGCATTTTTTAACATTGAGTGATGTACAGTATAGAGCAATGCCGTAGTATTTTCTGTACCTGTGATCCAAAGCATCATAGGTTTTAGTGGATATTGTCTTAAACAGTTTATTAAAGATTACCGCATATTCTTCAATACCTTCTAGAGTTGTTTTGTTCAACACATAATAAGTTATATAGGTCTGGAAGAGATCTACAATCTGCGGAAAATAAAGATACATATTTGACTATTTTTTATTTAAAATGCAAACTTGATTCAGTCGATTTAAATAGTATGGAATATAATAAAAATTATAGGATAAATAGAAGCATTACAAAAATGTATTTAATTTGTAATGCTACATACCTACTAAGGGTGTGATATAGTATATGGCGGAAGCGAGATTATTAACAAGTATTTTTGAAGTATTATTTTTTAGTTATATTTTTTTCTCTGTCATGTACGTTACCTTCAACAAACGCTTTCTAAATGTTTCAAACTTTCCAAATATATACATTTCCGAACAATCGAAAGGACGCTCGTCTGCAGCCTCCATCATCTCCAGTTGCGTTTCATTGTAACATTCACGATAAAAACTATACAGGTTCAAACATAGCTGAAAATATACATAGGTATAGGAAATTATATATAATCAGAATTTAAAACTAAATTTCAGTTCAGGATCCACTTAACCTCATCAAACATTTTACCTACATATGTACCAATTATAGCCTTCCTGCATTATAAAAAATTGAAACCATTTTATTACAAAAAAAAATTGAAAAATTTCATTTAGAAGCATAATATACCATTATAAATTCTAGTAACTTAATAACTATTTACCTTAGCCTTCTTAATAAAATTCAGTTTATCTTGATTCCAGATAGTCTTTCTGCCGCTATTTGTTAAATACTCCATGCACATGTTTAATATCTGATTTGTTACTTTAACTAATAGAGTGGATATCTGCTTTGTAGTGTTATAGTAACGAGAAGTTGCGTAAACCATTCGTACTGTATATAACAACCCCGGAATAAACTGCTGCATTGTTACAGGATCACATCTATTAATTTGTAAATATAATTTAAAAAATTATAATTTTAAAGCTTAAGGACCATATCTAGGTATAATTAGTTATTAAAGCAAATAAATACCTGTAGAGAGGTTCACAATATTTTTCCAAAGCGTATAAATATTTCACATTATCAAAAGCTTCATTATAGTAATCGGTTACTTGATTGTCTATAAGCCTCCATTTCTGTAATGTTTAAATTACTTTAACATATTCAATGTTAATGACTACAATGTATAAGATGATACTAACGAAACCTCAAGATATTCCTTGTCTATTCGTAGATTCAGTACTTATTAAAAATCAACTTAATTTTTAAGTAGACACAATCAGTCGGTCCATGAAACTAAAAAAACAGTTTTGAAAAAAGAGCCAGCGATAAACTCAACAGTTACTCTTTTAAACAATGAGGTACAGAATTTACAATAATAATTTTCAGTATTATCTACACATATAATAAAATTATAACTGAGTTTGATATGGTGATAGCTGGTTATCTGGGTCAACATATAGGATACTTTTTGGTCATCTGAACGCGGGCGGAGCCGCGGGCAATGCTAGTAATCAATATAATACGAATATTAATTTTAGAGTGATACTGACATCTTTAACTTTTCTTTACAAAGCGCGCGAATAACGAAACATACATAAATAACCGCAGTCCACCCTGTTTATTTTTTTTATTATTATACATCCTATCAGCCAAGAGTGTATAAACAAATTCTTTAAACAAATTAGCCAAATAAATATTTTTACTAAAACTTTTTTATATGACAAATGAAACTAAACAAATTTTTACGATACATAGAGAGCATATTTAATGATAACAAATATTAATTTAAATTAATATGCTTAAGAGTTACGAGTAAGCGTATGTTTCTCTTAAGAAATTTTAAAACTAATATAAAATAATTATCTCATAGAGATACGCAACCTACTAATATCATATACTTGATGTACAAGAATAAAAATTTGTGTTTCAATCTCAGATCCAAAGTACCTACGCTATTTCTATGCAAAAAGTCCCAACAATCTATAAAAGAAGGGCAAACCAACACACTTTAGCAGTCATAATATTATTAGAGATTTGTTATATTGATTAACCTTTAGTAGCTTGGACTTGGCACGTATTAGCGTGTGTATATACATTTGACAAGGGTCGCTTTTAATATGCTCTATAATTGAAGTGAAGGAGGTTAACTGACGGCGCCAATGATCTAGTTCTGCTAACGGTCCGATATTAGACGGCTCTCTACGCAACTGCTGGCTTTGTACTAAAACCTACAATTTAGTCATAAATTATTAATCATAATTATTATATAAAAAATCTGGAGTAATTTACATTGGTAGGTACTCATTAAAAAGAAAACTACAAACAATTGTAAAATAAAACAACAAAAATTAAAATATCTTAATTATATATATATATATATATAATGATTATAAAATATATAAGGTGGAGAACGTATCATTCTCTAACCATCATAATCTGTTTGACCCACTGTTTTACAAATGAACAAATCTCCTCCAGTACATGAGTTTTTGTAATTGCGTGTTTCATTTTCTCCTGATCAGCTAATTCTTCCTCATACAATATCAAATTTATTTTAAACTTTGTGCAACAATCCAAGTCTATTTTAGTTTCTAATAATAAAAAGTTTGTGTTAGTTAGATATATTAGACAATCACTTGGGTATTTGCTTGTGTTATATTCTATAACTGCCTCGGTGGTGTAGTGGCTATTATGTACGGCTGCAGACCCGGAGGTCCTGGGTTCGAGTCCCGGGTCGGGCCAAGTTTAGTTATTGAGTCTTTCTGTATAGTTAGCCTCAGTAACAGCCCGGAGTTGGGAAGTTGGCGGTGTTTCACCCCCGTGCCTCGGAGAGCACGTAAAAGCCGTCGGTCCTGCGACTTAACTCTCACTGGTCGTGTCGAGTGGTCGTCCCACCGGAGTATATGAGAGTGTCAGCAATAAAGAGTGCACTTGTGTCTGCGCGTACACTTGAGCACTATAATATCTCCTGCGCAGTTGGCTAGTCTCAATGATATTGGCCGCCGTGGCCGGAATCGATCAGGAGAACATCATCATCATTCTATAGTTTTTCATACATACACACATTCATAAATATACCTATTTGATAATTAAAATAAACACTTATTGGATCAATCACTTAGTATACACCTGTCCATATGTTCGTCACCTATTCGTTATTATTTTCTGGGTATTCATTATGATCATATGATAGAGAACATACATAGCTTAAATTCCTACAATGTACGACTATTTTTACCCAAGTGTAGGTAAAACAAAATTTTTACTTTTTTTTAACGTTGGGAAATGCATTTACGCACGAGGTGTGGGACTCACCGGCGTAATAACGCCAGTACAACCTACTAAAACCCAACAAAACCTTCCCCCGTCTTAATGGGGCGTCGTAGGATCGCTTACGCATTCAACTACGACGCTCCGACGGCAGGTCTGCCGAAGCAGACCACCACAACCATGGGGTTGCTCCAAGGTCCACTCTGCTATCAGAGAAGTACCAGGAGCAACTCGCATGGTACACCGCCCTCCGAAGAGGGCCACCTCCCACCGAAGTGGGCCACCTCCCTGTGCGTTTCTTGGCTTGGCGCCCGGCTGTATTGCCGGGCACTACTGAGCCCCCTCACCACGACAAGGTGAAGGCATGTTGGGGGGGACAAAGTTTTTACCTACTTAACCATATTTTTCGTAGTTTTATTCAAACTATTATTTGTAGATATTTAAGTAAAAAATATTGTAATTATAAAAATAAGCATAATATAAAACTTTGTAAACTCACTAGCTAAATAGTCAATAAACAACATTATCTTCGATATATAAGATTTAATAATGTCTTTGCTCTTTGGATTAGGAGGATTGAGATCACCCCAAGCTTGACACGCTTGTAATGCAGGAACATATACACGTTGCATTGTTTTAAATATACCAGAAACTACATTTTCTTTTTCTTGATTCATATCAAAAACGACCAAGTAATAATCCTGAAACAATTTATATTTTATTCTCTGGATCAAATAGAAAACTAAATAAAATCTCTTTACCTATAATATGGCATATTAATAAATATTTTGTGTGATCTCGATAAAAGTCATCTAGGTTTAACTTTACATCTGAAAAACTATTTATATCATATTAGCCTGTAATTCACTAACTAAAAAATATTAAAATCTCACATCTGCAACCGTTTTCATGTCAATAGCTTTATTTTTAATTCTGTACATTGCAACGCACATCCCTTCAGTTCCTATTGTAGCCGCATCTGATATATAGGTTCTTTCCATTTTTCCCTTTTGATTAGGGACAAATCGACCAGATTCTATTTTAGAATTATAAAAATTAAAATTATTGTATTAAGTAATCATTGATCATAAAGTTATAAAATTGCATTTATTTTGCAAAAGTTACCCATTTTTAGTGGCGGTAAAAAAGCATCGCAAAGAACGAAGCAATTCCTGCCACCTTCGACTAAGGCGCTATCTAAAATATCAATATGGATATCCGCATCATATACACCGTCCTGAAAATTTATTCTACTTAAAAGTTAATCATTTAACGGAAATATAAAAATTTATTTAAAAAAATTACCAAAACATATTCTACAGGTTTGTTTAAAATCGCAGCCGCATTTTCTAGTAAAAACCTGCTTTGTGATTTCAATCCCCCTACTCTGTTATTACGAGCCTCTTTCGCTTTAGCCTTAAATTAAATTTAAAAATCAATGGTCAGTACATATTATAGAAACGTAAAGAATCAAACACTCATCTAGTTAACAGTTTTATTTACTTGTTTATCCTTGTACGACTCATGAGCTAAACCCAAAGTACTCATAGAAACTCTACTTTTCTTTTGAATATCTTTTAACCTTGAGGAGACATCAAGAATAGCTTCCAGGGCAGTCCTATCTATATCAACAATTTGAGTAGATACTCCTGGCGTGGCTGGGTATACAGATTGCTTTCTTGACATTTTCCTCGTAACTTCATCTATCTTTACTGCAGTTTGCTCCATATCTTCAGCATGTTCTTCAGCAGTACCTTCTGTTGCATCTGCACCACCATGAGCTTCTTCAGGTAGTGCAGCATCTGCCTGCTCTTCAGGCAGATTCTCTCCAGCTTCCTTCGACATTTTATAAAAATTCAATCAGAATAATAAAAATTATTTTATTACCTATTTTTATTTTTACAATGCGATACTTTAATGGCTTCGAATAGACAATTTCAATAAACATTCGTCGTTGTCAATAAATTCAAAAATTTAAAATATGTATTTTTGTTTTAAAATCATTATAAAGAAAACATAAAAACTTATACAGGTAGGTACTGCAAACTTTTTAATTTATTGATATAATAATATGTATTATTATTCATGGTACAAATGTCAGATATGATATACAAAGTTTGACAGAATGCACAAGATATGTACCATGATATGGACTTTGATTATAAATTTAGATAGTTTATAACTATAATAACTAGATAATTTCAAACTAGAAAAACCCATTACAAAATTGTAATCGATTCCAGTATTCGTTATAATTTTATGACAAACAATATTTAAAATACCTGTATATATCTCGAGCCATATGATGTAAGCACAACGAGGAAAGGAATAAATATGTTCATCCTGTGGTACATGGCTATCGCTTTTAATTATTTTATGTAAGAAATTGATTTGTCTTTTTAAACGAAGAAACACCAAAAATCATAATACCACAAATTATATTACACTTAAAAATACATGTATACCTGCAAACACAGAAATCTTAATAATATTACCTTATTATTAAGATTTCTGTGCCTGCAAATAATACCAAAATATAGTTTTTAGGGGATGGTTGCCAGCTCCTACACCTCCAGCCCAAGAAGATCATACAACCCTGCCGGTAGCTCCACCTCCTCCTCTCCCACCGACAGGTGATAATTATAATATGTATATTTTTTTTCTAAAGTAATAATATATCCAATGACAATATGATACTTAAAACTTATTTTGAAAAAACTTTATATTTGCGTACATACTTATGACGTTTATAAAAAAGTGTAGTTATTATCCGTAGGTAGATAATAATAATAGAATATACTTATATATATAAATATAATTATTACCCGTAATGTAATAAAAACCATGAAAAAAGAAAGATTCTCCCACCGAATTATAGTTAATACCAATATTAGTAATTTTTACTCGACATATATTAATTACTTCCTAATTTTAATCCTTTTCCAGATTCCGATATTGACAAAACAAAAATTGAAAGAAATATCATATAAAAGACAATAAAAAAATGCTTATTATATAAGTGACAATATGTACTAAAAAAAAGTGAATACTAATTTTTATATTTTTATTACGTGCATTTTGAGTACCCTATTTTAAAGCTTTAAAGCAAGAAAGCGCCACGTATTGAAAGTAAAATATTTTGGCACAATTTAATATTCTTTAATATTCACCGTAACTGCTCTTTTTACCCAACTGCGCGACGCAAAGAAGGGTAATGTGTTTATTATTAGTCTACTTATTATGTAGGTATGTATGTGTGTTTTATGTGTCATTCTAGACACCAAACGCGTGGGACGATTTTGATAATTCATACGTCGCGCCGATAGATTCGTCTTAATAACTCAGGTGTCGGACTAGGTTATAATCATGAACGAATTGTGGTTAATTCGTTCATGGTTATAATATATGTTGGGACATTAACACACATCACCATCTAGTTCCATGGTAAGCTACGAGGCTTGTGTTATGAATACCAGATAGTTGATACACTACACATATATAACTTTAAATACATGTTACAAATATAAACACCCATGACTGGAGTACAAACTTTCGTGCTCATCACACATATGAATGACCCCAGCGGGATTCGAACCCGCAACCGCTGGCATAGCAAGTAGGGTTACTACACACTGAGCCAAACGTGTCGTCAAAATAGTTACGTTATATAAAAATAGTTGAAAATTAAAATGGCGTATTTCAGGTGCGAATTTGTGTGTCTTTAAAAAAAAGTTCCAAACCAATCGAGTGAGTTATTGAAATAAAAGTAAATAAAAAAAAAATATAACTTTAAATGTCTAATTGGGAAAAAAACAAAAGCTGAAAATAAAAAAATATATTATAAAAATAAAATAACCCGACTACGTATAAATTTACTAAAAAGATGAAATGATAAAAGAATATAGTATTATGCAGTCGTAGACATATATACCTCTGTATGTACATATTATATTATACATCTGGCGGCAAGGATGGATCATGAAACGTGTTACGTGTACGGTGTAGGTACGTCTCCGACTGCATAATACTATATTCCTTCGTTAACTTGTTTTCATCTTTTTAGTAAGCTTTTATGCAGTCGGGTTTTTTATTTTTATAATAAGTATATTTTTTAATATTACATTTATTTGCGTAAACTATAAACTTATTATTAGCTTTATTTAACACTATTGTCGCTCCACTCAGGTGCGATTTTTTTAATTTTGCATATATTTTTTTAAAGTTTTATTGTAGATTGCTCCTGTAGACCGGTCATTCATCCATAGTTCAAAATTTAATTACTGCTAATTTTAAAATTACCGCTAAAACTCATCCGTGACTTCCTTACATTATCTAACACTGATGCCTGACAGTGACATGTTTTGACTTTTGATGCAATGCCAATTTCTAAGAGCTAGGGATGTCGGTAATGAAAAAATATATCGATATATCGAGGTATCGATATTTATTACAATATCAATATCGACCTCGATATCCCGAGTAAAAAATATCGATATATCGGAAAATTTTTCAGAGATTTCCGGCTTTAAAATAATAATGTATTTTGTTCAGTCTAGCTCAAAAATAGGTAAAAGTATTTTTTAAATGCATATTATTTTATTGCACGAGAATCTTAACGAAAACGAAAGGTACTTTACCCCCCTTCCAATTAACTGGTTTTTACGGCATTTGAAAGTGAGTGACGCATGACGGCCGCCCCATACACATACAACACAAACAAAACATACTAGTCATATTTTTTCCGTGCGTTCCTATTTTTTACGACTTTGAGTTTTGTTAAATATTCCGCTAAAAAATTAAATTTGAAAAAAATATCGTTTTTGATACGATTTTCGATATTGAATATTCTGTATCGATATATCAATGTATCCGATGAAAATATATCGGCTAAAAATATCGATATATCGAATAAAAAATATGGATACATCGATGTATCGATAATTTTTCAACGAGTTACGAGCCTATCATGAGCCTTCAAGTTTCAACGGTTCCAGCAATATACTCTATGAACGGTTCACTGTTCAGCCTACTTCCAAGTCTGATTTATAATTCACACAAAAAAAAACAATTGAAAACGCGCCAAATTGTAAAAATGTTGGACAAAAATTTAAGGTTGACATAAAAAGTGTTTTGTTTAATAAATAATAAAAATTAAAATCTGATTACTTACTAATTACAATGCGCCGTAATTGGAAAGGTCGTTATAAAAATAATTGGTATAGAAAAAATAATACTACTAGAAAATCATCCGACAGCAATAGTATTAACAATTCATCATCATCATTATTGGCGTCAACCTCGTCGAGATCCTCGAGGGCTCCAGCTAATCAGCTTCCCATTGTTATTCCTATTCACTCTGGTAAAAATTTGTGGAAACTGTATTTTCCTTGTGAAGGTAATAAAAATAGTACTTTGTGACTAAATGTTTAAAAAATATGCTTAAAGTTTACTAGTTAATTCTGTTTATTTCAGAACAAACAACTAATGCTGATTCTATTGAAAATATCAAATGCTTTCAAGCTTATATAGAAAGAAATAGAAGTACATTTGATTTGGAAAAAATTGATCAGACCCGCAGTGTGTCTTTGGACATGCAAAATCTATTAAGTGATGATGAGTTTAAAACCAAATGGTCTACTTTTCAAAATGACTTGTTTGAGAATCCTGATACAACTTTACGAATTTTAGAATTTTGTTTACATGAGGTGATTTACATGTTTTTAAAATTTGAATTAAGAGTTTTTAAGATTAATAAAATATAATTTTCATATAAGTGAGAATTTCCAGGCACTAAAATGTGAATCTCGTATAAAAGTCAGAATATTAAACCATGAACCAGTCATTCCAATTGCTAACTTAAAAGTTAATTATTTTGGTATGTATTTACTTTCTATTCGAATTTTATAATAGATATTTTGTAATAATTTGTTTATATACTTAATTTTTGTATATTTTAGGTAAACTAGTAACTATAAAAGGTACTGTTATAAGAGTAGGTAGCATAGGTCTCATATGCAGTTCTATGGCTTTTGAATGTTCTAGTTGCCATAGTATTCAAGCTGTGATGCAACCTCAAGGTATATTTACAGGTAAATACTTAGTTAATTTATATTTGTAATTATATATAAGTAAAATTTGTTTAAAATTAATAATTCTCATTATTTTAGCTCCAAATTTTTGCCAAAATTGTAAAAGTGGACATAAATTTGAACCTTTACAGTCTTCACCTTTTACAAATACAACTGACTGGCAAATAGCTAAGATACAAGAAATTCAGTCGCAGGTAATCTAAAACCTTGGTTGATAATTTAAAAATTCCCACTAGTTTCCTCCAGTTTCCACATAAACTATAATTAATATGGTATCGTAATACAGTTTTATTTCTATTATATTTATATTTACAGAGCATTTCTGGAACTATACCTAGAACAGTTGAAATAGAACTTCAGGGTGACCTCGTAGGCAGTGCTTGTCCTGGAGATGTACTTTCTGTGACTGGTATTGTACAGGTAAAGTCTCTTATTTCTATTTGTGATACAGAATATGCCTTCTTATTAAAATTTAAAAAGATGTGTATGTGTAGCTAAGCTGTCAAGTATTCGCGTTAATCTAAGAAAGTATTATGTAGTTAAGCTTTTTAATTCATATTTTATGGATGAGTAAAATTGAAAATATTAATTATGTCAAATATAACACTAATCCATGTCTTTATTATTATGACTAATGACTCAACCTCGCTTCGCTCGGGTTCATTTCTAGCTTTCGATTACAAAGTTTCGTCCCCATTTTCGCACCTATACAGAATGATTTCCGGGATAAATTGCATCTGAATTGGTTCAGTAGATCCATTGATTACCCCCTACAACACAAAGTTTTCCTCTTTATTTATATATTAGTATAGATTATAATATATTAATATTAGTATAGATTATAAATAATAAATGTATAATTTTGTCACTAAAATATTTTTAGGTTCGTGGTGAAAGCAAAGGTGGTGAAGATGGAAGGAGAGCCGCTAGACTTTTGCAACTTTATGTAGAAGCTGTTTCTATACACAGTCAGAGAAATCTAAGCAACCCTACATTATCTTTCACTTTGAAGGACTACTATGCAATACAGGTATATTCATTTCATCATGTACATTCTAGCAATGTGTTAGATAATACTCACAATTTTAAATTATTTCAAATTTAGTTTTTTATTATAAGCTAGCGATTTACCCTTATTTCGCTCGGGTGCATCCCAAGGTGCGTTTCATTTTTTTAGAGCACAATCCTAATTCATTTTCTAAAATAAAATCAGCCTAAGTTACTCCTTTCAACTATCTGTCATTGAAAGCCCCGTCAAGATCAGTCCAGCCATTTCGTAAATTTGCAGGAACAAACAGACAAATTAAAAATTGTGTTTTTCTTATGAGTACTTTTCAGACACTTCAATATAATCTGTCTGTATAGGTTATAATTAAAAAAAATAGATAAATAATTCATGTTGTAAACTAAAAAAATCAAATTTGACAGGAAATACATGCTTCAGAAAATGTCTTCAGACTTCTAGTACATTCTCTTTGTCCAACTATATTTGGACATGAGATGGTTAAAGCCGGCCTTATACTAGGATTGTTTGGTGGAACAGAAACTGAAAATGGTGTTCGGCCCAACCCTCATGTGCTAATAGTTGGAGATCCTGGCCTAGGGAAATCACAACTATTGCAAGCCGCTGCACATGCTGCTCCGAGAGGTACATCATTTATACCAAAATACTAAAAAAGTTGCTAAACAGCAAATCAGATTTGCACATTGAGAGAGACTTACAGTTTTAGTTTTTTATTACAATTCAAAAACTTTTACAACTAGTGGAAGCGGTGGTTTAGTGGGTAGCATATCGGCTGCAGATACAGTGATCCTGGGATCGAGTCCTGGGTCGGCCAAAGCATAGTTATAAATTATATCTATCAAGACATGCATAAGTTTTTCAAAGTATCCATTGTTATACACTCCTTCCCTCATAGAGCATGAATGAATAATATAATAAATAAAATTGAAGTGTCTGTTTTTAATGTCAAAATAACAGCTTTTAAATAAATGCATATCGAATTATATATGGTATTTATAAGAAAAACACAATTTTTAAAATTTTTGTCTGTCTGTTCCTTCCGGCTGATCTCCAAAACGGCTGGGTCGATTTTGACGGGACTTTCACTGGCAGATAGTTGATGTTATAAGGAGTAACTTGGCGACTTTTATTTCAGGAAAAGAATTAATGTTCCGCTTAAAAAAATGAAAATGTATCTATATAATTATGTCAACATGTAGGTGAGTCGCTAGTCTGATATATAAATACACAGGTGTGTACGTGTGCGGCGCGGCGGCGTCGGCGGGCGGGCTGACGGTGGCGCTGGGCCGCGACGCGGGCGGCGGCGCGGCGCTGGAGGCCGGCGCGCTGGTGCTGGCCGACCGCGGCGTGTGCTGCGTCGACGAGCTGGACAAGGTGTGCTGTATCTGGCTACTATACTTCTTCTTGCACGGCTTTTTCCGTACTTAAGCAGCATTGCCCGTTGTATGTAAGCTTGTGCTACTTTGTGTGTTATTCTTTCCACCCCAAAGCATCCCAGTAATCTAGAAGGTTGCCGAAGTACTATTTTATAAATAGCTGAGTTTGAATGTGTGTGTGTGCGTGTATGTGTGTATATGTTTGTTACTCCTTCACGCTAAAACGATTGGATGGATTTGGATAAAATTTAGTACACAGATAGATTATGACTTAAATAACAAATAGGCTACTGTTAGTAATATTTTTCCTATATTATAAACTGAATGACATAATGCTGATGACGCAACCCAAGTGTTGGAAATAATTTTAAGTTCCGATCGTCATAATGAAATGAAATATAGCATTGAAATAAAGCATTCAATAAATGAATCATATAAAGCCATTAAAAAAATCAATTGTCTCAAAAAACTTAATATTTTCTAAATATAAGGAACACTTCTAGGAGGACTTGTTCTTGGACATACTAAACGCCATTGACTCAGATACGAGTACACCTACTGATAGTTCTAACAACTGATCGCAGAATACGCACCCAAATAAAATTAAAGAACAGTTAAAAAAAAAATTGCTTTTGACCTACTATATCTAAGAGGTTTTAAGAAAAACAAACGAAAGGAGCCTAAGATGAGCTCCACTATCCACCTTCGGGCTCCATCATCAAATCAGCTCCAAGATATCAAATTATAGCATTGTCATCCAAAATACTGAATACATATATTCAACATTCCATTTCGATACAACTATTAGAAGGACGGCAAAATTGAAAGATTTGATTAATCTATGTATATACAAATACTAATATTATAAAGAGGAAAGATTTGATTTTTTGTTTGTTTGTACTGAATAGGCTCCGAAACTACTGAACCGATTTAGATGCAATTTGGTAAGAAGATAGTTTGAGACCCTGGGGAGGACGTAGAATAGTTTTTATCCCGGAGATCATCCCTTAAGAGTGTGAAAGTTGTATGGTGAATCAACCTAGGGACAAACACGAGCGAAGCGAGTGTGAGTCGCAAGTTGTTAGATACAAGTAAAGAAGAAGAAATATAAATAAAACAATAAAAAGAAAGGTCCCATAATATTTGTTTTTGTTGTTGCATTGCAGATGAGCGCGCACCACAGCAGCCTGCTGGAGGCGATGGAGCAGCAGCGCGTGAGCGTGGCCAAGGGCGGCGTGGTGTGCAGCCTGGCCGCGCGCGCCACGCTGCTCGCCGCCGCCAACCCCGCCGCCGGCTCTTATAACCGGTACTATACTAATATTATAAATATAATACTTGTTGAATGCCAAGCTCCAGATGTGATGCTGGTGGTCTTGACTAAATAAAAATGCGTTTCGTGGTAATATGGACTGTATTATCGCTGTTGATTTCTTGAGACGACCGTACGTATGCACACGGCGAGAGGTGGTGAGCGAGTCTCGGGCGTTTAGAGGGCTCGGCGCGTCGCAGGAGTGACTATCGCGAAACCGGTTCGATCACGAGCCGGTGGCGTGACCCGATGTGACGTAGGAACATATTCCCCGGGTTGAAGTAAGGAAGACTTCAAGAAGTTGATCAGGACACTGGAAGAGGGCAGATATTATTATATGCTCGTGTAATAGTTCCTTTTTTCGTAAGGATATCCGCAACTCTGCTGTGTCCGTCCGATCCAGTTCTGACAGCAATAACTCTGCCAAGCAGCCATAAAAGAGGAGGCATATTGGCGTCCTTTACTAGGACCATTGTGCCTGCCTTTAGGTCCTGCCCCGAAGTCTGCCATTTAGTCCTCTGTTGAAGCAGAGACACATATTCATGAGAATAGCGTTGCCAGAAGTGTTGACGCAACTTCTCAACGCGATCGAAGCGTTGTAGCCGTTGGATGTTGCTATTGGTTATTTGAGGACGAGGAAATGATGTAAGAGTTCGTCCGATGAGGAAATGAGAAGGGGAAAGATAAGACAAATCTGAAGGATCTGTGGAAAGAGGTGTTAAAGGTCTAGAATTTAAGATAGCCTCTACCTGAACCAGACACGTTGAAAGCTCTTCATAAGTTAAGTGAGTTAAACCCATGACTCTATGTAGCAAATGTTTACACTGCTTTACTGCTGCTTCCCAAATTCCACCAAAATGTGGAGTATAGGGAGGTATAAATTTGAATTCTATACCCTGGTTTACAATGTCTGACTCTATGAAGACAGAAGAAACTTGGAGAAAACGTGAAAGCTCATTGAAAGCTCCCACGAATGTGGTCCCATTGTCGGAGTACACCCGTTGAGGTTTGCCACGACGGCTGATGATCCGGCTCGAAGGACCATATGTTGAATGCCAAGCTCCAGATGTGATGCTGGTGGTCTTGACTAAATAAAAATGCGTTTCGTGGTAATATGGACTGTATTATCGCTGTTGATTTCTTGAGACGACCGTACGTATGCATACGGCGAGAGGTGGTGAGCGAGTCTCGGGCGTTTAGAGGGCTCGGCGCGTCGCAGGAGTGACTATCGCGAAACCGGTTCGATCACGAGCCGGTGGCGTGACCCGATGTGACGTAGGAACAATACTATATAGAAAATCTATACTAATAATATAAAGTTTGTGATTTTGTGAGTTCGTGACGTTTTAGGAGGTAATCTCTGGATCTACTGAACCGATTTAGATGTGGTACGAAGATAGTTTGAGACCCTGGGAAGGACATAGAATACTTTTTATACCGGAAATCACCCCTTAAGGGGATGAAAATGAGGATGACAGTTTTTATTGGGAAGCAAGCTAGAAACGAACCCGAGCGAAACGAGGACGAGTTGTTACTTCTCTAGTCATACTATAACTTCACATAAAGGCCCGTTAAAAGGGCATCACAAATAAATATATAGTCCGGAGTTCATCACTCCTTTTTAACATTCTTTTTATTACTAACATTGTTTTACAATTTTAGAAACTACTTTTAAAGTGTCAGAGACTGAAGCTCAAATTATATATTAATCTATTTAAATAAATTGAAATATTTTGAATCAATAAAATATAAAAAAAACATCCATTTATACATAATTATTGTGTGTTATTTAACTTTAAAGATTTTTTCATTATTTATCTTATTTGATAATACTAGTAATTCATATTGAATTTTATATCTTTACAGGGCAAAAACAGTAGCAGAAAATTTAAAACTAAACTCTGCACTTCTATCGAGATTTGATTTAGTTTTTATCTTACTAGATTTGCCAGATGAGGTGCGTGTAATATCAATTATATTTTAAACTTAAAAATTTAAATAAACCAATATAGTTTTTTTTTAAGTTATTTCATGGATTTTTATAGATAAGAAGAAGATAAGAAGTAAAACTATATTAAGCTCAAGTCTTGTTTGTTTCTTTCTAAGTTTAATATATTATGTTTTAGAAAATAGATGCGATGCTGTCTGAACATGTGTTAGCCTTACATTCTGGTTCAAAGAATAAACGTAAAGGAGATGCATCTACAAGTTATAATAATCCCAATATACTATCTAGTCAGCCTGAGAGTGACATTCCTTTAAGGTAATATTAATATTTGCAATATTATTATTATACAGGCTGGATTGTTGATTAATCGATTAATCGTTTTTCATACAAAATGTATGGGAAAAGTTTTTAGTGATTTCTGTAATTTCTAGTACTCATACCTTAAATGGTCCCTTAGTCTTTTGATCCCTACATGAAATAGGATCGATTGATATAAAAAAATGTTTTTTGGTATTTTAGCATATTTTTCGTTAACTGTACATATATTTCAAAATCTGTAAATGCAGTTCACAATATCTCAAAAAAATTACCTGGTACCTGCCCTTACTGTCCCGTCTCAAAAATCCACCCAGTATAGCATAACTCAATATGAAAGTATGAAATGGGCATTGCACAAGTCTAATTAAGTCTAGTTTCACCAATTAAAGTAAGATTAAAAAAATCACCTTAATTACTGCTAATAAGAGTAATAAAAAAAATATTAACACCTGGTAAAATTCTAAAAAATTAATTAAAATTCTAAGAAACCTATTGTTAACTGACACGCCGCTGTGTCCGCGGTCGTGGAGGGATTAATATGTATTAGAATTATTCGAGTACACAAACATTTCAACCGTCATGCAGTTAAATTAATCAAAAATTAAAATCAGCCATTTAATATCCAATCAAAAATCATTAATTATATATTATGAAATTGACTTCAGTGTCATAAAATGTCGATAACTATATCCAATTTTCTCCACAGCAAAAGATTACGACTGAAACCAGGTGAGGTCATTGATCATTTACCATTAGTTTTACTTAGAAAATACATTGCATATGCTAGAAGATACGTTCATCCCAAGTTAAGTACTGAAGCTGCGAATATCTTGAAAGATTTCTACTTGGAACTTCGTCATCAGCACCAGGGGATTTCAAATGAAGGAGCCTCGATCACTACTAGGCAGTTGGAGGCGTGTATTAGACTTACACAGGTACTAGAATACAACTTTAAATTTAGATTACTATTGTATTAAACCCTTTTTTAAGGTCCCACTGCTGGGGGCGGGCCTCCCTTCAATACGAGGGGGATCAGGCCATAGTCCACCACGCTGGCCAAGTGCGGGTTGGCGGACTTTACATGTCTTTCGAAAACTTGCTAGGTTCTCTCAAACATGCAGGTTTCCTCACGATGTTTTACTTCATTGTAAGGCAAGATTACTATTATTAATGCGAAAATTTGTATGTGTGTTTGTTATTCTGTCATGCTCAAAAGACTAGACGGTTTTTAATAATATTTTGTATACAGATAGACTGACCTGGAGTAACACATAGTCATTGTTAGACACCTAGGGATGCACCTGTTACAATTTGATAATAATATAAATTATACATAAATTATTAATTATATAAAAATTGGTTTTATATGTATTATTGTAAAATGGTTATTAGAGTTTTCTTAAGTTGTCATCTTGAGTGGAGAAAGGATGGGAAAAGCGTTCATCTTTGTTTTACGACTTAATGAAATACGTCATTCCTTTTCTAAATGTCGTTTGAAGAGTCAGTATATATAATTCTTCGTATATATAGTTAATATACTGCTCCTAAACGATTAAACTTTTTGGATGCTATTTTGTGTGTATATTTCAATGGGCTCCTGGATGGTTTGAAAACACAATTGGACCCGGTAGATGGCGCTGCAGTCTGTATATCAAAGTTTTTTTTGTGGTTTGAACGCGGGCGAAGCCGCGGGTACTGCTACAGTGAGAGTTTATTTAAAATGTGAACAGATTAAATAACTGAGCTAATCATTATTTTGTTAAAGGCTAGAGCGAGGGTAGATTTAAGAGAAGAGGCGACAGCTGAGGACGCCAGAGACGTCATCGGTCTTATGAAACACAGCCTTATGGATACGTTCAGTGACGAATTCGGAAATATACAATTATCGCGTTCTATAAACGGATCTGGTCTTAGTTCAAGAAATAAGGTAGTTTGATTTTTTTTAATTTTAGTGTTTTTTTTTTTTGAAAAAACTTCTATTTTTAACCCCGGCGCAAAATCGACGGTGTGTTATAAGTTTGACATGTCTGTGTGTGGCATCGTAGCTCCCGAACAGATGAACCGATTTTGATTTATGTTTGTTTGTAAGGTGAATTGGTCAGGAGTGTTCTTAGCTATGATTGATGAAAATTAAAAAATGTTTTTGAAATTTTTAATTATCACTTGTAAGAGATAACAGAATATTAAATTAATTACAATTACTTGTGACGCATGCTAATAAATTTTTAATTCCTTTTATATCATATACCCGCGTAATTTATTTATTTTTCCCGTAAACAAAAGGGCTACAAAAAGAAAAGTTTTTTTTTTCAAATAGTAGTGGTAGGTAGACTAAAATAAAATTGTAATTAAATTAGCCTTTATAATTATTATTGAATGATGCTTAAAATAAAAAATAAAATTTGACGTTTAAGTAAAAGAATAAATATTATGCTTAAAAATTCAAGTTTAAATGTATCTAAAAATGACTGACAAAATTTTTGTTTCGTAGGTCAAACGATTTTTAGATCTGTTGAGTCGGCGATCGCATCAACTAGGAAAAGACATTTTCACAAGACAGGAGTTGATACAAATACACAAATCAGCGGGCATCGCTGGCGATCCAAATGATCTGATAGAAGCTATGCACATTCATTCCTATTTACTTCTCAAAGGGTCCAATACATATCAATTAATAGCTTTTTAAAGTACTTGTTATAAAAATTTATTCAATAAAAAGATGTTTTGAAAAGCTTGTTTAATTTTAATTATTCGTTTGTTAAAATATTACCTTTTCATAAAATACCAGAGTACAATAAAATTGTTTTTGATGCATCAATCAATATAAAAAAAATCTTTTTAGCACTACACTAACAAATAACCTAATGTCTAAAAGTATTAAAAATAGTAGATTGTTTGAATATAAAACAAACTAACTTTATAATTGGACAAGCTAATTTTCTTCCTGATTTATAATTTAGTGAAAAATTATAATATTGCGAAAATTTATTAAAAACCCAGAGCCTATGCGTGTTGGTGAATACTGCTAGTTTTAAATAAAAGATTCCAGAGATAAAACACTTCAAGTGCAAATTCGTCTTTTTTTCACATTCCTTTTCTTTAACATCATATTAACAAAAATAAATTGGGTTTAAATTTATATTCAATAAAATAAGTAAGAACACAAAAGCATCTTTAGAAAATTTAATAATGTAAAAGATATGTATATAATAAAAAATTGTGACAGTCTTTAGATTTTCTTATAACCACCTCTCGATGGTACTTCCTCTAATGCCATTGACACATGGCAACAACAATATAATGATCCTATCAGGATGATAGAATTTAGAAGTGATGGTTGTGTAAAACTTTCAAAAAAAAGATTCCCAACTTCACTGCCTCCAAATAAATAGAAATTGGAGATGGCAGACAAGGCCAACAACGGTGAACACAGGAATGCAATAAATCTAGTCTCCATAGCCTCAGTTCTTAAAATATTTACCCTAAATTTTGTATACATATCATGTTTTGAAAAAACTTTTCCCATATGTTCCAATGTAATGCCTGAGTAATTTAATATAGACCATATAAGTATGTGCAAAACAGTTCCATGCCATACAAAAATAAATAAAAAAGTTGCAAGTGATGCCAATAATTTATATGTGATCTTCTGTAATTTGTAATATTGACTTAAAATGGAATAACCAGGTTTATAAATGTACCTGTAAAAAAATTGATGATAATATTTTTTATTACTTAATAAACAAAATAGTTAAAGAGACACAGGAAGGAGGAAAATAAAGTATCTCAAGTATCAAATCTTTCACTATTTACTCCAAATTGAGCTTAGAATGAAATATGTTAATAATAAACAGGTCAGATAATTTAAAAACTAAAGAACAATTTAAAAATAATTACTTCACCAAAAACCTGTAGAGTCCGACATCAAAATGCCTCCACATCTGTGAGTATACATGAATTCTAGCAATACATCTTGGTGTTGGTGGTGCTTCTATGTTATCAAGTCTAGTGAAAGCTGCCGCTGTTCCATAAGAAATTACATATTTCATATGAAACTCTAAACCCATCCATAGTCCTCCACCACATAAAGCAATAGTAGGTAATTTTCTTATCAGCTGAAAAGGATCACAATTAAATTGAAAAAAATAATTTTATGTTTTAACCCAAATACACTATACATACCTCCATGTTATTTTGCATTGCAAAAAAATAAATATAATGGAAAACAAAATCCAAGATAAAAATATATAGCTGAAAAAATGTCATATCTATTGCAAATTTTTTCAATCTTGTAATTAAATTTTCTCTCTTGGTTTTAAAGCTTTTTTCAAATTCTTCATAAAGAACAACTGGACCAGTATAAAGAAGTGGTAAATATAATGTGTAGCTTAACATGCTGACAATATCATGTGATTTCAATACATTTCTTCCTCTTTCATCAAGAAAGTCTAGAGAAAAACTTATGCAACGAAGCTCAATCCATGCCACACAAAATAATAATAAATAAACTTCCTCATCTTGCATATCTTTGTGATCCAAAAAATTCCAGAAGTAGTATTTATATTTTAATGAGTTGTAACTTACGAGCAATAGCATAGTTGTGATCCAAATACTTAATTTTCGTCCACCACATAATAAAATTAAAATATATATCACAGGTTGAGCAAGAATGATTAGCATTTGTTTATATCCCATAAAAACAATGACAAATATAGTACTAGACAGTATATACCAACATTTTAATAAAAAGGAACTATATATCTCACATACAGTCTCTGACACAATGAAATGAAATATCATAAAATACCAGGATATTTGGAAAAAATACTTCCAGCTACTCCATTCAATATCAGAGACATCTTGCAATCTACCAATGAATTTCCAGCCTCTCTGCAAATCATTCAAGGAAAATAATAGTTCCTCCTCTGATTCTAAGACATCTGTACAGGAAAAATTCCATTAAAAAGTTGTAAAAAAGGAAGTTGCATAGTAAAATCATTTTCACTTTAGTATTAATTGACATGCTTACCCCTTTGCGCTTGTACTAACTTATATATGGAGTACACATTCGCGAATATCCATAAAGAAAAATATATATACAATTCGGTTGCTGAAAGCTTTAATTTCATGATAAATATTGTTTATTACACGACATTCTCTCACGTAGTTAAACTTTAAAGTGATACTGATTGCTAATTAAAATTTATTTCAATTTTGCCGGTTAAATTATATTATGCATAATCGCGACAATTTAGGCTTATTTTGACTTTGACACTTGACAGCTGTTGTTAAGGTTAGGGATGTAAGTATTCAAATCGAAATAGGTGCTCGATTTATAATAATGATTACTGAAAAAATATTACATATTTCTAACTTCTAGGCAATAGGCATCAGTAAGGTACTAATCAAACTAATAAATCAATTTTCGTAACACTTTTCGGTTGCAGCTGAGAGATATTTAAAAAAAATAAGTCTCACGCCTTATTACGCAATAATGAAGCTAAGAAATAAAATATGATACTTTCTTAGATTTACGCGAATATTTGACATTTTAAATAAAACTATCTTTTCGGATTTTGTCGCGGATTTATTTGGATTTTTGTTTCCCGACGTTTCGAATGCTTTACAGCATCCATGGTCACGGGAGAGACTGAGGTGTTACATGTCTTGAATGTATAGTTGTTACAGACAGCCTACCCACAATTAACAAAATGAAAATTGCACCAATTACATTACAATATTTTTTAACTTTAAACATTTTTATAATTTTAATTATAATTGAATATGGAAAATTATTTATTTAATTTTGCTATTATTTTTTTATAATTATTACAATTTTAAAATATTAATTAGTAATCTATATTTAGTGTTGCCATTATTATATTTATAACCATAAAGAAAAATATAAAATGTAGTATTAATTATTAAAGCCATATAATTGTTCTATGTGTAATTTAAAAAGTTAAAATTAATTAAGGATAATAATTTTAATTTAGTTTGCTATTATTTAAAAAACAACTTACTAAGCAACACTATTAATATATACTTTTACAAATGAAAAATGAAAAATATTAGTCTGATAAGCTGTCATTTTGATCTACACAGTATGAACTTACTACATCTGCCTGTCTGTTATGTTTATATTTATTATTTGATTTTATTATATTAATAACAGGATCCCATGACGATGGTAGTACCCAGCCATCTTCCCTATTGAAATTAGGATGTTTTTTAATTTCTATGGCTTCTCGAATCATTCTAGGGCGATATCGGTTTTCTTTCGCCAGGATTTGAGGTCTATCGAAGCGAATATAATGGCTTGGGCGGTCCTGACTATGTTTGCAGACAGCAGATGTTGTATTGCGACGGTGCTTCACATCAGCTATGTGTTCTTTGACCCGGGTTCTAATGGATCTCTTTGTTTGTCCGATGTAAGAGAGCCCACAATCACAATCAAGCTTGTAAACTCCTGCATCTTGTAGAGGGATGTGGCACTTGACAGGTGGTAGAAACTGACTAATTTTCTTTGGCGGCTTGAAGTAAGTTTTAATTGAAGCTCGCTTTAGAATGTAGCCAATCTTGTCAGTGACGCCTCTCATGTAAGGTAGGACTGCAGGGACGCGCTCGACTGTGGCTGGTTTCACTCGGTCCCTGTGACGTAGGCGCGGCACTTGCAGCTTGTTGTCTCGCAGAACTTGCTTGACATGTTGCAGCTCAGTTCTTAGAACATCTTAACTCCATAAACCCTAAAATACAATTTACAATGGAATTGGAGTCTAATAATTCTTTAGCTTTCTTAGATGTATTAGTTATACGTAACCCAGATAACACCTTAAGTCATACTGTGTATCGAAAGAAGACCCATACTGATAGGTACTTGAATGGTGAATCTCACCACCACCCTTCACAGTTAGCTACCGTGGGAAAATCTTTGTTTCAGAGGGCACGCGGGATCTGTGACGAGCAACACCTGGCCGGAGAGCTGCAACATGTCAAGCAAGTTCTGCGAGACAACAAGCTGCAAGTGCCGCGCCTACGTCACAGGGACCGAGTGAAACCAGCCACAGTCGAGCGCGTCCCTGCAGTCCTACCTTACATGAGAGGCGTCACTGACAAGATTGGCTACATTCTAAAGCGAGCTTCAATTAAAACTTACTTCAAGCCGCCAAAGAAAATTAGTCAGTTTCTACCACCTGTCAAGTGCCACATCCCTCTACAAGATGCAGGAGTTTACAAGCTTGATTGTGATTGTGGGCTCTCTTACATCGGACAAACAAAGAGATCCATTAGAACCCGGGTCAAAGAACACATAGCTGATGTGAAGCACCGTCGCAATACAACATCTGCTGTCTGCAAACATAGTCAGGACCGCCCAAGCCATTATATTCGCTTCGATAGACCTCAAATCCTGGCGAAAGAAAACCGATATCGCCCTAGAATGATTCGAGAAGCCATAGAAATTAAAAAACATCCTAATTTCAATAGGGAAGATGGCTGGGTACTACCATCGTCATGGGATCCTGTTATTAATATAATAAAATCAAATAATAAATATAAACATAACAGACAGGCAGATGTAGTAAGTTCATACTGTGTAGATCAAAATGACAGCTTATCAGACTAATATTTTTCATTTTTCATTTGTAAAAGTATATATTAATAGTGTTGCTTAGTAAGTTGTTTTTAAATAATAGCAAACTAAATTAAAATTATTATCCTTAATTAATTTTAACTTTTTAAATTACACATAGAACAATTATATGGCTTTAATAATTAATACTACATTTTATATTTTTCTTTATGGTTATAAATATAATAATGGCAACACTAAATATAGATTACTAATTAATATTTTAAAATTGTAATAATTATAAAAAAAATAATAGCAAAATTAAATAAATAATTTTCCATATTCAATTATAATTAAAATTATAAAAATGTTTAAAGTTAAAAAATAAAATATGATTTTTCTTTCTTAGCTGTCGATGTGTTCTCAACAGGAATTATATTTTTTTTAATTTTGTAAAAAAATATGGCCATATGAAGTTCTATAAAATATGTATTTTAACTAAAAAGTTTATTTTAAATAAAACTATCTTTTCGGATTTTGTCGCGGATTTATTTGTATTTTTGTTTCCCGACGTTTCGAATGCTTTACAGCATCCATGGTCACGGGAGAGACTCTCCGTCTTAATACAAATAAATCCGCGACAAAATCCGAAAGGATAGTTTTATTTAAAATGTCAAATATTCGCGTAAATCTAAGAAAGTATTATAAAAAGTTTATGACAAAAATAAATATTTTATGACTTATTAATAAAATTAAAAGTGAAAATATTTCATACAGCAAAGAATTGATTAATCTGTTTTTTTTTTAATACTTTAAACGTTGAATCTAAAGTTTATAAAATATAGCATGAGTCCTGTGATAGTTGTCATCGAAGTCACGCCTATCAAGTACTGTATTTTGCGACAATGAATGTACGAAGACAAATGTTATACTTCATTGCTGTTGTGCTCTGAATAGTAACGTTCTCTGATCATCGTAAAACAACACAAGTTATCGATCCTTAAAAATAAATTGCTAAATCGTTTCATTATAACGCAGACCGCGAGCACTGTGTAATTCAGTTAACGAAATAAAAACAAAGAACCACTGCAAACTCATTAATGAAATCTTAAATGGCACTTTCATTATGAAATTCTCAATTTAAAATTTGACTTTCACTTTCATTATGAAATTCTCAATTTGATGAATAGTAAAAAAACGACTATTTGGGCTGTGTTATTACAAGAATAAACATGTGAAAAAGCTATTACGCTTACGATTGAGCCACATATACCAGACATACAATAGACATGATATTCTGACAGCTGTCACAGGACTCGTGCTTTATTTTACAATCTAATTTAATGACGAATGTTCGTTTTTTGATTTTCGAAAAACTATTAAGGAATAATGTTCAATACTCATCTAAGAAACCAAAGTGCATTTATAAAAATTTAAAAAATATTTGACCGGTCAAAGAATTGAATTGAAAATTATCCAAAACGTAAATTGTGATTAACTGACACAAATAGTTTTGCGTAGTGCAACTTGCCTTTCAGGGAATTTACTAGTCGTCGATACTATTACCTCCAATGTTTTTTTATACAAGAATTATAAATTGTGATCATATACAAGTGCCTGAACTAAAGTTATAATAATATACTTACCATACCATAATAAAATTAGTTCAAATACACTTTTTTATTTTTCGTCCTAGATATAAATCAGTATTCGATAATGATTTGTTGATCACAGATCATTCAACGTTCTTTAATGCCTACATCTGACATCATAACACTTCAAGTTCATTCGCATTTCGCATTCACAGATTAAGGAGACTACGTTGAACATTCGCAATTCGCATTTCGCGTTCGTCTTGAGGTTAGGCAACTCTTATTATCAATTAACAGTTATATTGTCCCAGACTACAAAAACAAATGATGAGTGAAACTACTTAGTTTAGTTGTGTTTTTAGTTAGTCAGTGAATTATTTAGAAAGTTTTTATTACGTACCTACATAGACTTTGTAGAGATGAATATGGAAAGTCCTATTCATTTTATATTTTTTGTTATTCTTTTCGCTTCTCATGTTAATATATGTAAGTATTACAATATTTTTACTTTAAATTTAATATATTTGTACGAATAATTAGATAACAGATGTTAAAAGTCAAGTAGTGAGTAATTATATGAGCTTCGTATCGTACATAATATGTAAATCTTATAAATAGAAGTTTTATTAGACATTTAAAAAACTTTATTCTTTAAGCATTTATCTCGTGATTCGCATAGTTCAAATTGATTAATTTTAACTTATTAATTTATTGAAGTATGAAGGCCTCATGTATTCTCGGCTAAGTTTAAATACTTGAAATAATACCTAATATCTAGTAATATTATAAAAAAATATATGAAAATACTCCCGAATTTAATATATCTATTTATTTGTTTATTGTATATACCAGCATAATATTAAACTATTTTATTGATTAAATGCAGTCAAAATAAGGATATATCTAATAAACAAAAAAACACAAGTGTGTTAAGAACCAAATGACTCATTGGTAGATTATTTTGTATGTCACGGTAAAGTTTTGTTACGATTTTGTGTCAATGCGGAAAAATCGTTCTTTAAGTTATGTAGGTAGGTAGTGCTTGTTTAAGTAAACAATTATGTAATACTAGCATTGCCCGCGGCTCCGCCCGCGTTCAGATGACCAAAAACTAAATTCTTAGGTGTTACATATTAGTATACTCTTACATTGCAGTTTTTGTATTTTTCCTCAGAAATAAGATATTTTCCCGCGGTAAAAAGTATCCTAGGATCGCGCGCTACATCGCCCGGTTTATATAGCTTGAGCAGGCGGTCGAGCGATGCGGGGCAGAGGGGATGGACTCGCCGTAGGCATCTCAATGCTCGCCAAGCATTAAAAATGTTTCGCTACTAATTACTTCTAACAACGATATCTCAAAAACTATTCATCTGATTGATTTAGTGTAAAGAGCAATTTTAATCTGCATTAAATGACTAAGCTAACTAAAATATTCATTTGGATAAGGATTAATACCGAACTAAAGAAAATAACTTTGAAAATAACGTAATGTTTTTAATTAAAAATGTTAACATAAAAGTGGTTATTGTAAGTCAACCGTAAGAGATAGAGATATGCTATCGCGGACTTTTTTGTAGCATTTTTATAGATTTTGAATTCTCTAGTACATTACTTAACTGTATCTTTGCTAGTTTACGCGGCGTTCGCGTGGAAAGTTCCCATTTGGCGAGATTTTTTGCGACCTCTTCAACATTTGTCGCCGTATTTCAGCTAATTTACATAAAAGCATAATAAATTATATACCTAAACCTTCCTCAAGAATTACTCTTTCTATTGTTGAAAACCGTATAAAAATCCGTTCAGTAGTTTTCGAGTTTATCGCGTACAGACAGACAGGAGGACAGAAAGACGCGGCCGGGGGACTTATTTTTATAATAAGTATAGATGACCTACATTTCTATTATTTCAAATATTACTAATTTTTGTCTGTTGCAGGTTTCAATAAAGACCAGAGGTATAATCCGAATAGCGATTTTTTGTTACACGAAGCGGGAGCTGTCGCACAAAATAATAAATATGACTACAATGCTAACTTTCCGAGTTTGCCATCATCGAAACCTTCCACGTTATCCACAGCAGTACCCAGCGTTAACTCTGTCCCCACTAATAAACCACAAGCATCTGGAAAACGAGATTATGTTGCACCCCAGCGACCGTCTATTAATCCAACCCCAATAACTCCACCTACGCCTAAATTAAATCCCATACCCAATTCTGGGAGCACATCACATTCACCCAAGAGAGATTATGTAGCTCCACAGTTCCCGACTTTAAAGCCTGATGGAACATTCCAACACCAATCTGGCTCTATTACAAACTCTCTAAATAATAAAAATGAATACAATGCAAATTTTCCAAGTTTACCATCATCGAAACCTATGTCGACATTAGTGCCTAACGGTAATTCTATGGCTACTACAAAGCCACAAGCATCTGGTAAAAGAGACTATGTTGCGCCTCAACGACAATCGGTTAATCCAACTCCAATGGCTCCGCCTTCGTCTAAATTAAATCAAGTAACTAATTCAGGTGGACCCAAAAGGGACTATGTAGCTCCTCAGTTCCCTACTTTAAGACCTGTTGGAACATCGCAGCATCAATCTAGCTCTATCACAACACCCATGACACCTAGCTCGCCAAAGAGAGATTATGTAGCGTCAAAAAACGATAAAACACAAAATGTACCAGGAAAAGTAAAAGACCTGATTCATTTTTATGATAGTAAATCTCAGGGTGGTATAGTCCCTTCAAGGCCACCAAGTTATAGTTCAATGTTACATGGCTCTACTAGTTCCGCCTCTAATGGCCCCAATGTGTTACCATCTACTATAATGACTCCAGCTCCTCCCAGAAAACCTGTTGTGACAAATAATAATAATTTATCTGCAAATCGTCAAGGGAGTACAGTCCTCCCTAGTTCTATTGTTAATACTCAAGGTCAAGGTATTAATTCTAACAGCCCCACAGATGAAGAATTGCAAACTATCAGTGAGGAATTGCTCCGTAAAGATGTAAACAATGCAGCTAAATATATTACAGTTAATTATCAAGAAAAAACTACATCCATGTCTAAGGACGACAAAGCTCCTTTACCGTAAGTATTTATAATATTAAGCTTTAAGTGCCTTCTTGTTTTCTCCATTAGACATGACATTGGCGAAGTAATCCATGCTCCATAAGCACGTTTTGAAGACGGTAACAAGTTAATTTAATTAAAGCTTAAAGTGTAGCTTGAGATAGTTTTAAGTACTACATATTTAAACTACTAGTAATTTAAAAATATGACTTTTTATTCTTATTTACTTAAATTATATATAGCAAAATCGCAAAACAACATCACGAAAATGACAGCACAAATATATGTATATACAAAAGCAGAGTTACGTTACAAACGTTAATTTTTGAGTACATTTTTTATTTTTATTTTAAAAAACAAAATTCCAATGAACAAATGGAAAAATAAGAAAAATGGTCTATCTATCATAAATTGGGTTAAATATTATTAACTGGAAAGAAGAATCCGCTTGATTTTTAAATTTCCCCGTTCCCTTTATTGATTCCTCTTGCAGAGACCATAATTTATTCACAAGAAAAATGGTATACATTTATTAGTCTTTCACGATGAATCTTATCATCAGATATAAGTCCCAAATTTTGACTTTGAAATAAAAAAAAGAATAGCACTTTTCTGCCCGGAAATCTCTTAGTAATTGGTGGAAATAGATATATACAAGAAACAGTTAAATTTAGTAGTAGTTTGTTTGAACGCGTTAATCTCAAAAAAGTACTAATCCGACTTGATAAATTCTTTTTGCATTGCCCGTTTATTGAGCAAAGCTTTAGGCTATATATTATACTAGCATTCCCCGCCCGCGTTCAGATGACCAAAAACCAAATACTTGGTTTTACATATTAATATACTCTTACATTGTAGTTTGACCCGGATAACCAGCTATCACCATACCAAATTTCATCAAAATTCCTCCAGTGGTTGTTCTGTGATGCGCTAATAGACAGACATACAAAAATTCTAAAAACTATAGATTCGGCCTCTGTATCGATAATAATGTTTATTTTAATAAGACTTTCCAAAAAATATTTAATGTACAGATTCGGCTCAGTTACAATTTTATTATATGTATAGGTAATATATAGTCTATCTATTCCATACTAACTAGCCGTTAAAACGTACTTAGAAACGAACCCGAACGAAGTCGCTAGTAATTAAACAACATGTAAACAAGTCAGTCAATCTTAAAGATAAGTTTTTAGTCTATAAATATTTTGTCTCTACAGATTACTCACTATTGCACCTGAAGTATGGAATATTCCAACAGTTCAAAAATTTGTGCCATTATTAGATAATTATGAGCGAGATACATTGGTTAATGAGCATGTTACGTCACAGGTAAAGTAAACTTAAGTATGACATAGGCCAGAGAAGGTGATTTTTGATTATTTATTGAAAATGCAAGCTAATTCAATCTATGAATCAAGAGTCTAATCCTGATTATGTTTGTTAATTACAGGAAAGAAATGAAGAAAACGCTTTTATGGACGCGATTATGACTACAAGTGTAATACGTCATTTAATGAATTTCCTAAAAGATAAAGGTGTGCTGATGTTTTAACTTTTGAAGTTTGTTAGGTAATGTCTTTTGGGATTAACTAAACTGTATTATTTTTTTTCGTTTTTGTAGGCTATGTTACACCAGATCCAAAACAACAACGAGATTTTCTGAAACAAATTTGGTTTGGGTTGTACTCTAGAGGTAAAGGCAAAATTAGCAGTTCAGGATTTGAACATATATTTGTGTCTGAACTTAAAAATGGAGAAGTGTCAGGTATTGTTATAGTGGTTCTGTGTATTGATCATCTTTTCATCTTTTTATAGGTATATACTGACACCCACTATTATTTCTTTATGAATTTTTGGAATTTGACCCATCAAGCCATTTTGAGGCCCTTTTGCGAATTTAATATTTTCTCCTTCGTAGCTGTGAAAAATGTTTAACATAATAATCTTAACTTTTTCATCAAGACAGACGCACACGTCTGTCTCCGACTGCATATACTATGTTCCTTTTTCAACTTTTTCTCTTCTTTTTAGTTCGCTTTGTACGCAGTCGGTTTTTATTAAATTTTTGTAAATATTTATACTATTAACCAATATCGTCTCATATTTACTTTATTTAAGGTCTGCATAACTGGGTTTACTTTTCCAAAGAAGAGCAAGCCAATCGAGCAAATTATTTAGGCTATATGAAATCCGTTGAATTTAGTGAGGTAAGTATTTTAAATAATCGATTTACCGCACACATTAATGTGATTTCTCACCTATAGTGTCAGAACTAATGCAAAAAGTATTTTTGTATTATTTTAGAAAGGAGCAGTGATTAAGATGCATTTCAATCAACAAGGTGTTGATAAACCAGTTAGTACTATGTTTATTGGTACCTCGCCTGAATTGGAAATGGCTATATACACTTTATGTTACGTTACTCGTGTTGAAAATGACTGTAACATAAAACTTGGGACCAAGGATGTTAACATCTTGACTCACAACTATAGATACCGTAGCAAAAACTACATTGGCAGTGCCTATCCTCAAATATAGAAAGCAGAAAAAAAATGTGATCCAATTAGGAAAATACAAAATCGAAATATTACTCTTAAGTTTTAACTTTATACAAACTTTATTAACATTTAAATATATTTTCATAATTCTTTTGCTGTTCATGCAGTTTTATTGATTTTTTCCGAACGCGTGTTTTAATTATGAAATGTAGAACGAAATAATACATAATATATTCTTTCGGTCTACATTTCATACAAACACTTCTTGAATCACCCAGCCTTTCAGTCATAGTCGATCTCCTAACAATTATAATTTTTTTCTTTACAAATACTTTACTTTGATTTGAAATTTCAATATCGACGTAATAAAACAGTGTTAGTAAGCCTTTTTGTTTGTTTAACGCGCTAACTTTAAAACTATAGCACCGATTTCATTAAAATATTTTCCATTTTGTAACCTATTAATTGAAGAAGCTTAATAAGATATCCAACATCATACTACGATTCTATAGGACGGACCAATTATGCGTAAATAAACCATGCGATCAAACATCAATAAATATTAAATATACAATCGAGCCTAAGCTAGTCCAGAATATTTGTATAAGCTATTTCTTGTCTCCATTTTAAATTTTAGTCGGATTCGTCAAGCAATTACAGTGCGTGTGTTGAAAGTAACAAACACACTCACAAATTAATAAACTTTCATATTTTCAAATATTTCTTTTCTTTATCTGTTTTAGAAAACATCGTTAAAAATATTGTAAAATTTTGCTACATCACTACATACATATTATAAAAAAAAGTCTCTGTCTGAACGCCATATACTCAAAAACTACCGAACGGATTTTCATACGGTTTACATCATAAATGGAGTGGTTCATTTGGAAGGTTTAAGTGTATAACACATTAAGGTTTTGTGTAAATTGGAACTGAACTGAACTATGACGATAAACGTTGAAGATGTCGGAAAAAATTTTGCTGACTTAGAGATTTATTGGCGTGCGCCACATAAACTAATAAAGTTATATGAAAACACTCTATTACAGAATTATTCCTCTTAATAAAAACAAAAAAAAAACGACTTCCAGGCACTAAAAAGTTAAAAATAACTAGGTATATTATGCTTTGATTTGTATCGGCTGGTACGGACTTCGAAAATATCTGATTAGGTATTTATTTTAAATGAAAACCCCTGTTCAGTTGTTTTTTTTTACTTCTTAGTGCCTGGAAGTCGGTTTTTTTAAGATTTTATTTTTCCATCTTTAGTGTAGACGTAATAGGTAGGTAATTTGTAAGAAGAAAGGTTTTAATTATCATATTCGATTAAAAAATTTATTTAAAAAAATAATTTATTGTTGATTTTTTTAAAACCGCTCGACCGATTTCGATAAAATTTAAATGGGACCACCTGGGAAGTATACCTACCCTTTAAAACAAAAAAAGAGTTTTGCAAATCGATTCAGGCGTCTTCGAGTAATCGGTGAACATACATAAAAAAAAGATTCCGACGAATTGAGAACCTCCTCCTTTTTGGAAGTCGGTTGAAAAGATCCACCTATTAACCTGTAGCAACGCTATGTGCACGTACCTAGGGATTAGCGACGCAGCCGAGCGAAGCGAGGGTAAGTACCTAAGTCACTAGTTGATAATAAATATGAAATATGCTTGAGAAAATTATGGCATCTATCCTGCATCTATGACAGATAAATAAAATTGAAGTGTCTGTTTGTAATATGAAAATAACAGCTTTTTATTAAATGCATAATATGAAATTATATACCTACGGTACTTATAAGAAAAACACAGATTTTAATATTTTTTATCGGTCTGTTTGTTCCGACTAATCTCCGAAACGGCTAGACAGATTTTAACGGGACTTTCACTAGCAGATAGATAGCTGATGTTATAAGGAGTAACTTAGGCTACTGTTATTTTAGAAAAAAAATTGGGTTCCGCTAAGAAAAAAAACCTACCTAGGGGCGCTCCCAAGCGAAGCGAGAGTAAGTAGCTTGTTCAATACAAAAGAAATTACTAGATAAAATTAGAAATAAGTTTTAATCTTGAAGTTTTTCAAAAAAACAATACTTCCTTCTATTTCTAAAACGCTCGAAAAACTAATGCTTACCAAGAAAATATAATTTATTGGGATAAAAAGTACTGTGTATTAAATTACTACGGACCTTATATTAAACCTCACGTCCGACATAAACGTTTTATTTCTTAGAACTCTACCCAATTTTTATACTTAAGTACCTATCTCTTAAAAAAGTATTAGCTAAGAAACGAATATTCTCTTGTGACAGTTAATAAATACAAATAATATGTAATATTTCAGTATGTAATTTTAATTTGTGTTTTATTATGATGAATTAATATAATATTTTATTTATCTTAATGTGGACGGAATACCTGGTTCGCTACATTACAGCTAGCATAGATTAACGAGACTATTCGCTTTAGTTAACTCTAATAAAGTAGTAAGAGATAATATTTATATTTAATGATCTAAGAGAAAAAATAAATAGAAAAATATCTAATCTTACCGACCACAGGTTTACTGTTTTTTTTTGTTTTTCTTTTTCACTAAAGAAATGAATGATATTGGTACTTGGTAGCGTTGACTGCATAAATATGTTTTAATGTAGAAGTTAGAAGCATAGAATCATAGATGAGTTAATGGTTAAAAGTTGAACCAAAAAGTAATATTTAGTTATGTTGAGCTAGAGAAAGGTTTTCGAATTAAAAATTTAAATAGACATTAATCATTATACAAAAGACAATGTTGCTAGTAGAAAGAATCATTGCTTGGTTCTTAATACAAAATATTATCCTATTTAATAGTAAAATAAATCTGTATATAAAGGTTAATTAATGACTATATACAGAGTGACAAAGTATAGTAACAAAAACACATATGTATTGCTATCCTAAGACGGAAACATATACAAAATAACAAAAATATAAAATAATGGTTTTCAATTTCACATCAAATATTTTATCTTACAACACTAACAAAATCAGACAGACCACAGAGACAGACAGACGGTGACATTTAGTAATACGAAATGCACGTGTGTTAGCCAAAATGTTTCATATAGAGAGTCGTCAAATTATGCAACGATTATCCTTTGTTTTCATTTAATCTGATATACCCCTAAGTGTTTATATAAAATGTTATTATATAAGTATATTTTTTAGTATATAGAATTTAAATTGAATATTAAGTGGAAATTACGAAAATGAGTTTGTGTTGTACATTATTCCGCAGTATTTTGAAATCAAATCGCAATTTATCAATTAAAAATGTTAACAATAATTGTCAAGTGTTGGTCAATAACTTTTCTACACGTGAACTCTTAAAAGAAGCTTATTGTCGCACAAAATTAAAATGTAGATGTAAGTATATTTTCACAATGTGTATATTTTTAATTACAAAATTTACTGTTAAAATATAACGCTATTAATAATATTTTAATTATATTTTTAGCAAAAAAATTACCTCAAGATGTGAATCCACAAGGAGTATTTGCTTGTAACGAGTTAGATCTTTCTGAAGTTAAAGTATATGGGTTTGACTATGACTATACACTTGCACACTATAAGCCTACTTTAGAGCATTTATTATACAATCTTGGAAGGAATATGCTATTGGATAAATATAAGGTATTTATTTTCTATACATTTTCTTCCTTACTTTTTAAAATCATTTTTTAATAATTCTTAAAGTTATGTAAGTTTAAACAAATACAAATATAGATTACAACTTTATTGCGTCTAATCTAAATGAATTCCAAAAATAAATTATGACAATTATCTAGCTTATTAGCGTGCCAAAAAAGTTCCTACATAGACTTAGTTATATATTTTTTTAATGCAACTTTTACATCTTTTCAGATTGTTTTGTGGTTTTATTTTGTATTTTGGTTTCCAACATTTCTAATAGTACTTTTGAGACATATAAAACCTTAGTCTTTCCCTTGACTATGTTTGCTCTAGTTAAAGACATGAGAACCAAAACATAATATAAAACTACCACAAAATCCAGAAAGAGAGTTTTAATTAAAATGTTAAATATTCCTGTAAATCTTAAGAAAGTTTTTTAATATTTATTAGCAAAACTAATAAAATAATGTTGAATGCTATACCTCCATGTACTAATATTAACTTTATATTTTTAATTGTAGTATCCACAAGAAATTTCAAAACTAGAGTATAAACCAGACTTCGCAGTCAGAGGTTTACATTATGATATTGAGAAAGGGTTACTCTTAAAGTTGGATTCATTTCTTCAAATTCAATTTGGTGCAGTTTATAGAGGATTAACTCCTGTTTCCACAGAGGAGGTTCTTCAAATATATAAGAATAGAATTATACCAATTGCTTATGTTGAAGGAGATACTAGAGTTCACAAAGTGAGTATATTTAGTAATTAAGTTGTACAGTTGATGTTTTAAATGCCGTTTTAACTTTTATATGTAAAATATGATAATAGAATTGGGTATACTATAAGACTGCAATTTAAGAAATTAATCTATTTACATAAATATTAATTTGAATTATTATGTTAATCTATATATAATAAAATTTTAACTGAGTTGAATTAGTACATTAAATATTTTGGAAAATCTTATATAAATAGTCATTATTATCGATACAAAGGCCAAATCTATAGTTTTTAGAAGTTTTTCCTTTCTGTCTGTCTGTGATCGCATCATAAGAAAACCACTGGACAGATTTAGATGAAATTTGGTATGATGATACCTGGTTATCTGGGACAAAATATAGGATTCTTTTTACTGCGGGAAAATATCTCATTGCTGAGAAGTCTATACTAAAATGTAACTAGGGATGAACCCGAGTGGAGTGAGGGTGAGTCACTAGTTTATTTATAATTTACAAAATATAATAAACAAACAGGAATAACTTATACAATTATGGCATATTGAGAGCACTTGTAAGCAATCATTCATTTGTGCATTCCCCTTGCAATGTCGTTTAATACATACAAGGTCTGAGTGACATGAGACTAAACTATATTAATGCATTGCATGTGCCTTTAACTGCCATACACTATAAATAATAACAAGTGAAACATAAAATGAAATTACAACCATCTGTTTTACATGCATAGAAATGTCTTAATATTTACAATGATTTTAAATAATTGCTTTGACCTATCTATAAGTATCAGTTCTATATGTCCCATTTTTTTCTAAAATAGTAAAAAAATATAAAATAAAATTTTAACAATAGCTAAACTTATATTTAAATTTCGATAGGCCATAATTAATTTGATGTTAATAAAAATTAAGATGGTTGATTGTTCTTTCTATTTATTTTAATGATCTCGTAACTTTCTATTTAATGAAGTAAAAATAATATAAGCCTTTTGTACAAGCAATGCTAGTAGTAGGAGATCCCGATCTATGCGGTGGACCCCTCACTGTTTTCCCAGACAATTTTTTTTAATCCATAAAACAATAACAAACTACCTGTTAGAAAAGCCAGTACTAGCCACTTAAACCCAACAAAACATCACCCATCTTGATGAGGCGTCGCAGGATCGTTTACGTACTCAAGCACGACGCCCAGACGGGAGGTCTGCTGAAGCAGACCTCAACAACCATGGGATTGCTCTAACGGTCCACTCTGCTGTCAGAGAAGTACCAGGAGCAACTCGCATGGTACACCGTCCACCGAAGTAGTTCCAGTGCGTTTCTTGACTTCGCGTCCGGCTGAACTGCCCTTTAACGCTAATGAGACCCCCATCGCGACAAGGTGAACGCACGTTAGGGGAGAGAAGGGTGGTCCTGGGTCGTGTTTGTTAATATGTTTTATATACTCGTAGTTTAAAAAATATATTTCGCTTGGAAAAAGAATGAGAATCCATCACATAGATCGGGATTTTAGATTATAGCTACAATTCCTAAACATTCTTTAAACCATACGAGAACAAGTAAAAATCGATTTTAGTAAAAACTTCCTTGCTTTCCCATACAAACTTTCATCTCCATTCTCACTCCCCTTAAGTGATGTTTTCCGAGATAAAACCTATTTCACTCACTCACTTCTCACATCATGAGATTTAAAAAAAAACTTATTTTAGAAAAAAAAACTTTTAATTTTCTTCTATATAAAACTTCCTGACAATAACAAACACAAAAAAAAGGAATCATTCAATTTGGTGCAGTCAGTTTGGTTATTCATTTTTTTTTTAATTTATATTGTGTTTATCTTTGTTTCAGGCAAATCGATCAAAAATGGTGCACCTAGCAGATTTGTTTTCAGTACCAGAAATGGGTTTATTATGTAATGTCGCGGAATATTTTATTAAAAATCATATAGATTATCATCCTGAAATTTTGTTCTTGGATGTAAAGGTATCGATTATTATAATACATATTATACCTTCATAAATCTCGTAATATTCCATGACCACATATTGTCCTACATACTATTGTGTGCAGGTGTTAAGTTACAACATTGAATATAGAAATTCTATTCTTATTTGTATAATATATATTTTTAATTTAATAGTACATTACAATATGTGTATTTTAAATAGTCCATTATTGCACGGCGTGCATTAATAAACTAATACTTTAAGTCACTAGTATCGTAAACTATTTTATAGCTCGTGTGACATCTTTATTTTATCTTCCAAAAATCTAGAATGAAATTTTGGAAGATAGCCAATGTTTTTATACATGACACATCGTATTTCAAAATAAACCTATTACTATCTTAGTTTTCGTTCATCATGAACTATCTTAATTGAAAATATCTATATAAAATTATCTGTTATTAACTGCTTTTCTTAACTAAGATTAGAATAAAAAAGAAATTTGGAACTAAGCTTTATTTATATTTTATTTAAGCCTTTTGATATTTAAAATAAATTGCACTTAGTGACAAAAAAAGAGTAATAAACTAAAAAACCTAAGAAAGAAAACAAAAACGCTTTTACCAGCATGCACCAGCATCTATTCATGTTTGATTACTCTGACACAACATATTGATGATTTTTTTTTAATTTTCAGAATTCTGTACAAAGCTGCCATCCAATAATGCACAGGATTGTGGCAAAAAATGTGGAGGAATATATAAGACCTAACTCTGACTTAAAAAAATATTTCCAAATTCTACAAGAAAACGACAAGAAATTGTTTTTAGTCACAAATAGCCCATATCATTTTGTGTGAGTTTTCATTTTCTGTTATAATATCAATTCAAAGTGGATAAATTTATCCTTATTATCTTAATGGCTATTGCTTGCACATTTATTTCCATTACAGAAATTCTACAATTTTCGAGCAATATTTTTAATGTTTATAAGAACTAAAGTTGGTAGTTGCAGATGTCTAACTAATTTTAATCGCATTACGTTACCTTCGCTAAATATTTTCAAATAAATGTTTTCCGTATTTTAAAATCAGGCTTATTTTGTCTAATTGGTCGGCGCTTCTCAGAAATAAATAAATAAATATGTTGGGAAATTAACATAATATATGACTTTAAATACATATTTACATAATAAATTATTTCAAAAGTACTTGTAATAAGTCTAATTGAATAAAGTTTATTTCATTTCATTATATATATAAACACACATGACAGGAGTACAAACATTCGTGCTCATCACAAATGAATGCCACCAGCGGGATTCGAACGTGCGACCGCTGGCACATTAAGTAGCTGTAGCTGGCACTACAAACTGAGCCAAACGTGTCGTCGAATTCTCAGAAACCACTGTTAAAAATTTGCAGAAACGCGGGTATGGAGATGTTAGTTGGAACAGATTGGCGCGAGTATTTTGACGTGGTCATTGTGAATGCGAACAAACCAAAATTCTTCACGGAGCTGTCTCGTCCTATTCGAGTGTTTGATAAAAATGCAAATACGCATATTTGGGAGAAAGTTACATCCTTAGAAAAAGGAATCATTTACTATGAGGTAAGATTAAAAAAAACAAAGATTGTAGTTTATTAAAAAAATAGCATGTTCAATTGTTTAGCTTACATAAAATTTAAGAAATGATTTGTATTTTAGAATAAAAAAAGTTTAATTTACAATTTAATGATTAATTATATATTATATTTTTTATTTAATGGAAATTACACAAATTTAAAATTGATTGTTAGAGTTATCTTTTATGATAACATTCTGAAATTATAATATATTTTTTTTTAAGAGATATTTTGTTTGAGATTAGTTAGCTAAAACATGTAATCAATTTAAAACTTATGGAAATGGAAACTATATGGAACGAAAATAACAAAAAATATTGGAGTCAACTCATGAGGTGAAAAGTGAAATTTTTGTAAAGAAGTTTTGTCCCATTCAAGTGATTTGACCATCTCCCAGCATAATGGCAGTTAGAAACATGTTTACTTTCGTGTCTTTCATAATTATTTCAGTTTCTATTCACACATCTGTATGTATGTGTATTCAGCCCTTTTTATTAACGTCCCACTACTGGGCACGGGCCTCCCTTTAATACGAGGGGGATCAGGCCATAGTCCACCACGCTGGCCAAGTGCGGGTTTACGAAATTCACATGCCTTTCGAAAACTTGCTAGGTTCTCTAAGACATGCAGGTTTCCTCACGATGTTTTCCTTCACCGTTACGACAAGTGGAATTCATATTGGACATGATTCGCACATGAAAATATCACAAGTGCGAGATTCGGGATTTGAACCCGCTTCACTCGGTTTCCCAAGCGAGCGCTTTACCACTGGGCTACCATTGCCACCTGTATGTATGTAATTGTATGTATCAGTGGCGAAGGGTCCATACAAGACGTGTTACCTTAAAATGCATTTGCTATAATTTTACATACGTTTATTTTTTTAAATGTATATTTGTGTTCTTTTGGAAATAGATATATAATAATAGCTTTATTTCTTTTTGCCTTAATACGTATATAAAAATTGTATGTCAATGTTATGTTGTGTTTTTTTTGGAACGGCTTATCTCTGTTAAAATTTCACCCTTGTATCTATATCTATTATATATTGTATGTATATATATTTTCATGTATGTATGTATAATAGGGCACTGTGAAGCAGCTGCAGGACCTGACGGGGTGGAGCGGCCACCAGGTGCTGTACTTCGGCGACCACCCCTACAGCGACCTCGCCGACGTCACGCTGGAGCACGGCTGGCGCACCGGCGCCATCATCAACGAGCTCACAGTATGTTATTGTTTTTAAATATTTTGTATTAAGTTCTTGTATTCATTTTAATGTATTATATTTTTTAATCTGTCACCGATCATCGTTTCTTAGTTTTAAATTTATATCGAGTATCCTGTTTAAACAGAATCAGCAGTATTCTAGAATTGGGAACATTATTATCTTAAGAGCTTGTCTTTAGAGGATATCAAGTATGTCTGAGAGTTGAATATAGTTACATGTATATCAGGCCTTCCTCTGACTAATTTTGCGACGCATGCGCCCATCGTAGTATGGTAGTTGATAGAACGAAAAGCATCAATCTCATCATAGTAAATTTAATCTAACAGTATAGTACCCAAAACACTTTTTCCATTCGTATTTAAATATTTACCACATTTTTGTAAGAAAATAAATGTCCAATTCCTTCCAAAAATAATTATTATTAATTTAAAAAATGTATATCTTCCAGCATGAAATCAACACTCTGAACATGCAAACGTTTAAAGAGAATGCCAACTGGCTGCAAATGTTAACCCAGCTTATCGAGGACCACCAAGACTACAAGGAGCCAGAGGCTGTTGAGATCATCAGTGAGTGGATGGCTGAAAGAGACTTTCTCAGGTAAGAAGTTGTGTATAGTAGTAACACAGTCTACCAATCCATACAGTAGTCTAACGAAAGCGTCTAGACACTGCATTAGTGCCAGGCGTGTGAGGTGAGACGCGGGTAAGACACTCCCCACTGTCATATGTATTTTTATAATAACGTTCTTCCGACCGATTTCGACAACGGTGGCCAATGTCATTGAGAGGGCACCAAGCTTTTTATTTTAGTAGGATGACAGCGGGAAGGGGGAGGGTTGTGGGGGCTAGGGTGAGCCGAACGCGTGCGAATTTAGGTATTTTCTTCATATTATTAAAACAAATGTTTTCTTAAGAATGGTATCTTGATACTCTTGTGCCGATGTTGTGATATCTTTTTCACAAAAGTATGGCTCTGTCCCTCCTTTATAGCTAACACAAACAAAAAAATAAAAAACAAAATTTTTCTGTGACCTCCCTTTGCATACCGCTTTAGTAGTTGTTTTGATTTTACCACCCTATACTTTTTTAAATGATCAGTTAAGAAATGACCAGTAGGCTGCAAGTCCTAAGTCATTTTTTAAAATACGCGACATGATTCTAGGTGCTATCTTCATCTCCAGAGATAAAATCTTTTGCTTTCGTATTGGATTTTATCGAATTCTTTCCCTTACTGCTTTGATCGCCTTTTTCGTACGAACACTACGTGGACGGCCAGATCTTTTTCTGTCACAAACAGAGGAGGTTTCATTGTACCTATCAATAGCCCGGTACACAAACATTTGACTAATACGAAGCATATGGACAGTTTTAAAAATTGTATTTGGCTCCATACCTACATTGTGTAATGCAATCACAGCGATTCGGTTCTCTTTATCACTCCACTCCATTTTAATATCACAAAATAGTTTACAATGTATTGGCGCGGAAATAAGAAAACACAACGAACAATCATATAAAAATGACAGATTGCAAATTCAAATGTTTCATTTTTAATTGTAACTTTATTTATGGCCAGACTGTATAGTTGTATTACATTGCCTACTATATGTATTTTTATACTGTGGTAATAATATATGTATTTTGTATGTAGTTATTAAAATAGGATTAGAAGGTAAGTGCTAAGTAAAATTATTGATTATATATTTATAGGGTATTGTGTATTCAGGGGAATTGACTGTTGCCTAGTATTGCTACATCGTGTTAAATATTATTGGCTGATTTCAACTTAAATTTCAAACATATGCATATAAATAACATACATTCTTTTGGAATAAGATTTAATCGTGATATCGATGTAATAATTGCGTAACAAAATTATTGGTTTAGGCCTACTTATGTTTTATATATAAATATCTATTTTCTGCAGCTCTGCCAGCGAGGGATCCAGGTAGTTATATATTCAGTACATCCAACCATATCTAGACCTATAAATAAATGTCATATGTCTTCAAAAATATCTGCAATGTTTAGTTATAACTATTTAATAGGACCCTTCATAAAGCCAAATAGTCCCCGTGAGTTTAAGTACATTTGGATCAAGCATTAGCAATATTGTTCCACCCATATATATAAATTTTCAAACATCCTCAAAATTAAAAATGAGGTATCCCTTAATCCCTCCACGATCGCGGACACGCCGGCGTGTCAGTTAACAATAGATTTCTTAGAATTTTAATTAATTTCTTAGAAATTTACCTGGAGGTGTTAAAATAAAAAATATTGATTTCATCTTAATTGATCATAGTGAATTGTCATGATTTTACTTACTCATGTTGGACATATTAGTAGGGTATTATTATGCCAAATATGTTATATGAAAGAATTAGATTAAATATATTTTTTTTAATTTTAGATAGTTATATAGCTATTATATAATATACACATTTCATTTCAGGAACTCAACAAAATCTGTGTTTAATCGACAATTCGGTAGTGTTTTTCGGACTTATCACAACCCTACATACTTTTCGCGAAGATTGTTTCGATTCGCTGACATCTATACTTCTAATATAAGGAATTTACTCAATTATTCTTTAACTCATACGTTCTATCCTCGTCGTGGTGTCATGCCACACGAATATGGATCTTATTTCGTTTAAATTACGCATGAAAATTATTATAGTTCAATGAAATATCCTATACTGAGATTTAAAACACTGTTTCTACCATGTTAAATTGGTATAGTGACGATAAAACGTTTAGCAAAGCTAACTATATAACTTATTACATGTATAACAAGTAGTGTAGTAAAAGACGCGCTCGCTAACGAGTATCGATAGAAAATATAAACAACTCATGGTAGAGGCGCGATGTGATTTTTATATTTTGTTCTTTATTTTTTATTAGATATTTTATATTAAAAGTTCTATTGTTTTTATGAAATACTTTTTGTTGTATTTAGTAGATTGTAAGTAGTATCATTGTTATATTTTGTAGTTTTAAAAATCGTATACGAATTACTGAAGTTATTTAATCGATAATTATACCGAAACGACCGCTTTGATCATGTTTGTTAACTTATGTATAATTTTATTAATATTGATAAAAAAAATATTTTCCATTATTTATTGGGTTGATTAATGTTAGTATATAAAATATAAACTAGTCTTATGTGAAATTTACATATTAAAACGTTCTACATATTTACTTCAAAATATTAGGGAGTGTATGTATGTGTTTGCCAGTTATATTGTTCATTTGTACGAGGGGCGTTTGAAAAGGTAGCCTGACCAGGAAAATGAAAAGCTATAATTTTTTAAATTTATTTTTAAATACTTTCTACCCTGAGTTTAATACACTTTTTTCATCGGTCTGCCAATGCTTCTTACCGTCTTTAAAAAAATCTTCATCTAAGCCTTCAAAAAATGCATCGACAGCAGGTTTGACACTTTAATTTGTGATTTTTTTTACCTCCTAAGTGGCTTTATAGCTTTTGAAATAGATATTCTTTCCATTTTCTAAAATCTTCACTATATTTTGTTCGGCGGAATCGCGTGCGGAATCGTAGCGGATGCGAATAAACGAAAGAATTTTTATACCGTTACCATTGAATAATGTAGCTTTATAATGAGGGTAGTTTATAAAATATATGACGTTCTATGTATATGAAGTTCTATCTGTGTCAGGCTACGGACGTTCCAAACGCCCCTCGTAGTATTATTATCTCAATAACCAGATCTTAAATGATAAAAGACAGGTAGATGTTAAAAGATAGACGAAAAGTCGAAAACGCCAAGGGCGAGTCGGACTCGCACACGAAGGGTTCCGTACCATTACATTCTAATAGTTTTTTTTAAATTTGTATGGCCGCCACTTTGAAATGCGCCATTTTGGTTTTTCTTATTTTTTGTATAGCACCAATAGAAATTCACACTCTGTGAAAATTTCAACTCTACCTATTATGGTTCATGAGATTCACCGCTAACATACAAACAGATGGACAGCGGAGGCTTAGTAATAGTGTCTCGTTGGCACCTTTCGGGTACGGAACCCTAAAAATGATGACTTCATATCATTTTTAATTAAAGTAAGTAAAAATGTAAGTCCAAATGTTTATATAAACGATAGTAAAATTTATTAATTCTAATCAAAAGGTCTAAGACAAAAAAAGTTCATTCAAAAAACTACTCTATGTAGATAAAAATACTATCTCCTCCATAAAGTATTACTGTAGTTGCAAATTTAAAAGTATTCCTTTACAAAGATTCTAGTCAAGTGTATTTATTACAGAATTATACAAGGAGTGTACAAAATATACAGAATCTAGATATATGTATATGGAATCTTCTTCTAATGATAAAAGTTAATTGGTGGTTCTTGCAAAAATCATAGAAACGTACGAAAAAAAATTTCTTTTGTGTACAAAACTTAATTCTTGATATTGTTGTGGCATTTAATAATTGTTGTTATACATTTGTATAGTCTTTATTAAATCAATTTACAAGAATCGCCATCTTGCCATGTTATTTAAGTGATACATACTTTAAATGCCATATCATACAACGATTGAGACTTAGTTTTTAAGTTTTTAGATAGATTTTGCAGTGTTTAGCTCATTTTTAATACTTTATTTGTGGTTTAAAACTAAATTTGTAATTATGTACTATTCACTTTGATAATTGTATCTACTGTGAGTTATACAAAGCGTGACTTTAGATAACCCTACATTGTGCCATCTTGCTAGACAATAAACAAGTTCAGTTTAAATAGGTTTTATTTGTTTTCTTACCCTTTAATCTATACATATAATAAAATTCTAACTGAGTCAAATCTGTACATTAAATATTATTTGGAAAAACTTATTGAAATAGACATTCTTATCGATACAGAGGCCGAATCTATAGTTTTTAGAATTTTTGTCTATCTGTCTGTCTGTCTGTTACCGCATCACAGAAAAACTACTGGACGGATTTTGATGAAATTTGGTATGGTCATAGCTGATTGTCCGGGTCAATATATATAGGATACTTTTTACAGCGGAAAAATAATTCATTTCTGAGAAAAAATACAAAAACTGTAATGTAAGAGTACTAATATATAAAACCTAAGAAGTTGGTTTTTGGTCATCTGAACGCGGGCGGAGCCGCGGGCAATGCTAGTTAATATTATATAATTTAAAATACATAAGTTACTGTCATAGGATCGATCAAGTATGTATACAAAATAAAAGATTTTCTTAGGTTTTTCAAATGTTTTTTATCAAAAAATGTCACTAACTATTCACATATAATATTATACATGTACATACCCGAAATATGTATGTGTTGTTTTTGTTAATTTTAAATCTACATATACTTAATGAGTAGATATGTGTATTGACACAAAGAACCTTAAGTTTTTTAACTTTCTTAGATCAAAGCGAGATAGAAAATATGTATTACATGTGTAGTCCAATAATATAGTGCATAATTATATCAAATTTTATATCAATTGGTGCGTAATTAGTATAGATATTACAAACACGTGGTTTAAAAAAAAAATTAAATAGAGGTACGTTCTACGATAAACAGATTTTGGATTGTTATTTCTGTTTATAAAACTAATTTATGATTGCTGTGCAGTATGCATTTACATATCTCTATATGTGTATATGCTTATATTTAGTAAACTGGATAAGCAGTGTCTAAGAGAAGTATATTATCTGACTTCCGAGTTTTGGTTTGTATGGTGAAAGCTATGTTGTTGTATCGTAGTTTACAGGGACGGTCGGGACGCGCCATGAAGCAGAGCGTGTACAGTGCAGTTTCCAACTCGGGGGAAGTCCCCACAAACATTGTAAGTTCAGGTGCGTCTTTAGTCTCACTGAGGATCGAGTGTTGCTTGAGGATCATCCCTTTCTGTAAAAACAAGTATATAATCATAGTTTATCTGTGTATTAAATTTCATCCAAATCTCTACGTCGTTTTAATGTGAAGGAGTAAATATACAGTTTAGTACAAACATATAGTAACCAATTAAATTTCGTCATACGATAAAAACAAACTTACACCAGAAAGGTCTAGCTTGTCGATGTAACCCAAGTAGTTAGCTTTATTGTCCATCTCGCGCTTAGCAAAGAACAACCAGCTGTGAAGACCTGAAAATTACAACATAAAATAATATTTATTACTATAATGAAGTGTTATACGGTTTTGTTTTTTGCAAACGCAGCAGAAAGAACAGTGAATACTTAAAAACTATAATCACTTATTTTCATTGAAAATATTTCAAACGTACCAAGAACGGTGTTAGAGTTTAATTCTGCCATGAAAATGTTCTCGAAGGCGCAGCTGCATTTGCAAAGGCCGGTCCAGTGGCGAGCGTATTTTGTGAACCAGATTTTCTTCAGCAACTCCACTTGCTCATTATATTCATTCATTTGATTCAAACCTATTAAATTTATAAAATTAAAGAATTTTTTCATATATGTATTAAATAATAGACGCTATCGAATTTTGTGGTATCTTTAATCTAAAGTCTGCCGGCAAAATTATTCCCATAGATATTATTTTATGGTATTTACCGTAAAGTAGGAAAAAGTGTTGTTTCATTAAAATAACTGATGACACCATTCATTTGTTTATAGGTAGTTTTATACCTTCATACATGCATTAGTTCATATCTGTTAGTCACATATTTAGTCACCTTTACTGACGAGGAATGACATTAGACTTCTAATAGGTCCTGTGGCCAGAATTGTGTTGATGTATGTCATCTGCTCCGATTCTTCCTTTAAAGGTAATTTGGGTGTTAGAAAATTAGGTACCTATACTACTTTTTAAGTTATTATGAAAATTGTACAATCGAGAAAATATTTTAGCATAAGTATAGAAAAAGTTTAAAATAATTTATAAGAGAATATAAAAAAGTTAAAATAAAATAGTAAAGTTATTAACGAACAAAGAAACGGATATAAGCAATTATTTACAACAAGATAATAATATAATCGTTATATTCCGTAATTGCCTTATAGTAAATGCAAACCATGTATACGAAGGAGCGCTTGATATATTTTTTATATTACTATTTACTTATATAATAATAAAATACAATTCGATGATTTTGGTGACTTACATTTGGTGTAACAAATTCAGGTCTGATGACGTTTTTGTGATAATTATCGAAAAGTGCTGCAAATGGTCTAATTGTTGGACCATTCCATACATTCTCGGGCACTGACAGGAGGCTGTTGACGTAAAAGTAACCGTTGTTGTATTTCTAACATAACAATAAATGTGTGTTCCGTCAGTTATATGTAGTTAAGTATCGTATTTATTAAATAAATAAATATGTTGGGACATTAACACCATCTAGTTCCATAGTAAGCTACGAGGCCTGTGTTATTGATACTAGATAGTTGATACACTACACATATATAACTTTTAAATACATACATATTAAAAATATAAACACCCATGAGTAGAGTATAAACATTCGTGCTCGTCACACAAATGAACCCCCTAGCGGGACTCGAACCCGCGACCGCTGGCACAGTAAGTAGGGTCGCTACAAACTGAGCTAAACGTGTCGTACAATTAAATCTCAATCGTATTAATTCTCAGAATTTTAAACATCACAAGAGTCTACAATTACGTTTATCTTCCTAACCCAGCGATGACCTATTCAAAGATTAATTTTAGTACCTATATCCATATTATAGGCAATAACTTGAAATTTATACGATTTTGGATTATGAATTTGGAATATTCGTGATTTTATTTTTGTTTAATAGATTTTAAAATCTTTAAAAACAAATCATAACTTATTGAAATATAAGTATTGTAAATTGTTTACGTTTATTTAACTACGTGTTAAAATACTTAAATAAAAAGTAAAATTTTATAGTATGGATAGAATTTTAATTAAAATATTAGAATAATTAATTTATATACCTAAGATTGATACTAATTCTGGTTGCCCGTAAACACTAGTTAGTACCTAACAAAAAAAATATTATTTTATCTTTTAATTGAAGTAATTTTAGCTCTTTGTCATTTTGTTTTAGAACATATGTATTTTTATATACGTTGTAAATTAAAAAAAAAGTATAAGCAATTATACGCAATTTGAATCTGAAACGGACGCTACATCAAGACGCTAGACGTAGCATCCTTATTTCTGCAACTTAGTTTCCATCATAGGTGTTATGAAAATTGTAAATGTCCGCTTCTATTTTTAACGGCCACACCATCTTACTACATATTTACATATGAATAATACTTACGTTGATTGTGCTTCGTCATTTTTGGATATGGGACTGGTTTTGCCTTGCAAATTGACTTGTATATAGTTAATCGCGTTGTTAATATCAGCATTGAACATTTCTTCACTAATTCGGAGCAGGTCGTCGTCCGTGGTGGAGTCTTGGACTTGACGCAACATGTCCTCGTAGCTCTTCTTCTTTGCATAATCAACTACTCCCCCCACAACAGTTCCGATTTGTTGTAGAGTATTTGTAGCGCTGTTCCCTTGTTGACCTGTTACCGAGTTGCTTATAAGGTTCGGCAGAATACTGTTAAAGATTTGTCCAGCAGCTGAAGCTATGTCATCTGCGCGGCAAATTCCTGCACAGAGCAGGAAAATATATATAATTTTCATTCTGGTAACGAATAACGTTTGGAGTAGCGCGATCACGACACACTTGTGATCTCTCGGACCCGTGGCGAGTAGGCGATACTGCACGACCTTTAGGTGACGTCATATTCAACTGTGTATGAGATACGACATGTTATTGAGATTCAACTTGTGGATTTCCAGTTTTAGAAGCGGTGACTGCCCTGAATATGTAATGCGAAATGCTAGGTTTATAGCACGATAAACAAATTCGACCTTCATATTTAATTTGGAAGTTGTCAACTACTTGTTGTAATGATCATTTTACAAGTTGATATTAAATTTCATTTTACGGACATAGACGATTTTATCTTGACTATATTTATAAAAAAAATATTTACTGAATTCTAAATAAATTTATCAAAATTATAAATAATATTTGGGAGTCGGGAGATGTGTTAGGTTAGTGTATTATAAAATCATAATTTACATTAGCTGTACAGATATATTTTATATTACTCAACTAAGAAAATATAAGAGCGTTTTAGAATGCTATAAATATAAATTATGCAAAACGAGTCTAGTTCTTGAGAAGAAAGAGAACCATTAACACAGGTTGCAGATGAACGCACATGTGTAATGCAATAGTTGCGTGCGCGCATTTGCACTTCGGGAAAATGGAACAAGTGTTTTATTCCAAATATTATGCATACTTTAATGTTATCACTTCGATTCTGTCGGAGCTAATGTCGATAATAGATAAATCTATACACGTAATAAAATTGTAACTTAGCCGAATCTGTACATTAAATATTTTTTGGAAAATCTTATTGAAATAAACATAATCGATAGAGGCCGAATCTATAGTTTTTAGAATTTTTGTCTTTCTGTCTGTCTGTTACCGCATCACGAAAAAACCACTGCAGGGATTTTAATGAAATTTGGTATGGAGTGAGCGCGCGATATCATTCTGTGCTTTTCGCACACGTTTATTATTGGTCACAGGGATCACGGGTTCTGAGATTATGTGTTTTTAGAAAATATTGCGTAATGTCATCGCTTAAAGTTTAATTTTTGTTGCAACAATGCAAAATGCATGTGTGAGCGATAGTGTGTATTTATTGTTTGTCAATGTGTTGGTAGCTGCAAGCCGGCGACACGCGTCCCAGTACTAAAAGACCGCAATGGCATTTCTATTACCTTATTATTAAGATTTCTGTGGCCACCACGTTCGGGGAAAAAAAGTCTCGTACGATTGCTCTGTCAAAAAATATGCATACAGCAGATCACAGAACCTCCTCTTTTTTGAAAGTCGGTTAAAAACTTTGTTAGCTGCCCGTAAGAATTTATAAATTAGAGGTAGTACTATAAAAAGATCTTCATTCAACGTGACATTGATGGAATAGATTGTGTTTAACTAGCACGTTTGCAAGCTAATAAAGAATTCAAATGCAGTTTTAAAAAAATCTGAAAATAATATTATTATAATAGGTATCTTTTAGAATTTTTGGCTACTTATTTAATCACATGTAATATGAATTCTTATGTTTTTATGAAAATACATATATAGCTTTTTTACTAAGTTTATTATTATACTTTTTGAATTTATTTTACAAATTTTATTATAGAATCAATTTTAATTTACAGTAAACACTTTAAAAACAGATTCTCAAAATTCAAATCTGAATAAACAATCTCAATGTATCGAGAAACGTGCTATCTTAAGGTCGTACTGACAAAGGTCAATGGAGATCCAACTGGCATTACCGACTCACATTGCTTCGAGAACGCTAGCTCAACCTCCGTAAATATTAAATTAAATACAACATTTTCCTGCCTAAAACTCAGAGCATTTAGTTTTCAGTGACAGGTTCTAGTCATTTTGTTGTGAGAAAACATGAAGTTCTACGCGTTTGTTTTACTGCTCGCCTTTTGTTACGTAGAATGTGAGTATTCTTTAGAATTTAAACTTTCATACCTACTTAGATTACTCTTAGAAACGTTCACATACATAACGAGCATTTTAACGTTATAAACTGGCGTGGCATTTCATGTCCGTATGTGTATTTATTTTATCTTTTATATTTACTAGTTTTATAGCGCTAATTTTTTACATGTCAATAAAATGTTACTGAGTGTTTATGAGCAAATTACGTCAGTAGATATATTATAACAAAATCAGTTTTTGAGGAATTAAAAGATTTTTCAATATCATTTAATCTCTTTATTTAAATTATAAGCTTATATTTTATTATTTCACAATATTTTTTGTTTTTAGGTCGAAAAGCCTACGTACCAATAAACAAAAATGCTAATATCGATTTCATTAACATGGAAGGAGGTGGAGTGAAGCCTCCACAAAATAACAATCGCCCTGCACCTGGCCCCGCACCAGTACAGAAACCACAACCGGTACCAGGACCCCTTCCGATGGTTCCGAGCCCTCAACAACCTTCACAAAAACCCACTGCCCCAAATGTAGCGCCAACACCTACTCAGGCTCCACACCTCATTACTCCCAAGCCAGTGAATCCTACTCCAGCTTCTAAACTGATTACAACGCCTGGGCCTGGAAGTGTTAAATCTCTGGTCAATTTCTACGACAGTCAAGGCAAAGCCAGCCCCATCCGTCCATACTCTTACAGCCAAGCTGTTAAACAGGGTTAACATAAGATAATATCATTGATATATATAATAAGTATACGATTATTATTTTTTCAAAATATACTATTGTTCGTAATTTATCGTTATTTAATTTAATTGATCATAGAACAGAAAACTTACATAAAATATGGCTTGTGTTTCTAAGTCAATGACCGCTACATCAGCCGGATACATCTCGTGATAGAAAAGGCACGTTAAGGCGTAAACAATTGCCGTAGAGCCTCCAATTGTAGCAGTGAAAGTGGTGACGGAAAACATGAGGGTGCAACCGTGTTCTAATTTGACGACATGACTAAGGACTTGGTGATAAAATATTATGCAATATAGTGAAAGCTAGACATTACGTTTGGAAAATATAACTTTCGAAATTCCACATAGATTATTCAGTTTAATTTTAGTGTGGAAGTGAAATTAAATGTTAAATTACTGGTCCGCTTTATTTTAAATTGCCGATAGCGTATTATTGAATTCTCAAACAGATCTTAATTAAAGACATTTATCTAGATATTTGTTAATAAAATAAATCATACTAAGATTTATATACGATTGTTATGTTTTCCCGTGGGAAAGAAAGATTTTCCTGTAGTAAAAGGTATCTTAAATGTTGAGGCGAGTAAAAAGTTATCACTGTAAATTACTTTTTGCGTGAAACGCGCAAACAAACAAACAGACATACAGATGAAAACAAAACGTTAGTCATTGTTTTTAAAAAATATTTTATGTACAGATTTGATTACGAAGTTACTGTTTTATTATATGTATGGATAAGCTGTTGCAGGTGACTTCACGCATGTGAAACACTCACATACCTATACAAAATATACATACATAAGTATAAAATTATTTCGCTATTATTTTTTTCGCCTTTAGGGAGTTTCGATATTTTCTTAGTAGACTATAGACTGTAGACTAAAGTATTATTCGCCTGAATTTCAAATCTCTACATCACTCGTAGATTGTTATATAGGTATGTAGATATATGTACATATATGATAGCCATAGTTTATATTGGTTTGTATTTAAGTGCTTTCGTCTACTACATATAAGCTTGTGTTTGAAACACAATAAACCAAGGTTTACATATAATACCATCAAATGTTTTCTGGGTGTGATCACACGAATGCTACTGAACTGGTTTCCCGATACCTGTATAGATATACGTAATATCTACGAAGGCAACAGAATGATATGAATCGTCATTATAGTATCTTTAAACTTATATACTCCGCGAGATATAATTATCTATACTATACATATACTAAAATTCTGAGTCAAACCTGTACATTAAATATTTTTTGAAAAATCTTATTGAAGTACCCATATAATCTATAGAGAGGCCGAATTTATAGTTTTTAGTATTTTTGTCTGTCTGTCTGGGAACGCATCACGAGGAAAACCACTGGACGGATTTTGATGAAATTTGGTGAGGTAATAGCTGGTTATTCGGGTTAACATACCTATATAGGTTCTATCTATGTAATATAAGGATTCTAATGACGAACCCGAGCGGAGGGAGGGTGAGTCGCTAGTAGTTTTATAAAGTTAAATGAGTTATTTAGTTTAGTGACTCTAATGCCCGATTTCGCCAACATCCCATAAGCTACCACCTACGTATGGGATCCCTAGCTTAAAAGTTCCCCTAAACTAGCCCCTAAATTAAATTTCGTTTTACCATCGTCAGAGCCAGTATTTCTAGTACCTATATTTAGGTGGCATTTTAACATTTAGGTGACCCCTAACAGTCGGTGAATCAGAAACTGTCCCCTAACAGCCCCCTAACCATGCTTAGGGGATCCCTTAAACTTAGGTGACGTTGGTGAAATCGGGTATAAATAAGCTAAACGTATAGGTTAACGCAAATATTCTTTGACGTCATAAATACCCTTGACAAATCTATTTAGCACAAAGAGGACGGATGGCCAAATGTGCCCCTTTCACTCTTGTCGTGAGTCACAACTATTACGTCGCCAGGACCTTTTACGCTCACAATGTACTCCATTTGCATTGTGCAACTCGTCCGCATTTTAAACTTAATAATAAACAAAGAATTATTTTTGTCTGCAATAATTATATAATAAGCGGTAAGAAAGTTATATTTTAGTGCATTTTTAGTTTTAAAACATTTTATCGAAAGCTAATAAAGTGATGTATCTCATTTTATTTAAATAGATTTCATTAGAAATTATGAGAAAGTGTTAGAGGTCTTATTTAACTATTCGTAAAGTTTTAACATCGACATAATGTTTATATCAAGTTATGAAATTATATAATAGTTTTTAGGAGAGAAAATATCTACTATCTACTTTCATTGATATGTGATCTTGTTACCAATACAACATACAACAACATACAAACATTCGTGTACATATTTAGTTATTAAAAAATAATAGAGACACGAAAAACTCTAAAGTAATGAATTATTATGTAAGTAATTTATCTAATATAAGTGTCTGAGAAATTATTAGAATACTTCATATAATTTTTTTTATTCATATAAATTATATATAAGGCAAAACTGATTGACTGATGTATCAATGCACAGGCCAAACCCTAAAGGCTAGAAAATTGAAATTTCGCACACGTATTCCTCATATGACGAAGGTATCCACTAAGGATTAAAATTTAAGGCCCAAGGGCATGAAATAGGGGATAAAAGTTTTTATGAAACTTTTTATGCTTTGGACATATTTGCATGAAACGTATGAATTGAGTACGGCAAAAATAATGAATTACGTTTTTCAGCGTTATCCAAAATTCAACCCCTAAGAGGGTAAAATAGGGGATGACAGTTTTTATAAAACCCACTTTTTAGAGTTTTTTTGTAGTTTTAGCGCAAGCGAAGCCGCGGGTTCTGCTGGTTTATAATAAAGATTCGGCAAGACTTTCTTAAACCTCTTCTGTTTTGGGACATTTTCCCGCGGTAAAAAGTATCCTATATGTTGATCCGGATAACCAGCTATCACCATACCAAATTTCATCAAAATCCCTCAAGTGCTTTTTCTGTGATGCGGTAACAGACAGACAGACAGATTTTAAAATTTTAAAAACTATAGATTCGGCCTCTATCGATAATAATGTTTATTTCAATAAGATTTTCCAAAAAATATTTAATGTACAGATTCGGCTTACTTACAATTTTATTATATGTATAGACATGAGACAAATAAAAAAAGTATATAATATATTTGATTTTATTCGGTTATCTTTATATCTGACTTTCTAATTTTAAAACTTTATAAAATTGAAGTATGTATCTATTTTTTTTAGAAATTTAGGAAATAATAAAAAAATATGTTTAAATCGAGCAATTCCTTTAACAATAAATAGTATGTTTTCAGACAATAGGTTATCTTTACGCCAACTAATCTACACACAATAACAAGATATCAGCTTGTGGCTGCATACATTCCTCACTTGGCGAAAGTGGTTTTACATTTTGTATCCATGTGAAAATTCAATTCAAAAGTTGCATTAGACAATCATAATAAATTAAATGGATTATATCAACGACAGAGTTATTGTGGGCAGATTAATGCTTTTAACAACACGTTATAACAGGTTATACCTATACACATTTGAAATTAATTGATCTCGCACTGGTTCTAGTTTTCGTGTGAATGAAAATATTGTTTTGCCACTATCAAAAAAGGTTTAACACTTCCAGGTAAATTTCTAAGAAATTAATTAAATTTCTAAGAAATCTATTGTTTACAGTAACGCCGGTGTGTCCGCGGTCGTTGAGGAATTAAAGATTAATTTATGGCAGACAAAGTTCATGTCTTTTGTGTGACAAAAAATATTAAATTAAAAAATATTTGAAAATGTAGTTTCATGAAAAAAAAAATGTAAACGTCAAAACATATTTTGTAGCCAACCAAAAAATTGTGTCGATAGAAAAAGCTATGTTTGAAAATAATATAAACTTATCTTACTTTTATATGTTAAATCTAAACTGGGTTTCATATCCGCTTCAGACTGTCACTTTCCTTAATGTCGCTGGGCTTGGACGTGTTACAAAATCTCTTAGATCCGCCCCCATTCCGTCTGCAACACGTCACTGTGTAAAGGCCTTTTGAACTTGAATTAATTATATATGCAAATTTTGGCCTAATAATTTTGTAATTAGACACTATAAAATATAAGTGTACTTATAATATACTTGATTTTTCGTTTCTGTAAAAATAGTATAAAACTCGGATATACAGCCATTTTTACCTATTTTAAAATTTACCCTGCCTTGTAAAAACAAAATCACTCTATTCATATTTCATAGCTATTTCTTTAAATTTGATTAAAATTGTATACTTAAATTTCTAGAACGGTCACCAATAAATTGAGTAACTTGACTTACTTTCATGACTCCTTTGACGCACATGACTTACACAACAAATAATTTTGAAGCAAGGTTCAATGGCATGTTATTACGTTGATTACTCACGAACGGGGTACTTTTATAGCATAATTTATTAGTTATAAGCTACGTACTATAAAACACATCGCAAACTATTGTTTATTAAAACTACGACTGTTATACAATTAGCATTGTTTATAAAATTTGGGGCCTGAATTAAACGTAGATTATTATTAAAATACACTGTGCATTCTATTGTTTTATGATATATAAAAGCGTTTTATTATATACTAGCGACTCACCCTCGCTCCGTTCAGGTTCGTCCTTAGTTACATTTTAAAGTTTAGTATAGATTTTTCTCAGAAATTAGATATTTTCCCGCAGTAAAAAGTATCCTATATGTTGACCCGGATAACCAGTTATTTCCGCAGGTGTTGTAGTGTATGCGCAAGCGATCCTGCAACGCCCCATTGCACTGCGGCGAAGGGTTCCGCTGTGGGTTTTAGTGAGTAGGAGTCTCACAGTACCTTGCCCGTTGACGGCGGGCAGGGTCCCCATGATGGGTTTCCCCAGCGATATAAAAAAAAAACAGACAAAAATTCTAAAAACTACAGATTCGGCCTCTGTATCGATAATAATGTCTATTTCA